TTGCCTGTCAACTTATATGCTGACCACACAAATAAAACGATTTGGCATGGCTACTTAATGCCCTGTCCCTCAGTTCGTTTGGCAGACGATGGCGATAGCCGACAAGGATACAAGGAGACTGATTGAGGGGAATGGCAGGACATGTGTCTGCTGCTTATGTGTTAATTATCGCCGACCCCAAGGGAAACCCAACTCAAGCGGTAAATGGCTGGGAAAAATATTCAAATTTATGCCTGACTTGACTTTTGCTACGTATCACAAATGCCTATGTTGTTTATGCAAATTGCCCGGTACCCACACAAACATGCAAACACACATACACTGGCAAGTATGCCATAACTTCCGCCAACCGCAGCAGATTCTCCACATCCCATTTCTTGCCCAGGGGCAGGGTGTAATTTGTTTTGCATAGTTCGAGGCGCGTGCTTGTATTTATTGTTAGCCTGTTTGTCTGTTTGCCTCTTGGCAACAATTTACACAACAAACAAATTTTCAAAAGGTATATTCATGAGGTGTAAAGGTATATATTTAGTCATTTCACAACTTTAAAATAACAACTTGTTACATTTTACAGTCAACATATGTATAATTTAAATATATTTGTAAGTTGTTAAGATATACTTTTTTCTTAATTTTTTCTCAGTGTAACATAACCTTGCCTTTGTTTTCTCTCTGTCTGGTCATCAGAGCTGGCTGTCTTCCTTTGGCTGTTATTTTTGACCTACACCCAATTTTCCCTTGCCGAGGTTATCTAAACATCAGTTCATTTCAACTCATATTTATGTTTTGTCTTTTAATTTATTTATATACTGGACACATTTGCAGTGCAACAACAGTCCGCTGGCCTATCTATATGCTTCTTTTATTGCCATCTTTGGACCAACTAGCTGAATTTATGTTCGACTCGTGTGATTAATGTGTTTTGTTGACCCCAAAATTTACGAGTCACTAGCGAAACAATTTGAGGTTTGGCCTCAGGGCTCTTTTTTGTTTTTTCCCAAGAATTTATCGACGCATTTAGTAGGTCAGTTGCCAGGGAGGAGAAGTTTGCTAAGACACATTCTACTAATCTCTCATTAGCCATGGTAATATATATTTGGCTTTAATCGATCCGGCCACCCGATACTTGAGGATAAGTTCTGTAACCAGTTAAACATCCATTACGTCGGCCAGTTGGTCTTTATTAGCCCTCCGCCTCACGTTTCCATAACCGACCACAATTATGTTGGCAAATCGTTGGTCATTTTTCATATTTCCACTTCTACGCACCCGAATTTCCACTCAACAGTGTGTCAACAACGTGTACGCACAGCTCGTTTTGGCCCGTAATGCCGGGCTTTTATTAATTTCAATTTGTGTCAACATCAACGCCAAATATGCACGGCCAAGGGGGAATGATTTAAGCCAGCTGATGACAAAATGTTTGGCCATTAGGCGAATTAAAGAGCAGTCCTTCGACGTTCTCCGAGCGACTTTGGTGGCTTTGGTTATCGGACAGTTCATGAAACGGCTAACCATTGCGGCTAAAAAGCCACACGAACCACTATAAAAACCATGATTGATGTGCTCGGCTTGACCCAAATGCATGTTTTTATGCCAAAATAATACGCTTTCATATCCTCACAGCTCAAGTGTCCTTCTCTGCTCCGTATGTATACATATATATATAAATATATGAATTTTTATCGCCGAGTGAGGACAATATGCTTCGTCCTGGCAGAGTTCGTTGACCTTGTTGAGAAAGTTTCTCCTAATGCTTATTATCTGACCATTTGCCGGCTCAGCACGCTGCGTATACGTAATGCGAAATTTAATTTTACTTTATGCAACTTCTACGAAGCCCGAGCACTCAAGCACAATGTAATCGCTATTAATGAATGCCCTGAAAAGTGCGAAAGAAGGGAAAACAAACAAGCATCCAAACAAAACACATTCACGCAGACTAACACGATACCACATCCATACAAACACACACAATCGAAAACACAGATGGAACTTCATACATAAAAACTTAAGCCAACAAAGAAACAACAAGCCAACAATGGTGGCCGAGTGCCATGTGCTCCGCGTCCCGAGCTCAGATGCTTTTTAAATATGAGCTGGCAAAATAAAAGTTGATTAAGCTTATGGAAAAAGTATGACGGCCTCCAAAGTATCCTATAAAATCGGGATAGTGATTATCTTGGCTTTATTCAATATTAACTGGGCTTTTCAAAGTTACTAAAGATAATTCCCTTTGAATACCCAGCTAAAAGAAAGATAAAATGTTTTTCAATATACTAATTTCCTTTTAAGTGTATTTCTTAGCCAACTCGGAGTTAAATGCTGTTTGAAAAACATACTTTTCCGCGGGGTCTGCCGCTAACTTAGCCTCGCAGACTGATTTATAAGCGCAGCTGCCGTTGGCTGCTACAACTGCCGCAACTGCAACAACGAAGAAGGACGGGTAAAGGCTCCTTTACTTGCAAAGCGAAATTAATTTCCCATTGCCTTTGTTTGTGGCCACCCATTTGTCTTTGTTGCTGCATTTTACGATCCGCAGGCAGCGGTTGAAATTTGTCAGCACGAGCGATTTAGTGGGATTAAAGCCACGAGCGCCAAAGCCGCGCAAAGTGCACTTAAAGTCACGGGGGCATGGGGGTTAAGGAATGGGGAAGAAGGGGGGCCAAGGGTTAAGTAAAACGGATGCCACCACTTCGGAGCGCGTGGCTCTCGAGTGCCAAGTGGCTGCTATTGTTATGGCTGTCCCACTTAATAATCAGACATAATAGTTTGCGGCAGATGAAGTTGCTCCGTGGCTCGATGTGCAACAGGTGCTCGGCAAAAATTGCCTTTTAATGAGGATTTACGGTTGCTCTGGCGGGTTCAAACCGCCTCACTTGCTTTTCTGCGGTCTTATCCTGTATCTCTTGCCTTTGGCTTGCACGCTCAGCTCTTCTCCACTGGCTGAAATTAAATTTCGCACTTTTAATGTTCTCCGAGCAAAAAAGCAATTTCCTCGAGGTGAAAAGCCAAATTGAAAAGGACATAATGACTTGCCAAAAAAGGGCACGCAACACACACAAACACACATAAATGGTGGGAAAGTGAGCAAAGCAAAAAAGGGCAACCAGAAATGGTCGATCATTAAAAAAGGCTTACAATGTGCCATTTATTACATTTTTATAGCGCCCACAGCATGGGGCATAATAAAAGTCCAAATCTGTCTAAAATCTGACAAAAGTTATTTTGCGTAAAAAGAGTGCCGACATTTATTACTTGTTTAATTTTATATATCCGTCAATATGCTGCGGAAAGTATTTGCTTTAACTTTTTCCGCTACAATTCGTTCGATTTTTACAAATTTAATTTATATATAAGTGCTCCCATCTGAACATTTGATCTCATACAACCAAAAATTTAAAGGCCACACTTAAAACCCCAATTCTTTCCAACTTAAATCGGAAATGAAAACGATTTGACTTCCTTTGAATGCAAAATATATGAATCTGTTAAGTTAAATATTTGCCCCCACTTCTCGCCTAAAAATCACAAAACGTGCGAAAAATTCCACCCAGAAATTGTGTCTAATAAAAATAGGAGCTGAGCCAACATCAAATGGGAAAAAGTTTTGCTACGCGTAAAAAGTTCCGACTGCCTTGACTTCACATCAAGCGCGAGTATAATTTTCCGAAAGTCATGCTGGAAAATTGCACTTGAGCTGCCGAACACAAACACCGCAGGACATCAAGCCGATAAAGGCTTTAAGAGAACTCGCCAGCTCACTTTCTGGTAAGACATTCGAGCCAAAAGCAAAGAAAAATTAAGAAAGTGTTTAGTGCCAACAAATGAAGGCAGCCGCATTTAACGTTTAATAAATGCGACACCGGCGAATAATGAAAAACAGGGCAGACAGGATGAACGAAAAATGAGTAAAAATAGCCGTTTGCTCATTTGTTGATTTATGCGCCAATTTGCACAACATGATGGACTGGCAGACAGCGAAATGGTCTAACCCTCCCAGCGCCAAAAAGTCGCCGGAACAAGATATATCTGCGTCTCCCCCACATATATACATTCTATATATATACACCTCGCACTTAGGCCGAGAAAAAAAAAACAACGAAAAAGTGAATACTGCAAGTGTGGGCGGCAAAAAGTTGTAGCATAAGGTAGGGCGTCTTCAGTCTGAGCGCAGCGCCAAGGACGAAGACTGTCAAGATTTTCGCTTTTTTCGGGACAAGTTTACTCTGCTTGCCCTTAAGCAAGTCCACATCAACGTCGTTGTTGGCGTCAGACTGCAGGACCCGAGGCCATAATTCAAACTTACCTTCAATAGAAGAGGGTTCTGGGTGGCGCGCTGGGACCAAATTAAATTTGCTCAAAAATATTGAAGGTGTTGAGTTCTTGAGCCATATTAGCATATATTACATTTTCCGTTTTATTAGCATCCTGTGATTGTTCGATGAATATTTTTTCATTAAACAGACACAACCAACTACTTACTGTCAAATTTTCACTCTAAGATATTTCCTAATGAACTAGACCATAATAAAAGATTATAGTCTTTTACAACTTATAAGAAGATAACATATGCATACTTATTACAGGTAGTAAATCTATTTTTATAAGTATAATAAATACATTTTCCAAAGTGCAGGTCCTTCATCTTGGCAGCAATTTCCTGCTGGAATAGCGTTGGCTGTCTGCCTTCCATCATGCTTGTGTGTGTGTGTTTGTGTGTAGGTGGGTGTGTTGTCCTAGTCTTGTTAGTACTGAACTGGAAGGAGCAAACTTCCGCTGGCACATCCTGCCCGCCACTCCCTCCACCCAGAACTCGTAGCTCTATCATTTTTATGGCTATTTAAAGGGCCATAAACAACATGATTGTGTGTGTGTGTGCTTGGGGAGAATTAAATTGAGTTTTATGCGTGATTTCCGTCCTTAACACTTTGTTGACAATGAATTTGATAGTCGTTTAATGAAATGTGACCGAACTCTGCTCCTTTCCTTTCTTGCAGACCGAGCAGTTTGCGGTGCTCTGGATCCTGTTCACCGTAATCGTTTTGGGAAACTCGGCGGTTTTATTCGTGATGTTTATCAACAAGAATCGCAAGTCGCGGATGAATTACTTCATCAAGCAGTTGGCTTTGGCAGGTGAGTTTGGGGATTAGCTTCTGGTTTTCCTCTTCTGGTTTACAGCTGCCTGTCTATTATTTGCAGATCTTTGCGTGGGACTGCTCAACGTGCTGACCGACATCATTTGGCGCATCACGATTTCGTGGCGGGCGGGCAACCTGGCCTGCAAGGTCATCCGCTTCTCGCAGGTGTGCGTCACATACTCCTCCACCTACGTGCTGGTGGCCATGAGCATCGACAGATACGACGCCATCACACACCCGATGAACTTCTCAAAGTCGTGTAAGTTAAGTCGTCGGGTGAAAAGTTTTCTAATTGCCAAATGTTGTTAGCCAAAGCGCTGTTTGTGGTTTCTTTGGATTAGACTTGCTGCATTTTAAAGCATTGAGTTTGGCAGTGTTGTCTTCTTACTAAGTCCGAGTTATAAGCAACAACAAAAGATTCTCTTTAAAAGAAGTTTATCTTAAATAGTAATGCATTTCTTTTATCCATAGGGAAACGAGCGCGTCATTTGGTTGCAGGTGCTTGGCTCATCTCTGCCTTGTTTTCTCTACCAATCCTGGTGTTGTACGAAGAGAAGCTCATCCAGGGTCATCCGCAGTGTTGGATCGAGTTGGGCTCACCGATTGCCTGGCAGGTTTACATGAGCCTGGTTTCAGCCACTCTCTTTGCATTTCCCGCGCTGATCATCTCCGCCTGCTATGCGATCATCGTGAAAACCATTTGGGCCAAGGGATCCATATTCGTGCCCACTGGTAAGATTTTTTCTACATAATCCCAAAAAGCTCATACAAATAATTTGTTAAAATTTTTTACAGAACGTGCTGGCTTTGGAGCAGCACCAGCGAGAAGGGCCAGTTCCAGAGGCATCATTCCCAGAGCCAAGGTCAAAACGGTCAAGATGACACTTACCATAGTGTTTGTCTTTATCATCTGCTGGTCGCCCTACATCATCTTCGATCTGCTGCAAGTTTTTGGCCAGATTCCGCACTCGCAGACGAACATTGCCATTGCCACTTTTATCCAAAGTTTGGCTCCTCTGAATTCGGCGGCCAATCCGCTGATCTACTGTCTCTTCTCGTCGCAGGTTTTTCGCACATTAAGGTAAGTTGTAATAAAATGTGCATAACGATAAAAACCAATTTGGAAAAGATTAGTTAGCAATTTTGGTGAAAAACAATATATTTGTTGTGGTTTTTCGGTTGTGATAAGGCCAAATACTAACTTACAGCGGAACCAAACACTGTTTTGAGCAGCTTATGACCAAGTTTAACGAGACCTAAAACTTTTTGGCGATTGAAAAAAAATGATTTTTGGCCAATTTTCGAATTTTTGGTAAGGGGTAACATCATCATTTTTTGCGAAAAATGGCCAGATTTCAATAATTTTAGGTGTGAATGCCATCGGACTTGAAATTTTATTGGGAATTCAACGATGTATGCTATTCCAAATTTGGAAGAATACTTCCTTAGATATTGCTAAAAAAAAACTGGTATAGTTTTGAAAAGCAGCTTCGGCTTGCTCAAGCTAGCTTCCTTTTTTGTTAAATACATTTTCTGATAAATGTATTTTATTGTTGACTTTTTTCCAGTCGCTTTCCGCCCTTCAAGTGGTTCACCTGCTGCTGCAAGTCGTACCGCAACAACTCGCAGCAGAACCGCTGCCATACAGTGGGGCGTCGGCTGCACAACAGTTGCGACTCGATGAGGACCCTGACCACCTCGTTGACTGTTTCCCGCAGGTCCACCAATAAGACCAATGCCCGCGTGGTCATCTGCGAAAGGCCCACCAAGGTGGTGACCGTTCCTGCCATGTCGGAGGTATGATAGCTGGCCCACACCACCCGCAAGCGGTCCTCGTTCGCGATCCACGGACCCACGTCCTTCAGCGACGCGGAGTTCCTTTAAGGGCAATTGGAGGGGGTCATCCTGTGAATGCACCAGAGGCTTAGACAATAAGTTCGATAGTTGTACCAGGCATAGAGAAAGCCAAATGTAAGTCCCTAGTTGTAAGTATGCCAAGTCTACGCTACGAATTTCAAACCTATTTATATATGCTGAGCAGCAATCTGTAGTTAAGGTAAAGCATGATCTAATTTGGCATTTGTATGTCTTTAAATCATTACTAAGGAAAGGATGACCTGGAATCTCCTTGACTTTATCTCTAGAATAGGTGTCACAGAAATGGATCCTTTGGTTGATTTTAGGTACATTATTTTTTATACAATTTATGGCAATTAATTATCATTAGTACAAAGCTTTACAAACAACTTACTTACCTGAAAATACTTTTACACAAAAAAATATTTAACTTTTCTGTACAACTTACATAACAATCAACTTTAAATTTAACTGAGGTTTTTGTGACACCCTTGAGCGCCTAGGTTTCAGTCCATTTACAAGCTCATTTTAGATGCTCTCATAGTTTTATTCTATTTCATAGACTGATTTTATTTATGCGTGACTCATGGCCATTTAGCAGGAAATCTAAAATGCATTTCTTTCCACTCCTAACTATCTGTTAAGGCCATTTAAATTCCCATTCATCCGTGTATATAGCCACTCGCAATGGTGTGTAAACATGCCCGAGCATCTTAAACCGAAACCCATTACTTATAAGTAGATCATAAGAGTTAATAGAGCATAACATTTTAGTCAATTTGGTTTAAGCTAATATTTATTTCATAATTATGTGTAGAAGCAGAATAAAGGCAAAATCTTCTCAAGTCTCCCGCATTTTCCTTGAGTTTCTCGGCACGCGCACGAAAATCGTCCTTTTAAGCTCGACCCATTAAACAAAGGGCACAAGGACGATTTCTGCTCTCACTCCATTTATAATTGTTTCGATGATGTGGTGCTGTTTGTGGTCTCAACTGACGTCACTCGGGGAAAGTCAACATGACAGATAAATCGAGCGACAAACCGGACAGACAATGAAAACATATTGGTTTCTGTGGGCCCCGCAAATAGCAAACATTCATATCTTTTACTTTTATTGTCTGCAAATTGAGATTTTACCATGCCAACTTCGAAGAAACTGTGTTTATTTGCCTTATGGTTGGTTAAATTCACCAGAAATCACCCTTTGCGTTCAACTCTTCCTGATATTTAATCGCCTGGGTGAGCAGATGGGAACTATGGAAACTTGGTGCGGCACTGGACAAATAAATTTATTTTAGTCGTTGCAAAACAATTTTCGCTTCAATGGACTCAAGGGGCGGGAAAAAAATCCATTAAGAAGCTTACTTCAGACGGCGGACAGTTGGACATTTTTGCAATTATAATTTCGCAATTTATTTGTCAACTTTTAATTGAAATGCTATTAGCAAATTAGTAAACAACCGCGTTGACTTCTTATAAAAAATGTACAAAATGTTTACCAAGGCTTACTTGCAATGAGTTTTTTGTTTTAGTGATTGATTTTAATAATACAAGCAAAATAAAAACAAATGATGATTTGTTAAAGAATGATTGATAAAAACCAATAATATTAATTGCAATTAAATTTTAGTAATGTTTTTTTTCTTGCTGCAACCCTTTTTGGCTTTACCTTTCAAAAATATTTACTAGTAAAACTTATAAATTGCGAAACATAAAGAAAATTACCAATCAGTTAATGACTCTTGCTAAACTCATTGCTCGCATCGATGCCAACAAGAGGTTTGGTAATAGGATAATCCACCGCCAGTTTCGAATCGACCTATAGTTTATAAATTCGTCAAAAAAATCATGTTTCCAAATTACTGCTTTACAAAATCGGCCAGACAGTCGGACTACGATGTTATAAGGAAAGGCTATATCGCCAGGGAGAGTTGCCAGCACACCTGCAATCACAATCGGTCAGAATCCGTAAGAAGGAGCAAAAAAGCAAGAGGAGTCTTTCCAAATCGAGTTCATCGCGGGTAAAGGACTCCTCCTCGAAGAGTGTGGGATTTCGGTTGACACCAGTTGTTTGTTCGAGCCAAAAGGATACCCGCGAAACTGCCGGCGAAAATTGTCAGAAGGATAAAAAGTGCTTCAATCTCAAAATGGACTCCAATCGCGATCTGCAGGATACATTCGCCGACTTCTTTAGCATCATTCACGATAATGTTTTGGAATCGGTGCAGGAAGTTGTGAAGCGAATGGTGACCAAGTGCTTTGATGAATCCTTGGCCAAGATGGAGAGACTATCCAAGAATCTGGAGCATCAAGAGGCGTTGCTCAACAAAATCCATCGAGATATAACCAGCAGTAAGTGTTTGATAGCAAACAAAAGGAGAAGTTCAGAGAGACTTCTTTTAGGATTATTTGGAAATAACTTTACAATTTACAGATTTCAATTGGTTCTGTAAGAGTTAAATGCACAGTGTACCCTTTTGAAATTCCACTATTTTTGTTATCAACTTATTTACCTTTTCCCCTTAGAAATGGCCGACCAGAGTGAAACGAGCTTGAACCAATTCAAGTTCGTTACACAAATGCTCATTGACAACCAAACGGTGCACTACAGAGCGCTCAATCAGGCGAAGTTGAACAAGGAGCGGCGAAAGGAGGAACGGGAGCTAGAAAAGGAGCGGAAGTTGGAGCGAGAACGGAAGCGGAAGTGCGCCTGCAAGGAGGTGGAGAACGAGCGGAGTCGGTGGTGCAGGAGCTCCAGTGCAGATCTCTCGAAAAGAAGCACAGGTGGCGATGGAAAGGAACTTACGCCGAGATGCCAACAGCATCTGTTGTGTCAACAGCAGGAGCCTCTGGTCTATCAGATGTGCAAGTCCTGCTCAAATAAGGAAGCCATTTCCAAGGGAAAGAGAATGTCCCGGTCACCATCAAGGCATACAAACACTCCGGTTTTGCAGAAGCGATCCACTTCTTACAGCATGCCAGATCTCTCCGCTCGCACTTCGTCCACTTCCCGTCGGTTCAATCAACCCCAACCTTCTAATAGAACCTCCAGGACCTCCTTATCCCGATCCTGTGATAGGAGACCAAAGCAGATAGTCTGTCTTCCGGCCATGACATATCCACCATACGTTCGAAATTGTCCTGTGCCCCGCCGAAGGATAGGAAATCACATAAAATATGGAATTGGTTCGGTGGCTGCCAAACAGAGATAGTATTTTATTTAGCCCTTAGAACATAAATCTGATATGACAGCCAGTTGCAATACAAGCAAAGAATCCTTAAGTATTGGAATCCTTTTCATGTTTCGCAACTGGCTGTCGTAGCTGACAATCGAAATTAAAAATAAATATTTTAAGAACCTTTTAAACAATGTTTTATTCATATAATTTTATTTAAAAGCCTCTTCAATTTGAATTAATGTATGAAAAACAATATGATTATATATCGAACAAAGTAAACCAGTTAATATTATTTGTAAGTTGCCGTGTGGATTGATTCACATCGGTCAATAGGAACAAAGGGTTAGGAATAGGAAAAATATATGCTGATGCAATCAATAAGTTCATTAATCGCAACTCTCGTTGAGCTTCAAAACTTCATTCTTGAGCTCAACGGTTTCGTAATAATTGTTCTTTCGTAGATAACGCTGGACAGGCGGTGCCAACAGGTTCTCATCCACATCCTTGATGTCCTGGCGTCCAAATACAAAAGTTAACAGGTTGGAAAAAGTAATTGTAAGCAGAGCTCCCAACATAGCGTATAAAAGAAAGGACATGTGATAAATAGAGCTTCCAGAGTGAGGTTCACTAAAGGAAAATACGAATTTAAATACGGCTTCATAAGTTTGGCAAAATAAACTTACTAATCCGCAGTGGAGTTAAGGTAACGACCCATGTCAAACTCATATTCACAATTTTCCACCGAAACTGGAAGTTTTGTATGACGGAAGGAACCAGTTATGTTGTTAATTTGGGCATTAACCGCTATCCAAGCCATGGTTAAAAAGGAAACAATGCTGCCCACAAAAACGCACTACAAATAATAATTTGTTATTAGTTATAAGCAGCATAAATAATTAATTGATTGTTCACCTTTTCGCCCACCCAAGGCATTAGCATTCCCACAGTGAATATTCCCAACATGGGTCCATATAAACTCGACTGGAGAGTGGCCGACAGCTGCAGCACCATGCCCAGTTTCTCCACCACATAGACCATAAATATGGAGCTAATGCCAAAGGTTACCACCACCACTCGCATGGTCAGAGCCACGTGGCTCTCCTTCATCTTGTTTCCCATGCGCGGCCTTATAAAGTCCTCCAGGATTACGGCGGCCAAGGAGTTAAGGAGCGTGGATAAAGAGCTGAGGGCCGCACTAAATACGGCCGAAACAAAAAGTCCTGGCAGACCAGGCACAACTCCCAGGACACGCATCACCAGCAGGGGTACCAGCTGATCCCGACGTCCAGCGAGCTTGGAAATTAAATAGTAAAATTATTAGGAGTACAAATCGTGTATGCCCAATGGAATATCAGAAGGAGTAATTCGAATATTTTTTTATAAATTATATAGAGAAGAATATTTATTACTTACTCCTGTGGACATGGGATCGCAATCATGATAGGTGGCATAGCACACCAATCCTATGTAGACGCATCCCATATAGAGCATCGTTATTCCGATGGAGAACGTAATGAGGGTTTGCTTGATGGCTTTCAACGATGGCAGGGACATGAAACGCTGCACAGTGGCTTGGTTAATCGATGTGCTCTGAAGCTTAAAGAAGGTTCCGCCCACAAACACAGAGAATACACTTATCCGAACAGTGGGATCCATGCTCCATCTGGGGTAACAAAAAACAAGATTAAAATAGGCAAAAATAAAATTAAACTTCCACCTACTCTGGGGCATTGAGACGTCCACCTTCATCGTTGATCCTCCACACTTCAGTAAGGCCACCCAAATCCAAGGTGCCCTTGATCATGATTACAATTAGGGATCCATACATAATAACGCTCTGAACGACATCCGTGTAAACCACGCCCTTCAATCCGCCCACGCAGGTGTAAAAGGTGCAAATGATGACCACAATAGGTGTAATGGTGTGGATACCAATTCCAGACACTTGGTTAAAGGTTAATGCTGGGACATACACAGCAATGGGAAGCCAAATAATCTGAAAGAACATTAGAATAGGTAAGTGATCAGTTTCTACATAAGTTAACTCGAACTTACCGCCTTTAAAACAAAGAGGCTAGCTCCGAACAAACGCATTCGCCGGCTGAAACGTCTCTCAAAATACTGAAAGAGTGAGTGTGTATAAGTAGGGATTCTTCAAGGATTGTTGATCAAAGGACACACCCAGTTGTTTACAAAAGTTAGCTAAAAAAGTCAAGCTTATGCATTCGATTAAGTGTAGGTACAAAACAATTTCTATATCTAAGACCAAACTACAGGGATTTGGGTTTTGCATACACGGTAAAAATATATTTAGGGGATTAAAGTAAGTTATAATGTTGATCCCTAGGACTTTTCAGCCTGTTCCAATTTGGGCTGCGTTTCCGATTCGTGGAGGGCTAAGTCTACTTTCTCCTCACTGGCCACACTTTCGTATTTTCCGTACCAGAATTTCCGCAGGACCGGGCTGACAAGCTCCTTATCCACCACGCGGGGATCCTGTCGACCGAAGTAGAGAGTGGCCAACAGAGAAATAAGTACAGTACCCACGGAACCGACTGCGGTGTACCATAAGAATGAGATCTCATGAATGCCGTGACTACTCGACTCGGTTGGAGTTCTACATTTAAAGGAAAATAAAATATTTAACAAATCTGTTCTAGGTAGTTTCGTTTCTTGAAACAATTACATACGCCGTAGTGGTCGCATTCCAGTTCTCAGGCAAATCAAATGAATAGTCACAGTCCTCCACAGAAACTGGTTTTCCTGGGAAAGTCAGCTCCCCTGTGAAAATGGCAACTTGAGCTCGCACCACAATGTAAGCTGTGAAGCTGGAGGCGATCGAAATGCCTGTGAGAAGACTCTAAAAGTATAGATAAAAGATTTAAGGAATTTTACTTTGAATTGCAACTAAAGCAATCAAACCTCTGTTTTGACAAACGGTAGAAGCATGCCCACACTGAAGGCTCCCAGAAGTGGACCACAAGTAATGGCCGCCACTGTGGAGGAGAGCTGCATGACCAGGCCGAGCCGCTGGACAATCGGCACACTGGCCATCGAGATCAGGCCGAAAGATACGACCACTCCCCTCAGCAAGTAGGCGGTTTGCCGTTCTGTCAAAGGCTTCTTCCTGTAGGGTTCCACAAAGTCCTTAAGGATCACACCGGAAAGAGCATTCAAGGCAGTCGAAAGGGAGCTCAGGGCAGCACTAAAAACTCCAGCTACAAACAAGCCAACCAGTCCGGGAATATGGCCAATGTTTTTGACCACATAAAGGGGTATCACTTGATCCTTGGCTCGAGCTAGCTGTAATATAAATCATACGATAAATGATTGGAAAGCACACCTTATATTTGTTATCTTAGCTAACCCCTGTTGTGATAGGATCGCAATGATAGAACTCCGCGAATGCCAACATTCCAATGTAAACACACATCAACATGACCATGAGTAAGCCAACAAGGGATAGAATCAAAGCCTTCTTTACGGCCTGATTATTGGGCAAAGTAAGATATCGCTGAACTATGGCCTGATTTATGCCATTAGCCTGCAGCTTGAACAAGGCGCCCCCAATAAACAGGGCAAACACACCCATCCTCGCAGTTGGATCAAAAGTCAAACTGAAAAGAAAAACTTTAAGTACAGAAAAATGTTAAATTCAAAATATTTTAACTTACTCAGGACCAACCAGACGATCAAACTGGCGATTGTGGTCTAGCACAACGCTTAAACCACCCAAATCTAAGGTTCCTTTAACAATGACAATTGCCATGGAACCGACCATTACAAAACCCTGAATGACATCCGTCCAAACAACGCCTTTAATTCCACCCTAAAAGTAAAATTCATATGATATACAATGTAACAAAAATTCTATAAGGCTTAATACTCACCAAGCTGGTATAAAGAATGCAAATCAAACTAGTTAGGGGGACAATTGTGTGTACACTTATTCCAGAAACTAAAGAGACAAATTTCAAAATTTTTACTATTATTAAACTGCTAATTACAATATATGCTTACCTTGATTAAGCGTTAGGGCAGGAACATATATGCAAATTGGCTGCCACAAAATCTAAGAAAAAACAATAATTAACTTGTTTGGCAATACTTATTTCAATTTTAACTCACGTTCATCACCACAAAAAGGCAGGATCCAAAGATACGCACTCGTCGATCGAAACGTCTTTCAAAGTACTAAGATAAAAAAGAACAAACAGAAACCAGAACAAATAGTTTATAGGATGCATGGTTATGTACAGGATGCATTGGATAAATGAAACATGCTCAACTTAGTGGACATACACAAGAGAATAAAAAGCCAGTAGACACGAAACACGAAAAAACAAGTTTTATTAGAAAAGTTCAGGAAGCCCTTTCGGTCTTTGTTTCAGCCTTGTGCTTAAAGAGATCCTGCATTTTAACAGCTTGGTAATTTTTCTTGGGCAAAAAGCGACGCATACACGGGGTAATTAATGCTGGATCCATTTTCTCAAGATTCTCCCAGCCGAAAAACAAACTAGCTAATAAAGAGATCACAGTGCAGATAACACCGCCTAAAGCTGTATACCAAAAGAAGGACAAATGATACAAGTTCCGCTCCGATGGTCTAGATATAAGAAAAAAACAATATTATTAAAACTCTGATCCATTGTTTGCCATACTTACCTGTAACCGTTTATGGTTTCATACACCGTGCTGTTATCGAAATCATAGTCACAGCCATCTACAGAAACAGGTAGTTTTGGATAGCGAATCTCGCCACTCATTTGGCCCAACTGGGCTTTGATACAAATCCAGGCCAACACAAAAAAGGACACAAGACTTCCTACTAGAACACTCTGCCGAAGCAAAAAGTATTTTATAAATAATGGAATGATTTTGTACATAATAGATTTAAAAGCTCACCTTTCCTTTAACCCACGGAAGACCCACTCCCATGCAGTAAATACCCAGAAGAGGACCCATCGAAACCGCCGCCGTGCTGGTTGCCAATGGAACCACTTGCCCCAACTTCTCCACTACGTTGACCATTCCGAGACACAAGAAGCCACAGACGACGACAATTGCCCGCAGCCAAAAAGCCGTCTGGCGTTCTGTCAACGGTTTTTTCAGCAAGGGCCTCACGATGTCCTGCGTAATAACACAGGCCATGGAATTGAGTCCTGTGGAGAGGGAGCTTAGGGCAGCGCTGAAGACCCCAGATACAAAGAGTCCTGGCAGGCCAGGCAGGGAGCCCAAGGTGCGCATCATTAGCAGAGAAGGCAGTTGGTCGACGGCAGCAGCTAACTGCAATAAACATTATATATAAAGTAGAAGTATACTATTAAAAATATATTTTTCTAAAAAGACAACTTACCTTAGTGCTAATCGGATCACAATCATGGTAGACCGCATAGGAAACCAAGCCCATATAATTGCAGCAGGCAAGGAGGAACATCAGGAGCAATGTGAAAGCAAACATACACCACTTGGCGTGGTTGTAACTCGGCAAGGAGAGGAACCGCTGAATGGACACCTGGTTGACATCCGAGGACTGGATCTTATGCAGAGTGCCGCCCAAAATCACAGACAACATTGACAGCCTCACTGTGGGGTCCCATGTCCATCTGCGTATTATAATAACACACACAGTCACCCAGGAAATTAATCATCACGTATGAATACTTACTCCGGAGAGTTAAGACGTCCGCCGTCTTCGTTTCTCTGCAAGACCACGCCCAGTCCGCCCACATCGAGGGTGCCCTTGATGCAGACCGCCAATATGGAACCGTACATCACGAAGCTCTGGATGACATCTGTCCAGATGACAGCCTTCAGTCCGCCCTGAAAGAGACAGAATCTTCGAGTTGTCTGCCCGACGACAAGTTGCCAGTGGAATTTCATTAAGTCTCACCACACACGTGTAGAAAGTGCAGATAGTGCACACAATGGGCGTAATTACGGAGATGCCAATTCCAGTCACTGAAAGATGGTTATATAGCAGTAAGTGGGAATTTTGCATGCATGCACTGAGATAAAGTTATGACTAGTACGATTTAAAAAATGTATTCAAAAAGAAAGGAAATGCAAGCAAAATAAGTCTAAATTGTGGCAAACAAAAATACTATTAATTTATATATAAGAAATAGAGTATATGGGTTTTTCTAGGTGCACTTATAAGAAGATGGTTAATGGAAATTGTTATGCATATGCCAAAACCAAACTTACCCTGATTAAATGTGATGGCCGGCACATACAAGGTCACAGGAAGCCAGACCATCTGCAAAGAAAATGTGAATGAATTGAATAATTTAATGGGTTATGTACTCACCATTCCTACGATGAAAAGAAAAGAGCCCAAATTGCGTATGCCGGAACCAAAACGCAATTGAAAGTACTAAAGGAAAGATTTCAATTGATTAAAAATGTATCATATAATTGTTAAGTTAGACGGCATTTTGTTTTACGCATGCTTAAATTATGTATGTACAGGTTTTGGCAAGCAATCTAACTAACTGAAAAAAACCTTAAGTGCTGCTTAAAAGTACATTTTATTGACAAGTACATGGCATGGGATTACTTTCTACGACTTCTCATTGAAACTTTTCAAGTTATTCTCATTAAGTTTTACGCTGACATAGCTAGACTTTTGGAAGCCGCGAATGCATGGCGAAAGCAGGTCAGCATCCACATCTTCGGGCTTATTTCTTCCAAAGATAAAGCCTGCCAAGTGGGCGCAGGTCACGCCCACTATGGTACCCATAACGCTGTAGAACATAAAGGAGACGTGGTAAAGCTCTTGGGTAAAAGAGAGTGATCTGTGGAAACAACACAAAACGGTGAGCAATTAAAGTTTGTTTAGCAAGCGGGAACTTACGCCGATTCTGGCAGATCAATGGTGGCATTGGCAGGAGTAACCAAAGAATGGTCAAACTCGTAGTCACAACCTTCCACACTAACTGGTTTGGTCTGGAACGTCATTTCGCCGGAGTTGATGGCCAATTGCGCCGATATGCACAACCAACCCATGAAGAAGAATGAGCAAAGAGATCCCACAATGGCGCTCTTAAAAAAACAATTACAATAATTTCATGTGGTGTTGGGAATTAAAAGAAACTAACTTTTGAGTTTATGCTTGGGCACAGCAGGCCCATCACAAAGAGACCCAGCAGAGGACCCTGGACCACCGATCCCACGGTCATCGAAAGCTGCATCACATGGGAACCCATTTGCTCGACCACAAACACCAGAGCTACACTCACAACTCCAATGATCACAGTACACAGTCTCATGGTGATAGCAGTCTGGTGCTCCGTTAGGGGTTTCCTCATCAAAGGTCTAATGTAGTCCTCCAGGAAAACAGCAGCCAATGAATTCATGCCCGTGGACAGGGAACTAAGAGCCGCGCTAAACACTCCGGCTACAAACATGCCAGGAACTCCAGGGAACGAGCTCATGGATTGCACCACCAAAAGAGGAACCAACTGATCCTTGGCCACCGCCAACTGCAAAAGTTTTGCTGAGTCACAAACATTCTAGACCTTTCATTGGGATGCAACCCGATTACATAGGTTATAGTAAAGTAAATCAACGACTTTACAGTTTGAATAACTATAGAGAAATCGGATTGCAATCCCAGTTTTTACTTGGTTTTCAACCTTTGTGGTCAAGGGATCGCAGTCGTAGTAAGTTGCAGAGAGCAGGAGTCCATTGTACAGGCAGATGGCCATCAGAGCAACCAGTCCGAAGATGAAGAGGAACGAGCACTGGGCCATCTCCTTGATTCCGGGCAGAGAAAGATATCGCTGGGTGATAATCTGATTGCAACCCAGGTTGTAGGAGTTGTGAGCCACGTTGCCCACCATCATCGCCAACATGGACATTCGCACCTTAGGGTCGAGGGTGAATCTGTTTTGAATAAACTCCGGATTATAAACAGGAAGGAGGACCCGTGCACCACACATCCTGGCTGAATAACCAGCCATTTGTATGGTACTTGCCCTAATAAACGGCTTTCACCCACTCTGGCCACTCAATGCGTCCGCTGTCGAGATTCCGCTGAATAACCACGCCCAGTCCGCCCAAATCGAGGGTGCCCTTGATGATGACGAAGAACACCGCTCCCACCATAATGACGGTTTGGATCACATCTGTCCAGACAACGGCCTTCAGCCCGCCGGCAGTTGTGTAGAATATGCAGACGAGGCACACAATTGGCGTGATGACATGTATATTTATTCCAGTAACTGGAAAAGTGCACAAAAGTCAACACGTGGCGCTCGACTTTGCCTTAAATCTTTAAGGGAGCGGAAAAGTAACTTTGAGCTTCATGGAATTTTTTACAAATGTGTGGCGTTAAGGCTTGCTTCTCAAAAAGATAAATAATGTTGGGGGGAAAATGTTTCAGAATTAAGTATGAAATTTCAAAGTTGTCAAGAACCCCTGGAAAAATAAAATAGTTAATAAAATAAACCGGACTGTATATAATGTATAAGTTAGTTTAAAGTTAATAAGCTAACTTAAGTACAAACATTTTTATTCATAAGTACATCATTTTGAATGTCAAAATTAATATTGAAGCAAAATTTAAACAGGAAAAAGTATGAATGTTAAGCAAGGTGATACAAAGTTTAAGTTGTTGTTTTTTTTGGTTCTACGATTTCTCAGGGGAACCAATACCAGAGTTCTCGTTCAGGTTAACGCTGGAATAGTTTCGGTTTCTAAATCTACGAGCGCAGGGCGAGAGCAAGTCATCTTCCACGTCATCTGGTTTATTGCGGCCAAATACAAAGCCAGCCAGATGTCCCACAATCACACCCAACGTGCCCCCCATAACCGTATAGAACATGAAGGAAATGTGGTAAAGCTGCTCGGCGAAGGAGAGGCTCCTGTAGGATTGGGATTGGTTGAAGGAAGGTTGAAGGTGGTCAGATAGTTGGCGAGGTTCTGGGAAACTTACGCAGGCTCTCCACTCAGAAGGGTGGCATTTGCAGGGGTCACCAGGGAACGGTCGAACTCATAGTCGCAGCCCTCAACGCTGACTGGCTTTTCCGCTGTGTAAATTTCCCCGGAGTTTATGGCAGCCTGGGCCGAAAGACTAAGCCAGCCCATGAAGAAACAAGCAACGACGGATCCCGTAAAGGCGCTCTAAACAAGAAAATCAGTTTTATAATTCCAAACTTTTTCTAGGCATCCAACAAATAAACTTTCAGAGAGCCATCCTAAATTATATTTGGATTTTGAATATAACTATTTGAGATATAAAAAAGGATTATACAATCCAATTTTTATACCCTTGCAGAGGGTATTATAGTTCCAGTCAAAAATTTGCAATGCAGTGAAGGAGACACTCTATATTTTTTTTCCAATAAGCCGGGAGCCCAATTTAGATTGGATTTCCAAAAGTTGTTTTTCTGAACGAAGGGATACTAACTCTTGAGTTGATGCTGGGGCACAAAAGTCCCATTGAAAATAGACTGAGAAGAGGACCCTGCACCACTGAACCAATGGTGATGCCGAGCTGCAGCACATGAGAGCTCATTTTTTCGACCACGAAGACCAGGGAGACACTCACAACTCCGATGATTACAGTACAGAGTCTCATGGTAATGGCAGTCTGGTGCTCCGAGAGGGGCTTCTTCACTAAAGGCCTTATGTAATCCTCCAGGAAAACAGCGGAAAGTGAATTCATGCCCGTGGACAGAGAACTTAAAGCAGCACTAAACACTCCGGCTACAAACATTCCGGAAACTCCGGGAAACGAGCTCATGGATTGCACCACTAGAAGGGGAACCAACTGATCCTTTGCAGCTGCCAACTGAAAATTATTTCTTAATCAGAAATTGATCATAAAATGGGCTGACAAATGGGTTACAAACGAACTTATACTCAGAACTCTGTATCGATTTAATTGTAAAAGTGTAATTTTAATAACAACTATTATTCTGAGTTTAAATTCCCATTTAACAGATAATATTTCCCAACCTTTGTGGTCAATGGATCGCAGTCGTAGTAAGTTGCGAAAAGCAGAAGGCCGTTGTACAGGCAGAGTGCAAATAAAAAAGTCAATCCGGCAATAAAAAGAAAGGACGTGTGAGCCATCTGCTTTACACCGGGCAGGGACATGTACCGCTGGGTCATCATCTGGTTGCAGCCGAATTGGTAAGTGTTGTGGCCAACACAGCCCACCATTAGAGCCAGCATGGACATGCGAACTTTGGGGTCCAGTGTGAATCTGTTTGTGAAATGCATTTGTCATGAACAGACCAGACTAACTCCCCACTTTAGTTTTCACCCACTCAGGCCACTCAATGCGTCCACTATCGTAATTCCGCTGAATAACCACGCCCAGTCCGCCCACATCGAGGGTGCCCTTGATGATGACAAAGATAACCGCGCCTATCATAATGACGGTCTGTATCACATCTGTCCAGACTACGGCCTTCAGCCCGCCGGCAGTTGTGTAGAATATGCAGACGAGGCACACAATGGGCGTTATGATGTGTATATTTATGCCAGTGACTGCAGAAAAATAAAGTTATGTGAAATTCGTCAATTTGGAAAACATTTTTATCATTAGCATTTTAGGGTTCTTGACAATTAAATACGTTTACTAATCCGGTTAATAACTGTTGCTTTAAAAGCTCCCAAACTTTTTACTCTCAGCTTCTTACCTTGATTAAAGGCCAATGCGGGAACATAGATGACAATTGGCAGCCAAATCAGCTATTAATGAAAAAACATTAAAATATGTATCCAATGGTAAGGTTTCTGTTCCTGAAGAATATTTAATTGTTTACTATATTATACTTACGTTTGCAATAGTAAAGAAGGCGGAGCTCAGCAGACGAACCGATTTGTTAAAGCGCATTTCGAAGTACTGAAAATATTTTTTTCCATTGGTTTTCCGACTTCCGGTTAACACACAATAAGGATTGCCCACACACACAGACAAGCAATCGCTATGTAAGTGTGTGTGGGGCAACGCGGCGCATACATAATCGACTATTACTCATACGACATGTTGCCAACACCAACTTATACACTACGACTATTCGTATGCCAGCCCGCACAATTGGTATTGTTCGAGCTTATTGCAACTGGCATTGTGTGCCAAAACCTCGGCGAAATCTATGGCATGCAAATAAACTGGCTTTCGAAAAATTCTTACAGCTGATTGCACACTGGTTTTGTCCCTTGTTTTGCTTTTCGGAACATGTACTCCCTTCTCGTTGTTCTGCTCTGGCCTTACTTACACATTAACATGCCATCGGATATCGGATATCAGAGAATCCAAATTCGAATACTCAGAAACATTGAATTAATGCGTAACATGCAGTCCAATAGGTTAACACACACTTTATCCAGAATTGGACAACGTTCTGCTTACCTCATAGGTGGAAGTCAGCTGGAGATTGCAGAAGACTGGCAGAAAGATGTACCACGAAATGGCTCCCGAGATGGCCAAAGTCACCAGGATGAAGGCGTATTGGGTTCCGTACACGTAGATCTCCGTCGAAGTTCCCAGGAGCGAAATTCCAGACACGAAGCTGAAATTAATACACAACAAATTAGTTCACGCTAATTACGCCTGAAGCTTAAAGTTCAGCGACGCTAATTGCCAACCGATTGATCCGGATCTATCTTTCCTTCGCCAAATTCCTTTTTTTGCTTGGCCACAAAGTAACTTGGGAAAATTTTTAATTGAATTAAGTTGGGCCACTCAAGTTATTGGTCAAAGTTATTACGAAGGTGGGCAAAATTTTGTGAAATCAACTTGAGGTAATCGATTAATGATGGATTAGAGCCCAACCACAAAGAAATTTGTCGGACTAACAGCTTCTATTAAATATGTAAAATAAAAACAAAATAATAAAGACCTTTCCTAGTAATCAATAATAATTTCAAGTTTTTTTTAGCAAGTGAGGTGTAATAATATCTGAACTCAAATCCAATCCAGAAAAGTAATGTCTAGTCGCATTTGCCGAAGAAAACTTTTCCTGGACTCAGAATTCCGTAATCTGATTTTAATGATTAATGTCCATAACAATCATCATTTCAATTTTTGGCCACAAAACAAATGAATTGCCGCCACAGACACATAAAGTTGACGGCTGAGAGAAAAATGCCATTAAAAGTTGATAACAAGCGGCGTTAAAGTATGCAGACAAACACAAGCAAACAATTTAAAAAAAAAAAATTGAAAAAATCTGCAAGGAACAAAGGACATTTCGTAGGGGAAAAAAATGCTATGTAATTGTAATTCAAAGCACGTTGGCTGAATTTGTTGCAAAAAGCAAAGGACAACAAATAGAATGCCATAACAATAAAAGGCTCACGAAACAATTGTCAGCGGGCGAGGCAAATGACCAAGAGGGCGGCCAGGATTCCGGGGAACAGGACCTGTCGGCCCGGTCATTAATGCGACGACAACACGGCAAAGACAAAGGGACCGCACCCTTCAAAAGGTGCTTGACCAAAACGTGTCAAATACACGGCTCTCCTCCATTCGCCCCCATCTCGCCAATACCAAGGTCACTTGGCCTGGCCGAAACCGAATTGGGCAAAGAAAAAGTAATTTGGGCAAATTATTTGAGTTTGCGGCTGGGCGCAAGTTTAAATAACTTCAATCTGGCTTAGACACCGTGAGCTGCTAAGTTGTATTTATACGCCGGATATATTTACTCGCAAAGTTCCGCAAGCCATTTCAATATCAGCACAATCCACCATAACATCCATCCATAATGGGCCTGACCCTGACAATGAGTATTGTTTACGCAATGCCCGGTCGGTCTTGTGTCGGAAGAAACTTTTAAATAAAACGCTACACTGTTTGCCCTCGCCAAACAATTCGCCAGACACTGCTGGACTGGGGCAGATTATCTTTTACCCGGATTACGTATACGCACGTTTGCCTCAGAGCACAAAGTAAGGCGAAATGACTGAAAATATTTTGATTGATTCGTCGGGTTTAGGTCGGGCTCATTACGATAATTTGTGCAAATATAAGCCGACCTCAAGCGAATGCATCGCATTCAATTTTCGGGGATTATGCCAGCTTAAAGCGTCTGAACAATAAATTTACGAATTTCCTGCCAGCCACTTTTCCATTTAGGAGCCTCAGCCTCCTGTTTTTCCACGTCAAAAGTAATTAAGCAGCTCTACACGGAAAGGAAATTTTGAAAGGAATTTTTCCGGACTTTAAATAAGAAAAAAAATGTAGAGAACTTTTTTTTGTAAAATTTAAAAATAAATTTGCTATCTTTAACAACCAGTTTTTTTTTCTTCAGAAAGAAATATAATTTGAAAAAGTTTTCCCTATTTTTCCGGTGCATATCCTGTTGGCCAGCCAGGACGAAATATGCGGCATTTGCATATATATAGACGCTGGGGAGACTGTAACTCACCTGGCCACAAGTGACAGGGCGACCGGAAACACCTTCATTTGACGTCCGCCCACCAGGTAGTCCAACGCCTCAGAGCCACGCCTCTCCTCGACGCCCGCCGCCCCCCCGCCGTCCTTGTCGGCCAGCTTCTGCTTCTTCTGCTTCTTTTCGATAAAGCCGAAATAGAAGCCGATAACGGCGCAGACCGCCAACATGGCGATGAAGACCAAGTAATCAACAATGCCGAAATGCTGCAGGGCCTGGCTCAAATCCTTCACGCTGAGCTTCTCCTCTTCATCCTTCAGACCTCCGGATAATGATTGGATGGGAGTGGGCGTTGGTGTGGCCGCTGATGTGGGCGTGGAAGTGAAAGTAGTTGAGGAAGTGGGCGTGGAGGTGGGGGTGGCGCCAGTTGTGGAGCTAGTTGAAACCGTGCTGCTAATTACGGCCACTGTCTTCGCAATCGCATTCGCCACCGTTGTGGTGGCTTGGGCCACGATGGAGTCAGCGGGGGAGGATACCCCCTGCGCCACGGGATCGGCAGTGGTTGACATTATTTCCGGAACCGCAAGTTGCTTTTATGTAGTTTATTTTTATTGACTTCCAGCCGCGTCGCTTTAATGCGTTCGGCTTTGATTACTTTGGCATTAGTTTGACACACGCACTCGCACTGTGAATTGAATTCGATTTTGCATTAGGAACTTTTTCGAACTTGTTAATGAAAGGCCACCAGCTTTAAAGGGTTTCTCCAACAAAGGATAATCACGAAAAATTCGATTGAACAACAAATTTTTAGCTAATTCACAAGCTCAGAATAATGAAAGCAAACAGGATCCAGTAATATCTTGACAAAATTATTAAAATAACAACCGAAAAGTCAGTAACCTTAGGATTTTTTTTATTAAAATACTAAAATGACTTTAAAAAGACTTCTTTTGGTTTTAATTTATGCTGCATTAAATTTGAAGTCTAATCTAGCTTCTCACTAAATTTAAAAGATAAAAGGCAGTAACTTAAAACCTTGATGCTTGAACTTGATTCCTTAATTTACAACCTGCTTTGCTGTTAAAATCTACGTGTCCCTAAAGCATTCAAGGTCAAAGAAACTTATGCAATTTAGCGAAAAAGAAATTATTACAGCCGATATAGGAATTGGAAAAACTTTAAAGCGGAACCAAGCACTTCACTAACGATAAATTGATTTTAATTGGTACAAATTGAAAACTATTTTTAGCACACACGCACACGAGGTCCTTGAGGTTCGGATTCAGGATAACGCAATTCGATTTGGAGGCGAGCACACACAAGTGTTTGATCCAATTCTCCGCCGAGCACTGAACTTATTTTCCGCCGCAAGCTGCGTTAGAGATCTCCGGGGGGATTCTTATCGAGAAGCCCGGCGACAAAAGCATCAGCATCATCATCAGCAACAGCATCAGCAACAGCATCAGCAACAGCACATCAGAGCCGCGGATCGTAATTCACGCAAATCTTGTAAGAGTGTGGGCAGAGGCTTTGTGTAAGGCTTTGTCGCCTAAATTGCCAGGGGCATGTCGGGTCTGGCCAGATAGATATATAGATAAGTGCACACCCCCCATTCGAGGTGTGATCGTGTGTATCTTCGTCTAGCCTCAGATCCCAGATCCGCCAGATAGTAAATTACTTTCTTTGTACGCGGACGTGTCGCGTCTTCGGTTTTATTGCCCTCGGCGATGTTATTTATATAAATGCATATCCCTCGCGCAATCCGTATTTTTTTTTGTTCGTCGATAGCATTTACAACTCGAAAAGGGGGTACATTTCCACGATAATACGCACAGTTCTGACTCAAACGAGTGGCTACTGGTTTAGCTAACGATTAAAAGTGATGCCAACCTGGGTTCACAGATAATATGATAAGCATTAAGTGGAGTGTGGGCCAAGTCACTGTGTTTGCCGGAGATTAGCCACGAACACCTACTTAACATTAGTCCAATGCGCCAATTCCAGGGTAGGACGTGACTAATGCGTGATGTCCACGGGCCCACAATTAAATACTCGAATGTCTTGTTAGCCAACACAGTTCAGTCCTGAATTTCGCCACGCTGGGCATCCACTTCACAGCTATTTCACTTTTGCCGCGCAACAGGATGCGACACAAATCGAATTTTCGAAAACGGCCAACAGAGTTAGCTCACAAAAGCCATATCATCTGACAGGGATCCAGGCCATCCAATCGAGTTAAAGTTCGGCCCAACAAATTGTGGATTGGTGTCGAAAAAAAGCAACCAAAGTCATGTCAGCTGTACACTCTCTGTTTTATTGGATTTAATGCACATTAATGAGCGAACAATGGCTATGAAATCATCTGGAATTGTGCACCAATTATGGAAACTTGACTGCACCGGCACAGAGGCTTCTCCTTCAATCCAAACATGTTGCAATAACATATATAGCATAACTAGCCAGCACACCAACTAATTGATTTTTGACAATCAATTACGGCAATTACTTACGTCTGTTGCAGGGTCGAGTCGAGGAGGTGAATTCAATTTGGGGAAACCTACAAAACGCACACAACGTGACTTCGGCTTTTCGGTAATCTTTTATCGAGCTAATCCCCTGTGAGCAAGGACAGCCTTCGAAAAGTGAAGGAGGAAGCAGGGAAACCTGTATGGTATTATGAGTATAAGAAGCTAGTCTTAAAGGGCGAGCAAAAATAGGCAATAAATATGGAAACAAAAATAGAGCAAATCTTGCCCTAGGAAAATTTCGGATGATGCTGAAGTCGGTCGTCATTCTAACTTTATATAATAAAATGGAAAAGTAAATACAAACTAACATTTTTGAATTCTAGGCTATTCTGTTCTTAATTTAGTTTGCCTTAAATTGTAATCAGCCAGAAAAAATACAAGTGTAAGCAAAGAAATATTACACCACCTAAAAAAAAGCTTGATTAACAATGTAACAATAGTCATAAACAAAAGATAAAATCGTATTTAAATTCGTTAGCGTGTGCTCCGTACTTATGAGAGGCATTAGAGAGCTGAACTAAACCATAGATAGTGGCCAGTGGCAACCGCAATATAAACACAGCAACTGTAAATATGGCGCCAGAGAAAAACAAAAAAAATATATGCAAACAAAACAAAGTGCTACAAAATTTAATTATTTTTATGCTACGAGCAAAATGAAATAAAGACGAAAATGAAAAACCGAGTTTAGCATATGCAAAATAATGGCGAAAAACCGGCAACGGCAGCAGCACTTGACCCTTTTAGTTGGGCTTAATTTGTCTGGAAACCGCAACTGTTTCGGCCTTATGAGTTGGCGCCAAAAATACCAGCTTAACTCCAGGGAAAACCTTCACCCACTCACCTTTTGCTTTCCCCCTTCGAAGCCAGAAGAATGTTTGTGCAGTTTGTGTTTGGGCATTTTCCCATTTCCGTCTGCAACTGCAGCTCCATTTGCTCAAAGCGCCGTGCAATTGCCTTGACTTTGGCTCTGTTTGGATTTTCTTGTGTGCCTTTCTCTTTCTTACCGAGTACTTGAAGAAAACAAGAGTATATTGAATCCGGAAAATTGTAAACAAAAGGCTAAAGGAATTTTCCAGCTTGCCTTTCTCATTTTCAAGTAACCGAGGGGATTTACATTTTAAATTTTTATAAGTGATTACAAATGGTTAGGAAAATTTAATTCAGTTTTTAGTTACTACCGAGTATCCCAGAGTCCCCTCTCTAAATTTTATTTATGTGCATAGTTGCTATGTGTATTTTGTGTTGTGCACACTTGAGCCAATTTAACGCTTCCGTGTGTTTTTTACTTGCCACGCCTCGTTGACTGTGCTGGAAAATGTTCCGCCTGGCGGAGGGCTGAGGGCAAGAATGATTTAATTTCTACCTAAAAGCCGAAAACACAATCCCTAAATTAGCGCTCAGCCATGTACACTTCAATTAATCCAGTTAAGTAATCGTAGGAGTATTTCTTCTGCCGCTAGAACTATTCACTGCCATTGATTACACGGCCCACAAATTAAGGCCAATTAAATCAAATCCGGATTGCCCTGTGGTTTCCATCGCCCACGCAAATCGTGGCCTTGAACTTGCCAGCTTTCCACAGCCATTAGCCAGAAGGCAGACTCGGTTCTAATATCTTACTAGGCCTTTTTTTTACATATCCACCCGGGGGCATTTATACTCAGACAGTAGCCCAGAAATCGACTGGGCCCTTTGGGGAGTTGCCTTGATGCCGACAACCATAAAATGCGAATGGAAAGCTTGAATATGCATTATTCTTTCTGCCGGTCTGCCATCATCTGGCAATCAGAACTTGCTCGAGTGGAAAAATCAAATGTATTTTTGTGTTCGAATGTGAAAAGCGGGTGAGAGGATTAAAAATTGCTGTGGTTACCAGGAAAAGCGTTGCGAATTGGGAATTTGTAAACTTTAGGCTCGTAAAGAGCTTAGGCAAGTATCTTATCTTCATAACTTTTCTCTATCTCTTACAAACGTAGGCTTAGGTCAAGTATTTTTCCTGCCTAGATAAGTTATTAAGGAAAGTTTTTACTACAACTAGAATAGCGTGCGTCATTTAAGTTCATAGCAAAAAAAAAATGGATAATGGTAAAAAATAGCAAAAGCAGTATTTTACTTTTTTAAATTATTAATTTGTTTTTGGGTACAAGATTTCCTTAAAAATTACTAGCTTAAAGGCTAACCTAAAATTAATTCCACAAAAGATCTTATTATCACGTGCTGCTGTTCTCTAGCTCGTATTTCTCCATTATGGCAATTACCGGCTCATTGACGTATTTACGCACTTCGTTATTGAGGGCGAAGTCGCCATGATTCCACTCCGGATCATCCATATGGTGCATTACCTTGTTGGGCAGTCGACTTGCCAACAGCTCGACATCCTCTACAGCGGCCAAATTATCGCTGTCTGCGTACCACAAGTGCACCATCGAGTTGATTAGCTCCACAGGATATTCTGGGGGTTCCTCGGATCCGTAGACCTCCAGGTTCTTCTTGGTGCCATGGTCGAACTGGCGGAAGTAACCCGATTGCTGTTCTTGCAAGTAGTGAAGCATTTGGTCGGTGGAACAACCCGCCGGATGGGTGGCCATACCTTCCGGCATAGCAGTCTGATAAAAGTCATAATGTGGTTAGCTGATGTATTTAAATTTTGAAGTTAAATTTTAAATGTATACTCACCATATTGACACGACCTCCTGAATAGAGTGAACTCATGGCATTTTCGCAAACCGGACGCAGCAAGAAATCCGGCTGACAAATATTAAAGAACAAAGCCATGACGAACTCATTGTGGGGCAGGAATTCCTGGGAGCCAAAGAGTATCGAGTAGGCATTCCTGTGACCCAAATAGGGACCCACCTTCACCACCAATGCATTGGTCAAGTGCTTCATAATTGCCACAGGGGCAAACATATGAGCGGTCTTGATTTTGTAGTTGTACTCCGGCATCGAGGACATCAGAGCAAAATATACAGTAGTTCCCTGAGAATGGCCCACATAGTGGATGGCATCCTGATCCTGGCCATTTTCCGTATGCAGAGCGTAATCGATAATGGCTGTAATATCGTATATACCGATCTCATGCCAACTGAACTGCCAGAAAAGTGGGTTCTCCGTGGAGAGCTTCGTGTGGTTCCTGGAGTACGAAGTGCCTCGAGCATTGCCCATCCACACATCATATCCTGCATCCGCCAGCAAATATGGCAGACTGTCGTTGGGTCCTTGCAAAATCCAGGCGTCCGAGCAGCTGGTCAATCCATGTTGGAGCAGCACAATGGGTCGCTTTTCGTTCTGATTCTGCAGTTTGTGGGAGTATGGAATGCGAAACACTCCCAGGATATAACCATCCTTGGTTTCAATGTAGTGGTGCTCCGAAGGATATCCGTGCGAGGCAGTGCGATCAGCCTGTGCTTACATAATTCGTTTCTTGTTGTTCATATTTCATTAAGTATTTTATTAAAATATTACCGTGGTTTTTTTCTCCTTAAGGCTTATGTGCGCCTCGGGGTTATCGTAAAGCTTGTAGAAGTCAATGGGTCCATCTAAGGCAGCGGAGTAAACTCCCAGGATCAAAGCGCCCAAGATCAGAAAGCCAACCGTAAATCTGTTCATGGTACCTATGATTCCGATGGTCTAATGCCTACTGACTCTTGACAAACACATGACTTTCAGCTTTTGTAGAGCTCCGCGGGTGGATTCAAGTTTCAAGTAGTCTTACTATCGGTGGTTTGATTATGTATATTTAGACTGTCAAGATAATTCATAACTAATAGAATTCGCATTCTAAAAGATTAAAACACTTGGTTTAAATAGATTAAGTGCTTCCCTAACTTTACCTTGACTTGATTTTGCTAAAAAAAATTTTTATTCAATGAAAAGATTTGGATTTGGATCAGAATTGCAGGTGTGAACCGATAACTCCGTGAAGTACACATGTATCGCGTGGTTCAATGAGTTGAACTTATCAGCTTTTTAAGGAACTTGGAACAAGTGCACCCCCCTAACTGTTTTAGATTAAAAGCCACTTATAGATGTTAAGCGCTACAGTTGTATAATTTATGGCTACTACTGGTTTCGTAGGTGGGAAAATTGGTTTTTGATAACAATAACAAGAGGCGGCTAAGATCTAATAATAATAATAACAATGAGATATGTACATGGAGGAAGTGTGTGTCAAATGATTAAACTTGATGTGCTTCCGTTGATGATAAGAAATTTGTTTAAAATGGGATTTAAATATAAACAATTATCACTAAAAGCCACTTAAGTTTTGGCCAATGTCCGTATTACTTTCCCTCGTAATCATTTATGATGGCTATGATCGGATTATTTATGTACTTGCGCACCTCCCAGTTGGTGGCGAAGTCCATATGATCCCACAGTGGATCCTCCATGTGGTGCATCACCTTGTTGGGCAGCGTTTCTGCCACCCTGAGGACATCCTCAACTGCAGACATCTCATCGTTGTCCGAATACCACAGGTGCATTTCAGTTGTAATCAGTTCAGTGGGATAATCCGGAGGGTATTCGGTTCCGTATATCTTCAGATTCTTCTTGGTGCCGAAGTCAAACTGGCGGAAGTGTCCTGATTGGTGTTCCTGCATGTAGTGAAGAACCTGATCGGTTGAAATGCCAGCGGGCATCACTCCGGACAGCAAGGAATCGGCCGTCTATGGGTACAAATTAATAATTTGTAAAATTAAAATAGTAACTAAATAAATCACTTCAACCAACCGTATTGGTTCTTCCTTGCTCAACAGTCGTCTCATTGCTGCTGCTGCAGAAACTCGAAACAATTGACCCCGGAAGACAAACACTATACATCAGAGCTAGGACAAAATCGTTATAGGGCAAGAACTCCTGGGAGCAGAAGAGTGTTGAGTATACGTTGTTGAATCCCAGATAGGGAGACAAGGTGTTGACCATTATGTCGTCCATGTGATCCATGAAAGCCACTGGGGCCAGCATGTGTGCCGTTTTGATTTTGTCATTGTATTCCGGCCTCGAAGACAACAGGACGAACATCACAGTGGTTCCCTGCGAGTGACCCACATAGTGGATGCCCTCCTGTCCCTCTCCATTTTCAGTAGACAAGGTGTAATCGATGGCTGCTGCAATATCATAGTAGGCAATCTCGTGCCAACTGAAGCGCCAGAAGTCTGGATGGCTGGTGGAGCGAGTCGTGTGATTCCTGGAGTATCTGTTTCCTCGGGCGTTGCCCATCCAGACATCGTATCCTGCATCGGACAGCAGGAAGGGAAGAGCATCATCCGGTCCCAAACACGGCCATCCATCGGAGCTTGCAAAAAGACCATGCTGGATAAACACAATTGGTGTCTTTTCATTCTGATTTTGTAGGTTATGGGAGTACGGGATTCGGAATAGGCTGATGATATAGCCATCTTCAGTAGTCACATAGTGCCGTTCTGCAGGGTATCCATGCTCCTCAATGAAATGGATCTGAAGATATTTCGAGATATAATAAATATATACATAAAAATACTGCGGAACTTACTGTGTTAGGACCAGTGGTCAAGGATAAGTGGGCATCGGGATTATTAAACAATTTGTAAAAGTCGGTAACCTCGGAAGGATCGTTGGAAAAAGGAGCACCACGGACAATTTTGCCTAGGAAAATGCTTAGCAAGACGAGAAGAGCGCTGAAGTGTGATTTAGACATTTTAATTCTCAACTACGGGAAAATGTCTGAAAGCCTCACCCTTATAAAGACTTCCGCCGACCACTCAAGTAAAGTGTTAATTTTGATATGAACCGATTAGCCAAATAAGCCAAATAAATGTTTATGCCCAGCGGTGAAAATGTCATAAACTGTCTCACGTTCATGGCTTGCGGAATAATTGAACTAAAATTAGAGCAATTAATTTTCTTGTTTTGGATTTCCCGAGGAACTTTTAATAAGACCACGTGGAAACTCTCTGATTAGTTACGTTTTATTTATAGACTTGTTAATAAAAACATCTAAAGTATGGAAGGGAAAATCGGCAACTAGGTAGTATTTTTACCTACTATTGTGCTTGTGGAAAATAATATTCCCACAATTGAAGTTTATGACCATACAATTGGCTAACTTTACTCATCGGTTCTTATCGAAATGACCATCTTAATCGGTTTTCTATAAAGGGTCTGGGGTTCAGAGTTTTTCAGTAGTTCGTTCGAAAAATGGCTAGCTCTCACATCGCTGTTTGCAACGCTTTGCTGGGCATTCTCCTGGGAACCATTGTCCAAGGAGCTCCGCTCTCTAATGTAGGCGATTCTACTGAGGTGATCGACTTCTACCAGTTGTTTAATAACCCCGAGGCGCATTTGTCCCTAACCGATGGTCCCGACACGGTAAGTTTTAGATAACAATATTTGTTTACAGTTTTCAAAGCGAAAACCTGTAGCAAATTAAACTTCATTTTATGGGATTATTTATAATTCATTTAATTTGTTAATATCCTTACTTTATTTTAACATTTAATTTCATTTATTCATAGATTTACTTCATCGAGGACCACGGTTATCCTGCAGAGCGACATTATGTGACCACCGAAGATGGCTACATCATCAGCCTATTCCGAATTCCCTTCTCCCATAATCTGCAAAATCAAGATGATAAGAGACCGATTGCCTTCCTCCAGCACGGACTCTTTGGAAGCTCTGATGCTTGGCCGAGCTTGGGACCGGATGATGCTCTTCCCTTCCTGCTTTCTGATGCAGGATACGATGTGTGGATGGGCAATGCCCGGGGAAACAGATACTCCAGGAATCACACGACTCGCTCCACCAAACATCCTGACTTCTGGCGCTTCAGTTGGCACGAGATTGCGTACTATGATATTGCAGCAGCCATCGATTACACTTTGTCTACTGAAAATGGAGAGGGGCAGGAGGGCATCCACTATGTGGGTCACTCGCAGGGAACCACTGTGATGTTCGTCTTGATGTCCTCGAGACCGGAGTACAACGAGAAGGTCAAGACGGCGCACATGCTGGCTCCAGTGGCTTTCATGGATCACATGGACGACATAATGGTCAACACCTTGTCTCCCTATCTGGGATTCAATAACGTATACTCAACACTCTTCTGCTCCCAGGAGTTCTTGCCCTATAACGATTTTGTCCTAGCTCTGATGTATAGTGTTTGTCTTCCGGGGTCAATTGTTTCGAGTTTCTGCAGCAGCAGCAATGAGACGACTGTTGAGCAAGGAAGATCCAATACGGTTGGTATAATGGTATACAAATTTTGAATTTTAAAGTATTTTTTTTGTTCCCATAGACGGCCACTGCCTTGCTGTCCGGAGTGATGCCCGCTGGCATTTCAACCGATCAGGTTCTTCACTACATGCAGGAACACCAATCAGGACACTTCCGCCAGTTTGACTTCGGCACCAAGAAGAATCTGAAGATATACGGAACCGAATCCCCTCCGGATTATCCCACTGAACTGATTACAACTGAAATGCACCTGTGGTATTCGGACAACGATGAGATGTCTGCAGTTGAGGATGTCCTTAGGGTGGCGGAGACGCTGCCCAACAAGGTGATGCACCACATGGAGGATCCACTGTGGGATCATAACGACTTCGCCAACAATTGGGAAGTACGGCAGTACATCAATGAACCTATTATAGCCATCATGAACGAGTACGAGGCGAAGTCCAAGTCTGGCCAGTAGTTTAGTTTCTTTTCTTAATTATGATAATTATTGATAATAATGCAAATGCGAACAAAATCAATCCATATCTTATCATTAACGGATGCAGCTGAGACATTCAGAAGTAGACGCACTTCATAGTTGAACAAGTTCTTTCTGATTTTCACTTAGCACTCGAAATTCCCTACACTCATGCAAATGATTATTGTGTTCTTTAGATCTTAGTCGACTTTTGTAATTAAAAAACAATTTTCCCATATTCAAGTAGAGGTTGTAAATTATATAGCTACCCCTCGTTAATTCTAAAAACGGCTTAGTAATCTAAACAAGCCCCCAGGCGATAGGGGCAAATTCTTTCAGTAGATTATCAAAAACTTGTTCAAGTGATTTATAGTGACGATAAGAAAGGCCCCTTTGAAGAACACCAACTGGCGCTTTATTTCTCTGAACTTGTGGGTTAGTTTTCGGAACAGTAAATTAGTTTATGACACATCCAAAAAGTGGGTAAGGCCGATTTAAATGGGCGACCCAGATTTTAGGTTGTTACAGATTTGGAACAACAAAAATGTACACTGCAAAAACTTTTTTTTATTTCGAATAAATTATTATAACTAGCTTTATATGAATTATTTTGGAACTCATGTTGTCGAATACAGGTGAGTCAAAAAGGGTTTGACAAACATACAAATTATCAACAGCGCACACGAGCTGGAATGTTCTTCATTTGATGGTCTTCCCCGATTTTCAGAACTGCCACCATTCCTTGCACGGCATGTGCTTCAATATGGCAATGATATAGCCAGAATCCAGGATTGTTGGATATGAATCGAACGATAATGTATCCCTGCCCCGGAATTTGTACGGTATCCTTGGCCACGGCAGCACTATCATCCGATAATCGGGGTAAGCGTCCCCTGCGATCTAGATCTCGTATCTAAAAAGAAAGAGATTTATCAAAAAATACGGTTAAATAAGAAAAGATATATTACGTTGCGCAGATCGTTTATATTTCCCACTACTCCTTGACCAACCAGGCGGAAAGTAAAACCGTGGATGTGGAAGGGATGCGTGCTCTCCAGATAGTTGGCCACAACCAGTTCCAGAGGACGGTAGGCCGGAAGCCTCATTACGTGGACACATTCGCAGATCTCCCTTTCACAATTTCGGCCCTCTAGAGCCAAGGAGCTCTTGTTGCAGAAGTATCCATCGTCCTGGTAGAGGTGCCTGCCCTGCAGCAAGGATATTCCCGGGGAGTTGTAAGAGATATCGCTGATCTGGAAGAGTGTCTCCCCGTTGGGCGCCGTTCTCGATCCGAAACTGGAGTAGTGGGTTAGGAACTTGGTGTAACGAGTCCAGGGAACAGGAACCACGGATCGCAAGGCCACAGTGCCTACATTATTATCCTTATCCAAGGATTGGCGGAGGGAGGATGAAGCTGATGAATTCACTGACCCAAAGCGGAAATCGTTGACCAATATCGGATCTTCTTCTGCGAATCTCGTCTTCTGCTTCTCCAGGATGTCACCTTGTGGCAACTCTGAGCGAGTGGATCCGCGATAGCTGAGCACTGCTCCCTGGTAAAGATTGCGACCCTCGCACTGCTCATAGCCCTTAATCCTGATCCAATAGTTTTTGGCGTACTGATTGGCCTCCAAAACGAAATCAAATCGCTCCGCGGAAGTCAAGAAGAAACCATCTGCCAGTACAGGTTCTATATCGTTGCCATCGGTGCTGATCATCAGCAGTTTGTGCTGTTCGATGGAAAACTCCACGGGACAGTTGAAGATTCCATTCAGGATAATTCTCATTCTATAGCGATAGCCGGGCGTAACTCGTAGTCTTTCGTAGCGATGGCGATTGTCGCTGTCCGGCAACTGGCTGAGATGATTGCGACCCTTGCCGTTCACCAGAATATTGCGCACGTCCTGCAGGTTGTATTCGTAGAAGATGTCCTGGATCATCAGCGTGTGCTCGATCAGATCGTAATCGTAGAGCTGCGCGTGCTGGTTCTCCTGCCGCGTTTGGCGAACCACCAAGGCTCCTGCCACGCCGAATCCCCGCTGCCAACCCACATGACTGTGGTACCAGAGAGTCCCACTGCGATCCGCCTGGAACTCGTACCGCTGAACCTCTCCAGGCTGCAGGGGATATTGGGTGGTGAAGGGGGCTCCATCCATTTCGGGAGTTCGGTGCATGTGGATGCCGTGCCAGTGCATCGTGGTGGGCTCACCCAGGTAATTCAGCACATCCACCACCACTGTGTCGTTCTCGCAGAGCTCTATCGGAGGTCCTGGCACCATGCGGTTGACCGCCATCACTGGAGTGGCCACTCCATCGCCAAAAATGCAATGCTCCGCCGCACAGGCCCTCTCATCGTACTGGCACCTCTGGCATTCCGGTCCGAGTCTTTGGTAGTTGTGTACCACCAGTTGGTAGTAGCAATTCTGCGACTGACCCTGCTGGCAAACCCTTCTGCAGGGATGGCGATCGAAGTCCCCGAAGTTGGCCAACTCCATTTGGCTGTAGTCGTTTTTCATGTCCAAAGAGGGCGTTACTTTGGTGGTTTTGTTGCGCATCCATCCAAACGAGGGCCATTCGAACTTGGCCTGCGGAAAGGACTCCTTCAAGGACTCGCATTGGAGCTCAGGCAAACCGACAATCAGGAGCAATATCAGCACTTGGCTGGGAAAACTTTTACTTTCGCGTTTGGTCATCGCGAACCGTCGCGGGCAACTGGCCACTTGACTCGCGGGCAGCCGACGAAGAAAGTTTTTTGGCCCGTAGGGCGACCCAGACCTTTGCGCATGCGCCGCACGTTTTTGCCATTAAAGCTGAGCTGAATTTGATGAGCCCGAAAATATTGACCGATCGGGAACAAGGTGGGAGTTGGAACAAGGGATCGCTGATAGCAATCAACGTTTACGCACTTTAATGGGGCGTAAAACTACCATAAATAAATAATAATAACTGATAATTTACCGTTTTACGTTATTATAATCAGTTTTAATACGAATTCACTACATAGATGTTAATTTCCCTTTTTTATCCAATGATGGAACATAACTTATAATTGAGTTATAAGATAAGATTTATTAAGATTAGTGTTAGAATACAAGTTAAATCTCCGGACTTTCCATTGCAGGTGCAGGTGCTGCGGTGGCCATACCTGATGAACTAGCTGATGTGCTCATCAGACTGATGACTCCACAGGCAATTGCCGGACCCACCGAGTTCTCCTCATTCTGATAAGCCAAAGGATTTGGCATTACTTGGAGGGAGGACGAAAAGACCTCCGCATTGAGGGCCGTATTCAGATCGATCGCCTTGCTGTGGATCACAATGGACCGCCCAACGATTCCATTGATGCCAAACAATTGCAAGTAGATGCTCTGAAAAACCGCCGAGATACTACCATCATCCTTGGTGTCCACATTGCCGAGCTATACGATTATACCAGTTATATATTCAGAGAAGTAAATACAAATTTTTTTCTTAATTTTTGTTTATAACAATACTTACGAAATTGTTGGGAAACTGTCCGCCAGTGGACTTGCAACCATCACTCAGATCTCCGAAGGTGTGGATATGCAGGGCATGTTTGCCAGGAGGTAGTCCCGTAACATTGATAGTCACCTTAATGTCCGAGTTGTAAGGAAGCTGAACGAAGGATATCATGCCTGCCACGCTCGCTCCTTCCCCATCACCAACCAGTTTTGCACCCGCCTGCCATTGGGGCACCAACTGCTGGGGAAAAAAGTGGAACGAAAGGTTATCAAATTAATTCATACCATCATTAAACTAAAAATAGAAACACAAATTAAACAGATAATACGAACTATGTTCTATTCAAGATCAAGCTGATTAAACGAATAAAAAATTGTTTGATATAAGTTCAAAAAAATATTGCAGATTATACTAAATTAGAAACAGATATCATTAAATAATTCAGTAGTTAAAACGGGAAAACACTATTCTATTCATTGAAAATTAAGCTTTTCATTACATTGTAATTCTGTAGTTTAGATTCTGTGGGAAAGCCGAAAACACAAAAGAGTTAATGAATAGTTTGTTAAACGACTGTGTAATTTGAAAAAGGTGTGGAACAAAAAAACTGAGAACAAACCAAATTAAACGTACTCACATAGGCATATCCCAAATACGACGGTTGTGGAGGTAGTAGAGGTCCCAGGAGGCCAGCACCTCCTGGAATTCCGACGGGACCTCCGAGCGGGACCGTCAGCCGTTCGTACCGCTTTACTTTTGTGCCAGAAACCACCTTGATTCCATCATCAAACCGAGTTACATTCACCGGACGCAGTCGATCCAGCAGATTTTGTGCACTGCCAGGCGCAAAAATGCCGCCATAACCAATTATCAGCGTTAAAATCAGTTTAATGAGCATTTTAACTTATTTGCGAACTGAAATATCGGGAGCTCTAGACCTCTCGGATCCGGGGTTTCGGATGAACTGATCTAAGCGCCCGACCCGACTCATCCATGATGACTTCGACATGGTTTTCATGCTGATTGACCACGTTAATTGTCGCCGACTCTGCGGCTCAGAGTGGTGGCGATATAGACAGATATATAGCCGGCACAGTTGATGACTAGATTGGACGCTAATGGCAGCCGAGTGTCGCGTGTGTCTGATGTTTGGTTACCTGACCCAGGGGCGTACTTCTTGCGGGGATTGGGGGCAAGATCACAGGCTTTTAAAGAACCCAACCAATTATTAAGACGTTCAAAGCCGGTTGACAAATCAATAATATTTAACAATACCTTGACTAAGCCGAGCTGTTATTTTTTTATTAGAAAAATATTATTAACTTTTGTAACAAAGTATTTGAGCTATGTCCAATAGAGGTTCAAAAACGAACTTTAACTAGATCATCGTTGGTCAATTTAGAGTGTAAAGCTTAACCCAAAAAACAAATCGCATAATCGACACGCGATATTTGCTGACTAAGCGATGATAGATAAGGATTTAAATTGTTATTGAATTGTTAATTAAATAAAACGAAAAATTAATATGATTGGCTGTTTTGTGTACCTCATTAACAAGATTAAGAATGAAAGATTAATCCTTTAATACCGTACCCTTTTGACCCCGTTATTTGTCCATCTGATTAATTTGACTATAATATGAACCTAAATAGGCTTCATCGCCTGTCTATTGAAAGTGAAAAGCCTAACCCAGATTCGAAAAAGCGCAATCGACACGCGAGGTTTGCTGGCAGATGACATATATAGTTTATTTTTTAAATAGCTGTCTATTTGCAATTATAAACACATTCACTGGGTTTTGCAATAAATAAAACTGGGTTATGCGTGTAGTTAAGGTTAGTTAATGGATTATAGGAGGATCAGTCGTTTTAGGTCTCCATTGCTCTTCCTTAAATTCAGTTCCTAGTGATCGAAGATCACGGATCATCGATAGCCGCCACGATGGCCTCCGCGCCCTCCACCGCCGCCCCGTCCATCTCCACCGCCGCCACGCCCACCTCCACGTCCTCCCTGCGGATTCCATCCTGTTCCCTGAACACGTCCACTGCCACTGATCCATTGCTGGTCGTTTCTCTCGCGGCTGCGGTCGCGTTGATTTTGCCCTTGGTTTTGGTACTGCTGCTGCTGCTGTTGAGGCTGCTGCTGCCAGTTTGCACCTCCTCCTCCGCCGCCGCCTCCTGATCCGCCTCCTCTGCCGCCACCTCCCCCGCCTCTTCCTCCCCTAAAGTTGCCTCCGCCACCTCGTCCGCCTCCTGGAGGACCACTGGCCCTTTGCTGTTGCCAAGAGGGCATCTCTGGCGGTGGAGGAGCATGCTCGTTGGCGCGACCTCCACGATCGGGAACTCGACCAATCACATGCTTCTGGATCTTCGACGCGGTGTTCTTTCTCACATTCGCCGAGCTTGTCTTCTCGATGATGGCCAGATCCGATCGAGCTGCCAGCAGAGCCACCATGTCCGTTTGCTCTCCACCAACCTTTAGCTGTTCCAGCTCCTTCATCTGGCGATTGAAGCGATCCATGATCTCGTTGGAGCGTTGCCGCATAGACTCTGACCACTGAAAACTTTGAACAGTGGCCTCCAGTCGGGTGGTCATCATCTGGCGGCGCAGATTGTACTCCGCCTCCAGTTCGCGATGAAGGGACTCCAGAACGCGCCATTGGGCATCACTTAATGGCTTTTTTACCTTAAGCAGCGGTTCGTTCAGCACCTGGCGATGAATTTGTTTAATGGACTGCTCCAAACGGGGTGTTAACTTCTCAAAAAGCAGCTTGGTATTGATGTTCTTGGGCAGTTCACCCAGTTCGAGATCCCTGGCTAGGTTTTCCACAACCTGCTGGACATTTGAGTCGGTTTTCGAGCGTTTGCAGGGAGGACCCACTGGCTGCGACTTCAGGACCATCTTAGTGGTCATCAGTTCGGATGTGAGGTACTCCAGAAGTTGGACCAATGAATCCCGCTTTTGGAAGCGCTGCTCGATGGCTCCCTGAACCAACTGGCGGTAAGGGCACCCAAGCTCAGTGAGCAGCAATGAGAGCTCGAAGGCGAACTCATCGTTATCCTTTCGGCCGGAACTCACACGCTCATCGGTCTTTCGCAAAACGTGCAATTCGTGGGCCAGCCAAAAAATCACCGCACGCAGTTCCGGACTTCCGATCCCCGCGTCCAAGGCCCGACTAAGTTGCTCCTGCTGCAGACAGGGTCCCTCGTAAGCCAGCGCCTGCAGGGAGTCCACCACGTCCAATTCCAGCTCCATATCCTTAGAGATTTGAGCTTCCTTCTTCCAGATTGTCAATTTTTGCTTTTGGAGATGGCACAAAGCTCGATAGCTCCAGCATGTGAGGTTCTTGTCCTAGCTATGTTATGATAGTGTTCTGTCAAACTGGTCGCACTTTACTTTTTGCAGCCCTGGTTAAAACTGTGCTAATACATTTAAATTGCGCGGGAAAATGACTTTAAATATATTTTTGAAAAAATAACGGCTATGTAAAATTAACATAGTTATATATATATATGTAACTTTAATACTTTGTAATAAGTCAAAAATGGAGAACAAGCCAACTGTACAAAAATCTAGCCACTAAAATGAAACAATCGCGTTAGCATCGTTTTACTTTTACATAACTTCATTTATTGTAGTTTACCAATTTCAATATATATATTTATGTATATATATAATTTATATTTATAAGTATAGTATATATGTATGTATTTTTGTTTTGTAAAGCAGGAAGTTTTAGGATTCGCATGATTCGCACCTTTGGTGCCCACAAAAATCGTACATTTTCTTTTGCGTTTTTTTAGGTTTTTCTCTTCTATACATACAACATTGATGTACTTAAAATGAACACACACATTTAGCTATATAATGTATACATAATAATATTCAGTTACTTCATGTCTTCCAAAAGAGGTACTAAACTTAAATAGAAACAGTGAATCAAGAAAGCAAAGAAGGCTGATTGATGCGAAAACACAAATTTTTCTCTCCTCTAGGACAATGATTAAAATGGCACAAAAGTAAAGTTCCGCTGGGAAAGCCACGAAATGCGGTCGAGGTTCATCGAGGGAGCGGCCTTAGGTGAAGCTGTACTGATTATCGACGGCCCGCCCGGTGCACTCGGCTCCCCCGCTGGATCCCGATCCGCCTCCTGTTCCTCCGCTGTTGTTGCCACCATCGCTGGGATGCCGGATGCTGGAGGATCCCGACGGATGATGGGCGGCTGCCTGGAGGGAGGCATTCGAGGCCCGCAGATGCGGCTGATCCAGGAAATTCTGGGCCGACGGCGGCGATCCGTGCACTGTTAGCGTTGTGGGATCCAAATGGAAATAGACTTGCTCCGGAAAATAGACGTGTGTTGGCTCCTGTGGCAGTTCGATTTCATTTGTCTTTAGGCGAACACTCAGATTCATGGTAATCACTTCGTTGCACTGCTGGTCGAAAATATCGAAAGAGGTTTGATTAGTTGGGCGGATTTTAAAGGCGGTCTGGGGGTGTGTGGTGAAACATGAAGCATGCGACAATCAAATCATTCAAACTAAACACAGAAACTAACTGAAATATAAAATATTTCTGGATTCCGTTCATAAAGTGAAAATTACAAACATACAATTTAATTGTGTGAGATAAGAATGTGTTTTTTTTTTAAGGATTTTAATGAATTATCATTAATTAAAAATTATTTTTTTTCTTCAGTTCAGGGTTTTAAGTACAGACAGACATTTCCTAGACTATTCATTCATCAGTTCACAGCTCAAGCCCCATCCCAGTTGCAATGAAATGATAAGAACTTAAATAAAATCAAAGTAAAATAAAAAACCATCACTGACACTGAATTGACTCCAAAATTTTGGCTATCTCACATGTCTCGGCGACGGATGGCCACCGCCAGCAGCTCCCGATGCCGCTCCTCCAGCCGCCGCATTCGATGCCGACGACGACGATGCCTGGCCATTCTCGTTCCCATTTCCATTGCCATTGGACGACAGATCGTTGAGCTGTCCGGATTCGTGAGATGCCGACGCCGTCGGATCGTTCAGTCTGCTCTGTGTGTGCACCCATTCGGTGAGGGTCACATCCGACGTGCCGCCCGACTCCAGGGGTATTGGATTGTGGCGGAAGTGCTCGAGCATCTCCTGGATCGAGGGGAACCACAGGTGCTGCACCCGACACTGTCCCTTCTCCGAGATGGTCAGACGCAAGTGCTTGGCTCGTCCCAGGAAGTTAAAGGTCAGGACGAACTCTCCGCGGCGCGTTTCGCTCTGCCGCACCAAAAAGTATCCGTGTCCGTCTGCGTTCGAGTGGAGAACCATGCGCGCTGCTTCAGATCGCGTCAGGGTGCCGTGGAACCATGGAAACACGCTCATCTCGGCCGTCAGGTCCGCTACATCCGCGTCGTTCTCCGTGCCCTCGATGCCATCAAAGTTGCTCGAGGCCGACAGACGCTGTTCACCGCGATGGGGTCTTATGGGTATGTCCGGCGGACCGGAGGGCGGAGTGGTGCCCAGTTCGTTGATGGCATTCAATTCGCTGCCAGATGTGGCGCCGCCCTGGCCCAAGGCGCTATCTGCGGATAAGGATGAGGCGAGGGGTGCTCCGCCGCCCACCAGATTGCCATTGGAGCCGCCCTGCTGCTGGTACTGCGGATTCTGAATAGCCCCAATGGGATTGGCCACCGGATTTGTGGGCGACGTTTGCATGGCGGACGCCATCACGCCGTCCGACTCGATCATCGGCTGCTGAGTGGGCGGCGTTCGCATGCAGTAGCGTATGGTGGCCAGCCAGCTGCGCATCTCCTCGGCGCTCTCCGCCTCGATCACGTACTCCATGTTGTTGTCCGCCTTGAGGACGAAGGTATTCAGCCTGTCGGGCATTTCCAACGCCGTGGTTTCGCGTGCCTCGGAGATAAGGAAGCAGAAGACGCCGCTGCGAGGCTTTGTCGCCTTGTGGGGTGTGTAAAACTCAAGCATATAGCCACCCACCGCCTTGACCAACACCAGTCGGCACTTCTCCCACTTTTGAGAGCCCGTAGGCTGGTCGAGACTCTCCGGTGTCAGGTTGTTCACGGTGCCCTCCTTGCGGCACTCAACCACGATCTTCGCCAGCTTCGTCTTGCTCTGCTTGCCGCTGCCGTCCACGTCATCCGAATTCTTGTGGAAGAAGGCCTGCAGAAAAGGAAACTTGGACCGTTAAAACAAGTGGAAACAATATAGCCGGAGTTTCCGACTATTAAAGAATCCAGTTCTCAACATCAAGTAGCAGATAAAACCCCTATCGCTTACCACTAATCGGAAATATGCACTGAATGCAAAGAATGGCAAAGCGAGTGTTCTTATCTGCATACTTTTAATTCGTGATTCCACGCATAATATTTATGTCACCGGTATTCTACAGTTGACATTGATAATAATTATCAGAAATTAAGGAAATAGCTAATCGACTTGAAATAAATAAACTAGTGACATTTTTAATTGAATTTGAAAAGGTTACGTGGAATGTTAAATTGATAACCGAAGGCAAAGTTGTTAAACTCACCCTTCCTTTCCGCAGTCCCTTAAACGAGAGTCGCCTTAGTAGGGACTTTGAAAGCAAGCGCGGGCCCTCGTGTTCTTCCTCGAAATCCAGCGATCCGACACCAGATTTAAGGGTGCTCCTCCTCCTGAAGAACTCCGTGTCGTAGTGCGTTAAGAAGGATTCGGCGAACTTCTGGGCAAAGCTGCGGTGCTGGATGTTCCTCGCCTCCTCGGGCGGAAGGTTTCCATTGATGTATGTGATGCAGGCCTTGGCGAAATCGGAGGCAGCCACTCTGGCGTGCCTCTCGCAGAATTCCTCCCAACTGGTGCCGCCATAGGCGTAGGAGGTGGTTCCCGTGCCAATCGGTGCGGGTATGAGGTCACTTCCTGCCGCCGCTGCCGCGGATGAGCTTCCCAGGCTGTGATGACTGCTCGCCGACGTGGGTCCAATGTATCCGCCTGCGCTGAACGCGCTCGAATTGGCCCCGGTGCTATTGCCACCCATTTGGCCAGGTGGTTGCCAATCCCGATCTCGATGCTCCGCCTGCTGCCTCTGCCTGTTCGAGTTCAGTTTGCCGCACAAGTTACCCAGCTGGAGTTCGTTTCAAAAGATCTGAAGTGGCAACAAAAAAACAAAAGGTGCTGCAGTTTAGTCATCCGCAGTTCGCGGAAAAGTAATCAGGCTCATATCTCCTTTCAGCATTCTCTTAAAACAAAAACATTTGAAGGGGGTTTCTCTGCACAGAAAGAAAAAAATTAATGAATTTCCACTGTAGACAAAATGCAAGTAGAATATGCTATTATGTATGTCCCTGTACTGCACATTTCGATATTTTTAATTGAAAGAGAAAAAATGAGAGATGTTTTTAAAAACTATTCAAACAAAGAAGCCAAATTATGACAAAGATTTAGTTTTAGTCTGAATGATAATATTTCATAATATATAAATTTTAATTAACGGGGTGTTGTTTACTTCCTACCCAATTTAACCGGATCTGCACAACGTTTTGTTACTATTTTTAAACTAATACTTCTTTGTCAAAAAAAATGTTATTGTTTTTGGTCAAAAATCAAGTACGTTAAATTTACAGTGGCGTAGTATTTATAAAATTAACATTGCGGACCGTAAGTACATACATAATCAAGTTTATGTAATGTACATTTACGCATGTTTGCGCATTACATTAAGTAACGCGCATTTTCAGTTCCACAATTAATCCTTTTTCTCGGCAATTAAAAACAAACGAAAACAAACTTGCGGCGTAGCCCACACAAATACAAACAAACCTACGCAGACACACACCCACACAACTGCGCGGCAGTGAAAAATTTCCCGCAGGAATTTCCACGCCTACGTCACATCGCAATATCCCAGCGGGAAAGTGAGAAGTAGGTTTTTTATTTGAGTGGAAAACCTCCTTCTTTTAGCAGGCGTAGGGGTAGGGATAGTTGAAAACCTACTTCTTTTAGCAGGCGTAGGTAAGGGATAGAATATTTCGGACCGCTAAATGGGGTGGGTTTCTGAATATGACCATAAGTTACAACGAAGTTGTAACTAATTATTGTCTTTGTCTTTGTGATGCACGGTCACATCAGCATAAAATTTCGTGCAAAAAGTGTAAAAAGTGAAAAAAAAGTTGTGTTAATCTTAAAAAACAAGATAAAGGTAAGTTATAACATAAATATTTTTGTTTGTATTTCCTTATTTCAGCGTTACGGATATGGTGAGCATAGGCATTTTTACTAAAACTAAATATAAGCCGCCAGAGGCGGTTGTCAAGTAGGTAAGTTTTTTATTTAAATTTATTTTTCAGTTTTTCAAGAACAAACAATGTTTTTTCTAGAATTTGTAATAGATTCGACTTCAAAGATTCTGGCCCTTGTGTTAATATTAACGGCAAAACTTAACGTGCGCAAGCGGACATTCCGATTTCGTCATTTCAGGAACTCGGCCATTAGGACTCCGATGCCGAAGCCAATCCAGAAGCATTTGTAAGTACTCGCTAAATTTTTAATAAGTTTCAACAGCCCTGTGTTCCCATGCTTTTTACTATGTTTATTACTTACTTTTCTAAATTTCTCTAATTTCCCATTACTTTTTATATATTTATTATTTGTGTTAATATGTAATATATTAATGTATTATGGTTTTTATTTTCAGAGTCACTCAGAAACGACAATTACAGTCTTACCCAATATCAAGATGATCTGCGTTCACCGTTCACTAAGGCAAATAATAACATACAACAATACTTATGATAAAGCCCCTTGGTCTGTAAATAGATTAATAAATGCATATACCAAATAAAAAGTATTATTTTTTATTGTGGAAATTCTGTAAAGCGGGAAGGCCAAAAACCAGTGGATTTTGCCCTGCATTCAGCAGTTACAGATCCACTGGATTTTGCCCTGCATTCAGCAGCTGTAGGTCCACTGGATTTTCTCCTGCATTTAGCAGCTGTAGGTCCAGTGGATTTTGTCCTGCATTGAGCAGCTTTGGGTCCACTGGATTTTTCCCTTTACCCCTTACTTTTGTGTGTCACCCCCGTGTATTTTGAAAGGAGAGACGGCAGATTTGTAAGGGGTAAAGGGGATTTTCCACATTCCGCTTGTATGAAGAAACCACTGGAAAATAGCATATTTTCCACAGGTTTTTCCCGCTGGGATGCGCCTAAAAATTTACGGTAATTTCACAACCCACAATTACTAAATAGTTCTTTTAACACCCGAAAACAGCTCACTTTGCGGTTTAAATATTATCTAAATTCACTGCATCTCTTTTAACTTTTATTTTTTACACGAATTGCATGTTATCTCGCTCACACACACACGCACATCCGCTCAAAATATTCTTTTGCGTTGTGTTGTTGTTGCGGGCATAAGGAAATGACAAGTTAATTATTAAACAGGGAACACATACACTTGGTTTTAGCTTGTAATCATCAGCCGCAAGTTGCGTTTAAGTTACCGCTTGCTAGCAATATTATTTATCACTGATTTGTTTGTGTTTTTTTGCGATTTTGAAACGAAAAAACCTCGAGCGTGAAAATAGCAATTACTCGTTACTCTCTCGTTTAGTGTGACAGTTGATGAAAAATAAATGCACTTAAAAACACTGTAATTCAGAAGGTGCGGAACTTTGGAGTTAATGATGAACTTGGATATGAGGATAGCAAAGACTCCAACCACCCGGAGTGCATTTGCAATAGCTCAAAAACTGTAAGGTGACGCGCCAAAACAAAAGTACAAAATTCTTCAGATTTTTAAATAAGAACACCAGTGCTTTGTTTAAATCTCACATTTTTATTGTTTCTATACGTTTCGAAATTGCATTTACTTAAAATTATTATGTAACTATCGTTTCCATATGCATACAGTAATTATTTATTGTTATCTGCGTTATTAGTAAATAATTAAAATTCATGAAACTTAATTTGTGAAACACGCAGTGCAACAGTTGTTGTCTATAATTTGTGTTTATTGATTTATTGTTTGCAACGAACACATGCATTTTGGCAAAACATCAGTATGGTGGTGAAAGTGTGAGGAAAATTGGGGGAAAATCGAAGGACGGAAATGGGCGTGTGAAAAGGAAACGATTCGTGAATAAATGTGTATGAAGGCGAGCTTACTAACTATTATTTGTTGCATGGTGGTTTGTTATCAATACACATACGTACATATTCATAGTTATGCATACGCTAACTTAAGTATTTACAGAACATACTGCCCGGAACAGATTTCGAGTGGATGTGAAGTTGAAATTCGAATCTCAAACGGTCTCTTCTAGTCTTTAGCTATTGTTTATAAAGGTATTAGTAATGCCTATGAACTGTAACTAATGTTTCGCTTGATCTTTGCACTACTCACTAATTATCTGCATGATTGGAGACTTTAAAGCCAATTAGAATGAACTCTCATATGTCGTATATATATGTGAATATATAAAACCTTTCCACTTAGGCTAGAAACTATAATTACTCGGTTTTTGTTTTTATTTCACTATGAAAACGAGGATCACCTAACTTAAAACGAAACTTAGTTAAGTTGAGTTAAAAAATACATACTCAATACGTTATTTAAGAGACAAACGTTAGTATTAGATCTTATGTGTGTGTGTGTGTGTTTTCACGTTGTTTGTTTTTCTTTGCTTTTAGATAGAGTACACTCAGACTTCCAGTTGTTTTGATGGTTGTTGCGCGATAAACGGCTCGCTCCACATGCGCCTTAGGTCGCCCTGCAGGAAAAGAGCATTAAACGTGATAGATATATCGACCCGGGATTATTGGGCTATTGACACTACCTTCAGATAGGCCATCAGCAAGAGGGGCAATAACGTAAAGGGCACCAGATAAAGCAGCGCCGGCTGGGCCGCCTTGAAGACCTCGGAGCTAACCGTCGCCGTTAGCAGACCCAAGAAATAACTGCAGGGAGTGCAGAGAGAAATACAAATTAGTTAAAAGTGCTCAATCTTTAGTAAGAATTTATGAAATCTCTGCTGTCGTTGGAAGCCTTCTTGAGCTTCCAAATCCTTATTTATTTAACTACTTACCCCAGTAAGGAACAATGAAAGTATGTCAGCCGGGAGCCGACTCCCCTGGGCGGCGACAATGTGGGATCCGAGGTGACGCCCTGCGCCTTTTTGTACGCATCGTATCGCAGGACGAAGCACAGCAGCAGTCCTGGCATCACCACGTCCCCCAATCCCAACATGGAAAAGTGTCCCGTGTTGTGGAGGCTGGGGAAAACGAGTTTTCCGGGCAGATTTAGCTTCGGAGTATCCCGCACAATGCCGCCCAGATGCAACTTGCGGGCCACGATGCCCACGGGATTATCGGCGGGTCGCGTGGCCACCTTGACCATCACATTGGTGCTGAAGATGTACGAGGAAAGGAAAACCCAGAAGACGTCGTAGATGAGCAGGCCGGTCAACAGCAGCGTAGACACCTTCAAGCTGGGCAGACGCACAAACGCAATGAACGCCACACACAGGCCCATTCCCATTGCTGCACGAATAAGAAATATATCATTGCATGAGCTCTGAAGTTTTGCAGGGAAGGTATAATCTCACCATCCATCAGCAGCCAGTGTCCAGTAAGCACCCAGATGCACACAATCGACACTGAAAGCGTAAAGCTGAACAGCTCCGCCGCAGTGAAGCGACCACAGATTCCGAAGGAGAATCGCTTTCCATCCGTGCACGGCCGAATTATATACTGGCACATGGGCAGCAGCAGAAAGGCCAACGCCACGGTGGCTATAACTGTGAAAAGAGATTTTAATTGAGCGAGCAGAAAATAAAATGTGTACAATTAAACTATAATCTTTGTCATTTTCTACATGAGTCAAATTTATTTATAAATTTAATTTACTGCACTGACAGAGAACAAAGATGTATCAAGCGCGACTCAATATTTGATTCGGCAAAGAATTTACATTCTTTAATAGCTAATATTAAGACATGAGTTATGTTAAAAAATGTTAAGTTGTTGTATTAGTTTTAATTGCAATTGAGAACTCATAAGCAGAGAATGTGGACATTTTTATTATCTCAGAGTTACTCACTTGCTGTGCAGACGGCGAAGAGCAACTGCATGGAGTCGAAAAAGAAGAACATGATGAGCAGTGAGATGGAAGCTCCAAGTGGCAAACATAGGGCATGCATGGTGTCCAGGGTGGCGAATTTATCCGCTGTAAAATACAGATCTGAAATGTATAAAAAATTCCTTACGGCTTAAAGTGATTATCTAACATACTTGGTTCCTTCTCGACGGGCTCGCCGGTGAGGAGGTTCGTCATGGACTCATTTCGCTTCTTTTGCTCCCGCTCGCGGGCCTCCTGTTCGATGTTCAACGACCGGAAGCTGCCGTAGACGATCAGCAGCATCGATATAAGGCAGGTGGAGACCCGCGACGAGTCCATTACACTCGAGACGGTCCAGTGAAGTTCGCGGTACTCTCCGCCGGCGCCCGCTGCCGCTGCCCCGCCTCCCAGTTGGCCGGCACCCACTGTTTGTGCTCCCAGACCGCCACCGGCTCCACCGTGCGACATGCTCGCTCCGGATCCTCCGGATGCGGCTTCTATATCTCAGATATAGATCCAGATATCACGCTTCGCTCTCCTCTTCGCTTATCAGTCGACCTGCGCTGGGTTTATCGGGGATTGTTTGTCGGCTGCACCGCTTTAATCTAAACACGAATGAAAAGTGAAACTTGTTTCGTTTTATTGATTTAGCGATAAGTTTTTAGTTTGCTGACCTTATCGCTATTAACCCCCCGTATCTGTTTGCCTGCGTAAGGTTATTTGTACAGCTGCGATTAGGTTTATCGGAGCACACACTCCAAGGTTTATTTTCCACGACTTCGCCCAAAGTCGGGCGCGGAAACCTTGGGGTCAACTTTCACGCACTTCAAGAAGTAGGCAACTAAACTAAAAAAGAACGGTCTTGGCACTATAAAAAATGGAAGTCAAATTCGTTGTGTTAGCTAAAAATCAACACTCATAGAAGAGCGTTAAAAAACTTGATAATGAAGGTCATAAGTTTTTCCTTAAAAGTCGTTAATATATTTATGGTTTTTTTTTTGACCGTCGGATTCGAGGGCAGAGAACTTATTGTTTGGGAAATGTTTACTTTTCCCAAATTAGCGGTAGCAATGGAAATGCATTCAGACATGCATCGCGTACTGTAATAACAAACATGTGGACCGTCTATATTTAGAATCTCTATTTTATTTCTTCAAAATATCTTATTTACTGAGACCTTAATGCACCAATTTCCTTTCAAGCAAATCAAGGAACTGAAGAAATACACGCATTTTTTTCTTGTGTACGCAAATAAAAACAACCGGTGTGAGAAAATAACAGACTGTCCGCATGGGACTTACATGCAGCAATAACAACAATTAACCGACAAGAAGAAGGCCGTAAAAAGCAGTTAAAATCGGAATAAATTATAAAAGCGTTACCCAGTTTTCCAAGATGCCAGTTCCATTGTTATTGCCACAGATTCTATACTATTTTCACACACACTTACACACCCACGCAGGGGTTGTTGCACTTGGGAAATGGAAATGTTAAGGCGCTGTTATTAGAGCGGCGCACTGCTAACTCGCTAATGACAATAGAAAGACAAAGCGAGACAGGGTCGAATTACAACAGTGCGACTAAGCGAGACAGTTGCCAACTTCCTTGGCAGTTGTAGTTGTTTCTTTAAGTTTAAGTTGTTGTTGCATGTTGCCAAGTCCCGTTGCCTGCACTAATTTATGTTGACTGTTGGCAAATGTAGGTGCAATTTTGTTGGTGGTTGTGTGTGGAATGCAAATTATTGATATATATGTATGTATAATGGGGGCCAACATAGTAAGCCCGAAATTAAATACTTTAACTTCTTACGCTTCAGATTTGTTATCACACTCTTAACTCCAACTATGCTTTTAATATTTGAGGACAAAAAATGAGATCTGCATTTTATTTGTTAAACAAAACTACGTGTTACTAACGAATTGTCCAGAGCTGTATTTACATGTGTGCAGTTTTCATTCTGTGGTTGTGTTGGAGTGTTGTTCCCCCCTTTTTAACGTCTCTTTCTGTCTATCTCCCTCATTCCCTATGGATGCAACAATTTAAGTTTCCCACACATTGCAATTCCAAGGGGGCGGTGGTAAGAGAAGGGTAGATTGTTAACGAGCGCTAATTAGAATTAAATTATGTGGCGGGTGTTAAGTTACGGTCTCCAAAGTTGACACAATTTGCGGAGAATTTTCACAGTTTAAAGCGGTTACCGAACATGAGCTACATACATACATAATTAGCCAAACTCATTGAGAAAATGCCGCTCACATCACACACTTAAGCATACACACACACACGCAAACACTTTCTAATTTGAAACGCCCCAAAGTGGGAACAAAAATGAAATAAAAGAAGTACGAAGCAATTGGCTTTGCTGTAACTGCCCACGACGAATGTGAAAGTGAAATTTGCTGATATACAGAAGTAGGGGCACCAAAAGGGGGAATCTAAGTCAAAACATTAAAATGTATGTTTTGTACAACTTTCGGATCTAAGAACAAAGAACGATCCAGTTGGTAAATATATTTATTTAAAATAAATTACTTTTTATGAAAAAATCGTAAATTATTTAAATGGGTTTGAACACTTGATATAAATAATTGCAATTTAAAACTGTCTTTAATATTTATTTTACTATAACTATACATTAAATGCATGGAAGGGGCTACACACTACGTTTTTAAGTGCACTGTATGCGGAAAGCATAAACAAGTGCGTAAACTGGGCGCAAAGTTTTTCTTTTATTATGCAAAAGGAGGAGGGGCTTTGGCAAAGACTGGCTTGCAGCGCTTGAGAAATTTTTATACGGTAAAGCTTAGCCTGCGCTTTAAGGTTTTTTCCATTTCGTGTTTGGTTACACTCCACTTCATTCCATTCCACAAAACTCCAACTTCGCTCCACTGCGTAACAAAATTACAAGACGCACTCACACTAACTTGTCCCGAACAACAACAAAGCGAAAAAGACTTGTCTTTGATTACGGCAAACGAAAAAATAAATTAAACGTACATAGTGCACTCGATACTCCCCAAAAAAGTTGGGGGACTTTTCGCTTACTTCGCCTTCACATTCACATTCGCGTTTGGCTGTATTTTCCTTGGTTTTTGTTTTTTCCTTTGCACCGATATTCGTATTGGCGATAAAAGGGGTCTGCTACATTTTCACGGGCTTTGCATTAGTCCTGCGAACCGCTTTCCATGCACATTTCCACGATCCTCGGCGGTCGCTGCTCTTTAACGTTAGACAGACATTTTACGTATATTTCTATTTTTCTATTAGTAACTATCGCGGTGCGAAGATGGGGAGAAACAACAACGAATCAGTGTTGCCAGATAGTGAAGAGCTCTCGAGCAACTGAATATTCACTAAAAATAGCCTGCTAAAATCTTCTGTAACCCAGTAAAACAAGGGTTGAAACCACGGACTGGCCTGTTATTTTAACAGAACTTTTAGTTGTTTAATCAAATATAACGGGCTTAAGAATAAGTTCTTGTCGTTTTTTTTAGGAAAAAAAAAGAATTTAAGATTTCACAAAATATTAAATCGTCTATACAAAACAGAAATCGGATTTATCGATAGATTAAGTTGGTTTAAGCATAGGGTACGGAACTATTTCGAGATGTATCCATCCTCGATGGTTATTTAAACGTTGCGGTTAACGGTCACTCGCAAACAGTTCTATCGAGAAACATCGATTTTTGGTCCATCGCTATTGCACGAACGCCTCGATGTACAAAAAATTTTTTAAACAAATCGGGTGCAACGGATAATCGCGCAAACGGTGGCTTAAAGTGGGAAGTTTCGCTATCTTAAAATTTAAAAAAAATTCGAAATACAGAGTGCTTTGATCGCGAGCTTGGAAAAGGCGTGGAAAGGCAGAAAAGTGCAGTCGAGACTGCAGTCTTTTCAATTCCTTGAAAAAAAGCATCTCTCAGTGGTTGACAAACCAGTTAAATTCAAGATACTTCTTAAGGAGTTATCCAGAAGAACAAATTAATCCGCCATGGGTCTCAACGGCTGCTGTTCGTGCGTTAAATATCTGATGGTCCTTATAAACATTTTATTCTGGGTATGTAGACTCCAGCGAAAACAATCTGGGATTCTCTTCCATCACAACAACAACTGGAACACACGGACCTCCTCAGCATATGTGTGTGTGTGTATGTGGGTGTTTGTGTAAGTGTGTGTGCTGTGTATTCCCTACGCCCCTCTTTCTCACGATGGAAGTGTGGGCGGGGGAGGGGCCGTGCGCACGCTCTTTGGAGTCCTACCGCTCTTTCTCCTCACGTCTTTTCCCGGTTGTAGATGAGCTCCAAAAAGGTGCAATACAAAGTAAATAGGAATTTGCAACGTTTAAAAATTAAACGTTGACTTAGTTAAAAATTTGTTCCTAAAAAGGTGAAAAATACTTAAACAAAATATTATTTAAAATTAATGTATGATAAAAAGAATCAAATAATATTTGTAATACTTTAAAAAAATGTTCTGTGAAGAAGGGTGTTTTGCTTAAAGCAAAATCCCTTTTAAACATCACCGATTTTCCCACCAATCAATCTTGCTCCTTCCTTTCCCCTACCAAGCGCTATGGTCTCTGCTCCTCACTCCCCCACAAACAATAGGAGTTCCATTGCGGAAGGAGAGTGAATGACACACGCACACCCACGCACACAGAGAGGCAAACATTTAGGCATCTCCTCTTTCCGCTCCACCCACTGTTTTCATTCTCTCCCCACGTTTATTCAGTTGTTTTTCTTTTGCTTCTGCCTTTTCCTGCTACTTTTTTGTTTTATTTCTTTTTATAACGTATACGTGCGTTTGATATTTTTACAAACTTCAGGGTCTAATTCGGTACAAAAGGACCCCATTCTCCTCGGAAAGGGTTACTTACCATGCCCGACTTGTCTGTTTGTTGTTTTACACAATTTTTGACTTTCAACATCGCCCGTTTGGTTTTCAATTGTTTCCATTCAATTATTATCTGCCACAGCGATTGTTTGTGTTTGTTTTCCTCAAGATCTTTGTCGGGCTTTTCTCTTGTCTTTCGTAACTTGCGAAATCAGTTTCGCTTTTCCTTCGGGCAACAAATTTAAAATTTAGATGCTTATGCGGGTTGTTTTTAATTTTCAGTTTGTTGATTGTTGCTGCCTTTTTTCGATTTCTGTCTATAGTATTTATTAGTCAAAAGCTATTTTCGAATACGGGCGAAGAACAACAAAAACTTACACGTCCGTTCAGTTTTTCGTTGCTGTGCACAGAAACAAAATTCTTTTTAACTTTAAGTATTCATAGTTAATTTATTGAATTTTTTTATAGAAGATATTATATATTACAAATTAAATTTTTTTTTATTTCTAAATAAATTTAATTTTAGACCCAGTAACTGCATATGATTTTTTTTCAGTATACTTTTGCTTGATCTGTGATGGTTTTGTGTTAATCGTTGTTGTTGTTTGTTGCACAGTGGATGGGTGGATGTTTATAGTGCCAAAAATAAGTGATGAACATTGTGATGCATTGATTGGTTAAGTTTTTTTTTATTTTTATTGACGCTCAATGAAATTCATCGTACTTTTATAACCAAAAAGTAAAAAGTTATAGTGCAAAACAATTAATAAATAAACGCTGAATTGTAGCTTAGCTAAATATACGCTTAGTTATATGTACATGTTTTATCGAGACCCCACCACTGTTGATCCGTTTCCAAACATTTCCATTTTCATCGTCGCCGTGGGGCATCGTGATCAAACGCCACGATCTCGGAGGACGCTGACGTTCCAATGAGGCCGATATCCCAGATCCAAGATGCCAGGGGAGGCCTGTGCCAAGCGTCTAAAATGCTAAACTGCCGGCGCTGTCGTCATTGAAGTTGACAGTGACCAAATTCGAAAATCTTAAAATATTTAGTTGACCATCTGACAATGCTTGCTCGTAGTCCCGACCAGTATTGTTCGCCCACTGATAAGCAATTTAAAGTGCTTAATATTATTGAACTGATCTTCAATTAGTCAAAATACATTTTTGTTAAATAAATATATTCAAGTAATTTGCTAAGAACATTTTTTTTTTCCAAGTTTTCTATTTCGGTCCCGCTTATACATGTTATGTCAACATGCAAAATTCGCTGTTATTTTTCACTCAATTATTTATGAGTGGCGCTTCATTCATTTTTCATTTTCAGTTCGTATTTTCAGTTTGTGTGTTGCATGATGGGGCTGCAATTTGCCATCGATGCGGCTAATTGTGAGACAAAACTGCGACTGGACATGCATGGCAAACCCAGCTGCTGTTTTACCCACTTGCGACCTCTTTTTGCAATTTCGTAGTTGGAAAATGCTCTCTCGTTTTCCGCTTTCGACGCCTCGACTCTGAAATGAAATGTGGGTCAACGAAGGACTCTGCACATTTATTGGCCCGTTTGGCATACTTTTTGTTTGTTTGTCGCGGACACGCGACATAGTGACAGATAAAGTTCCAACAAACAGTTACAAACAAGGCGTGGATTTAATTCGAACATGAATGAATCGAAACGGGGACAAAAAGGGAACTGTCAACTATTTGATTGTTAAAAATAGCTGTGTTCAGCTTCGACTGAAAACCTTTCTTTATAGCGTACTGTTTGCCAACCAGTTTATTTTTACAGTTTATTCTTTACTTAAAGTTAAACTTATAACTTCCATTGTCCACTAACCGAAAATTTGTGGCTTAAAGTGCAGCTTGTTGTTACTTAATGAACAGCCCTCGTATGAGGCAACATTGTATTACGTTTCCATGAGTAGTTTTTCCGTTAGCTGGTCACACACACACACATTCATACCCATGAACTTTTGGGGCAGTATATCGTGCACTTTGTGTGGCACACTTTTTGTCTCGCTCGGTTTTCCTCAGCTCACTCTTTCGTGGACCACCCGCATAAAGCCGGTCTCGGCTTCTCTTATATTTCATTTGATTTTCACGAGTTGACTGGCACTTTTCGTGACTATGTTTTTATACTCTTTCTTTTTTTAAGCTTTTACTGAATCTTTTTCCTGATCTTAAAATTTTCGGTTGTATTTTGTTTTAATGTATTAGGTTTACATTTTTAACATTTTCAGTCACATTATTGGGAGTACCTGTACCTTATTAGTACCTACATTAATTGTTTGATATTTTGTTCTCGAGATCTAAAGCGTAATCTTATCAAGAAGCACAGATGCTCGAAGTGCTCCAGTTTCCTTGGCAATTACGAGAACCCTAGGGTAACGGAGAACCATTAGATAAGATTTCTGCCGCCTTTCGAAATGCTCCGCCTTCCGTTTCTAAGTGATTCTAAATTTACATATTTCCTCATTCAATAAGTACATTGATTAGTTCACATCGCACACTCAATTTCCCTGCGATGAATAATTTTTGCTGAATTATAAAAGAACGTGCATAGACACTAAGATTCCTCTGTGCCAGTCTATGAAATCATTTACTTTTTATTAGATTTTCACAGTCATCGCACAGACGGAAATTGAAGTACAACATTTTTCACAATGATTGGCATGGCATAGGCGATAAAGAATATTTAATTTCTGGGTAATAAATGTAAACACAGAGTCTAGGGAAAGCTTAAACAAAAAATCGCATTTCGTTTGCTGATAACCCGGGTTCGCCATCTCATATTCTTTCTGGGATCAATGTCTTGCTTCTTCTATATGTGATGTACAGTCTTTCCTGGCAATAACCAATATAAAAGGGATGGGAAATACATTTAAACCAATTATGTTTAAAGAAAAACGCTTAAATAACTTAATCTGCTTAATTAAAAAGTTTTAAAATAGTTATTTAAAAATATAATTATAAATATATTTAGTCTGTATATATACAATGTTTTTGTATATAGATACAAATGGTTAAAGCCCCATACTTATCTTGGCTCCAGGGAACTGCCTTAATTTAATTAAATTAAAAGAAGCCAAATAGCAACATTTTTTGACGCTTTCAACTTAGCTGACATCATATGTTGAGACCTGCAGAAGTTTATGGGAAGGGAAAACTGGGGCGGGGCAGTCTCCCACTTTAATTGCCGCCTCGCCAGATGGCGTCATTGACGCGTGTTCCCAGTGTGTTGAATGCAACTATTAGCAAATTACACAGAAAACGTGTAAAAATATAAAATATATAAAATATAAAAAAATAAAAAAAACCCTACTATATTTTGAATTTTTTCGTTGCAGCTCATTGGTTTGACCATAGTGATCACCTCCGTTTGGATGCTGACCGATCCCACGTTTATGCTGTCGATGACACAATCCTACAATCACTACCATATAGCTCTCTACGTCTTCCTGGCCATTGGCATACTGATCACTTTGGGCGCATTCTTTGGCTGTTGCGGCGTTTGTCGAGAGTCGCAGTGTCTGCTGGTTTCGGTAAGTAAAATGGGGGTAAAGTACTGCAGTATCAGTGTCTGGGAATTCCAATTAAAACGGATGCAAATGTGTGGCCCACACTGTTTCGCTCATATAATTGCAACGGAGCGGAGGTTCGCCCACATTATCTTGGCAAGTCTGCAAATTGCTGCACTTGGGAAAAAATACTTTAAAATTAGCCAAAGTGGAATTAAATATTTACCTATAAAAATCAAGCAATTCATGTTTAATTTATAGGTAAATAATTTGATTTTCTTGTTTACAAAAAAAGTTTAAATGGTTTATAGATCGTTTAAAGTTCTTATGGAGTTCTCATTCTGCGTGCGAATGTGTCTTTCACAAATCGGAGCCAGTTTATTTACTCAACGCCTACGGGCCTGTCGCACCTCGCCATTCATAAATCTGAAATTCTCTTGCAGTTCTTCTGTGTCATACTCATCGTGATGGTGGCACAAATTGCAGCCGGAGCCTGGGCATTCCACAACAAAGACAAGCTGGATGACATCGTGCGGGCGGCAGTCAAGTCCTCAGTTCAGGAGGAGTACGGACAGGCCAAAATGAGTTCACGCACCGTCACCTTCGATACACTGCAGAAGAATGTAAATATTTGGACATATCCCACACGTTGCAGCAAAATCGTTTAATGTGAATTTATTGACTGCTTTCAGCTGAAATGTTGCGGTGCCGATGGACCTGGAGATTGGGCAACCAGCCGATTTAATAATGTTGATCGCACAAATATTGTGGAAATCGCCGTGTCTTCCATGAATGTCTTCTATAACATACCAGAGTCTTGTTGCAAGGACGATCTGAAGGATAACGAATGTGAGCTTTCGCGACGTCTGAAATTTGGTGGCCCATTAAACAATGCAATCTATCAACAGGTAATTTTTTTATGTAAATAGAAAAACTATTAACACTGGACAATACTTACTTACGCACTGGTCACTTTATTTTTTTTTTTATTAAGTCCACTTAATTTACCATTCATTCAACGCTCGTTCTTTGAGTCAATGAGTTACCAAAAAACCATCAAAAGTCAATTGATGGGTGTGTCCAAATCATAACTTCTTGGCCAACTGATCGCTATCGCCGGCTTGGCCATAAAAATTAATAATCCCTTATGTTGTTGTTGATTTTTCTCCGGTCTGCAAGCTCTGAGCACCGGGGTTAATAAAAATTCACGCCTGCCGACGACGAGACGATAAAAATGTATTAATTAATATTGATATTCAAAACGCATTTCAAACTTCCCTCGGGATACGGTGTTTATAGGAAAAGATTCGCAGACTGCGTGATATAAACAATTGTGATGGAAAACGTTCTCACTCGATTTAAACATTTTTATTAAATTTATATTTTACAGGGCTGCGTAGACAAACTGATTGAGATACTTTACGAGAACTGGGTCACCATTTTCGCCGTCACCGCAGCTGTTATTCTGCTGGAGCTCCTGTCCCTGACCTTCGCCCTGAGCCTCTGCTGTGCCGTGAGGAATCAACACTACAAGGCCTGAGAATTACAGAACTCCCATAGGGAAATTACGGACGATGAGAAGTACTAACAAACCAAATCGAAACGGATGCATAGCGAGCGTTATTACTGAAGACGTGCGAATGGGGAAAAGCATTTAGAAGCAAAGGCTGGCCGTTAAATGTCTGGTGTTCCCTGGTCAATACTTTAACAACACAACTGACAACAGCAACAACACATTTTTGTAGTACTTTTAACAACAAGACAAAGCAAAACAACACGAGAAAGCTGAGCAATTGTATTTGAGATGTGACAACTTTTTGGAATTTGTGGAAAGTTTTTAAGCACAAACCACAAAAGTCACTAAGCGACTTTATATGAACTTGATACGCCAGCAGAGCAAAAACAAACAACACTTTTCTAACAAAATATTTCTACCACGAAAACTGAGACAGTAAACCCCGTATATGTCAGAACAAAATAAGCAGCTCCATAATATTTAGCCTAGCAAAAAAGTTTCAAATTCATAGATACATACTATATATTAAATATATAGATCAAATCATAAGCACAAAATAATAATGTTAAATGCCAAAACATGTGAAGTAATATAAAAAGGAAAAGCAATCGAATTTCTTTTAACATTTGTTTCACCCATAAGACTTTCGAATAGATTACAAATTTGGTTTTTCTGCTGCCATTTTTGTATGCTAACACAATGCCAAAAGATATATGAATTCATAAGATAAAAGCATTCCACAAGAATGAGAATGATTGACAGATTTTTGTTCTGGCGAAAACGCATTGCCATCCAAAGACCCAGCCCAAAATATACTTTCAAACCACTTCTTGACCTTGTGCGAAATGTTGAGCTAAATCGAATAGAGCTTCGCGAAATTAAATGCCAAATATTTTATGTATTTACAAAATTGTAATTTTATTTATTTATGACTTATTTATTTGGACATAAGCCGTCAAGGAGCAAAAACAAATATTAGGAAACGATAAGTAAATGTTGGCCATTCTGTTAACAAACAGCATTTTGTACATTTTTAACTCACACCATCCTTAAACAGTGAATTGGGTAATATAAGCTTAGGGCTATTAAAAAGCTGTACAAATCTGTTTATCCTTGAAGTAGAAATTTTAATAACTACAAGGATATAAAAAATTGGTTTGAGTTTGTGTTGACCATGCTGTTAATTCACAACCCTTACAATCCCACTCACTCGAATCGAATTTTTGTCGAATCCAACTTACCTGCGTCGTTATATACTTTAATTTAGGCATCATTGTGCAACTATTTATATGTGAAATCGTCAAGTAGCACAAAATGTTAAATGAAGTACACTCGAAAGAACAAAAATCTCTATATATTTACATTGTATTTTTACCATACACCATAAACTATTTAAAGGAAATATATTTTTTGTAACATTTTCATTTTATTGTTGTTATATGTGAATTTTGTTGTTAGTTAAGCGTAGCCTGAACGTCACACTTTGTACCCCTTCACAACGTTTAAATAAATTAAATCTACAAAATCCAATCCAGGACAAAATTATATTAAATTTACATCAAAAGGAAACAAAAAACAATACAAATAAATATATATTGTATTTAAATTTACATACAAAAGTAAATTATTTATTTTAACATTTCTTAGTTAGTAGTTACGTGAGGAATTTCTTGGAGTTAAATCAAATAAAAATAATAAAGCTTAAGACTAAGAGATTACCTATAAAACCCACGTTCATCTGTTGGACTTGTAGAGCAACATTGGAATATTTAGGAAATTAAGTCTTCAAATTAAAAAGTTCTTTAAAATTAAGCAGAATTGAACGTAGCAAAATATTTAGAGCACAAAACTTCATCAAGCATCAAAAATCAAAACCAAAATAAATAAAGAAATCTACCCTTTAAACAAAAACACAATCAACTTAGCATCTTCTTAGCATACAAAAGCTACATAGTTTGTATGAAAGGAAATGCACATTTAGCAGGGCATCTAATATAAATTGAAAAGTTAAGCAATATAAACGATGCTCAAGATCTGTATTTAACAACATAATACCAACACAGAGTTAAAGATAATACTGAATCATTATGGATAAACTATAAAAAGTGTCATTCAAACTGATATTTCAAATAAATAAACATACAACAAAACAATTTCTGATTATTAATGATGGGGGTAAATATTATTATTATTATGTATATTACTTTACCCATTTTGTGCCTAGACTCGACTTCCGGTTTTCTTAATTTTTTTAATTTGGTTTTTAAAGGCATGACAACTGTTTTTTGTTATTTAATGTATTTTTTATTTATCAGACTATAAACTAAAGTACAACGTAATTTGAACAAGGAGTTTGTAAAACTGAACATTTTAATTTTAAACTAAGGACTTAATAATTTGTTTTTGTAAATACTTTTCTTTTTATGTTTAAGCAAAGTTTAACAATTATGTTTAGAAAGATGATAACAAATATCCGTATGAATAATGAGTTTTAAAAAGAATTATCAGGATTTTTAGACAATTAAATTTACACGTAGATGGCTTTATTAATATTTTTAAGTTGTGTGATTACAGTTGTGTTATTAAGTTAAACGCTTAGAGGGTTTTCCTATCATGTACTTATAAACAATCCAAATCACTAACCACGTTTTCTCTTGTAAGTTTCTTTTTCATGTATTGTTATTCGTAGGGACAGCATAAATTATTTATGTAGTTAACTTAAAGATTTAGATTCCAGCATGTGGTTGGAGATGTTACATCATGGACTTATTACGAATCGCATTGGCTGAAAAATTATTATCGTAATTTACATTTACTATAGGTACATCTGGATTAAATTTATTTTCAACTAATACAAATTAAACTTAGTTGTAAAAGTATTGCTAAAAATTAGTAACTACGTTTTAATTACACATATTAAGGTCAGGTATCGGAAACCGGTTTAGATTTCGATTTCCATTCCATCCAGCTAATAACAATTAAAACGTTGACTTCGGCATAGCATAGTGGAATCGTAATCTTCCAGGACATTTAGCAGCTAAAACCGATTAAGTTACATTTGTTTTTTAATTCGGTTGGTAAATTAAATTTATTAAGAATTTATTTTAGTTTTAACATTAGGTATAAGCGTTTCAATTTCTTTATTTATTATGTTGACTAGTTAGACACTTAGTTTTCCTCAATTCGAATGATAGGTTAATATCAATAAGTTTGCCATTTCTGTTTTTGACAGTGTACGTTCATATTGCATAGATCGTTTCTTAAAAGTTAGAAATTGTGGGTGGTTTACCAAGTAGGTCGCATAGGTTTTTGTTTAGCCAAAATTATTCTTTATCAACACATTTACTAATGCTTAGAATATTTGATGATGGAATCGCATAGAATGGCTTTGCCGTTAGATGGGTGTATTTTTCCTACTGATAGTTAATTTGGTTTGTAAAGCCTGGTAAAAGAAACGTGAAATGTGTTATTGGTAAGCTTGCTGAAGCTCCGATTCAATTCAAATTAAACCGAGAAAGAACCATAAAGTGCTTCTCAGTGTAACATTTAAATATCTTTTTCGAATGCTTAGTTAGCCCATTCAACCTAGCAGTTGAATAATTAAACTAAAAGGTTTTTCCTGACGTCACTTTCTCCCGTTTTTTTATGTGCTCTCCCTTAAAAGCTTCTCCCATTCTGAAAATATGTTTTTTGTTTGATGCAACAATGGAAGAACAATGTTTACAACTAAAAAGGGAAATAGGAAATATCAAACCACATTGATTGTCTTGTCTTGTCCATGCACAATTAAGCATTCAATGTTTTTGTATGAGTTTTTATAAAAACGGTCTCCTTCGCTTATTATGCTACGTTTTCTTTTCGCAGCACAACCTTTGTCGATTCCTAAAGCCACCCCACTATAGCATATTGTGGGCATTACGAAAAATCGAACAAACCTTATATCCTAACCGGTGAAATTCAATGAAAATGTAATTTAATTGAAGAGTCATGTTATGAATTGCAGTTAACATTATAAAATCAACAAGGCCTTGTATAAATATTAAATCAACCTTAATTGTCAAGTGCTATTTTTATATATCGGTGGTTGTTTGGGCACACAACACCCAGGCATGTTTTATTCATCTGTTTATATAGTAGGTATCTATTTTTTGCCTGTTTAAACCAATAATGCAAAGAGGCAGATTTATTGAAACGCCTTTTAAATTCAATTAGTTGATGCAAATATGAAAACGCACATTTAAAATTTATGCAAATTGAAAATGGGTTTTAATAGAATATTCCACAGTCTGAATTAATTTAATTTATCGCTTTAAGTTCAATGCTTTAATTGACAGTGAAAAAAGGCTTAAACGGGTTAATTTTTAAATTTAGCTCAGGCGAAAACAAGATCGGAATACTGGTAAAAAAAAGCAAGGACAACTTATTTTGGTCGATATTTTATCTGTTAGCTAAGTGTAAATTTTAATTATAGTATTCTATTATTTTTTATGCATATTTTAGTAAAGTAAATCGTGTAGAGAGCACTTTACTCTTGTTGTCGGTATACCAATTCCATTCCTGAATTAAACATTTGGTTTGGTGGTTTTGTTTAGTTTTGTTCACGAAATTATTTCCATTTACACGTATATCATACATATACATATTTATATAGTAAATACATATAAGACCAATTCGCTTTTCACGGCAGGATTAAATTCATAATATGCTCAAAAAATTACATATTCTTTATAATCAATCTTCGTCGACCTCATCGTTAGTTATATAATAACACACCCATAAAGTTTAAAGATTTCCTTCTTCGATATTTTCCCTAATCTAGTTTTAATTACTAATATGTTTCATTTCCTCGATTTCCATCAACTTCACTGGTGTTTTGTTATGCTTGTTTGGATTTACCATTGTTTTTTTTTTTGTAACATTTTTTGTTCTTTTTTGGTTGACAATTTCTAAGCGTTGCTTATTGCATTTAAAGATCTATAAGGGATATTATAGTCCTGGAATTGCGTAGCTCTGGCCCTAGCTCGCCCTCTTGTCATCAAAGGTCGTTGTCGAACATTTGCAGCGAACGCGTTACCAAATCGTCCTTCAGGCAGGCCTCCAAAAACTCCTCTATCGTAATAATGCCATCCTGGTTCAAGTCGAGTTTGCGGAACACACGATCCACCTGAATGGTAAAAATGGAAATGGATTTAGTAGTAAGAAGTGTTTTAAAGAAATTATTTTATTTTTGTTTCCCAAATAAAGTCCTTTAATAATATCACTGGCATTCAAAGAACTTGTAAGCTTATTTTTGCCCTTGAGTTAATTTAAAACCAACTAATTAAGAGGGAAAAATGTACTCTGTTTCTGGCTGAATTTCTCTTTAAAAAAGGTCCACATTTCAATTTCAGCAACTTTTCATTGGCATTTTCATTTTGCTTTATCAACGGAAAAACGTGAAACCTTCATCATTAAGTAAAATATCCGCTTCTGTTTCCGCACATGAAAGCTTCCGCTTTCCCCTCACTCACTTCTCAGTCACTGCCGATGCAATTTCGATCCCCTTCTTATGCATTCCGTGTGTAAAATTTTCTGCGTCTGTTCCCAATCATAATTACTCCTACGCACAGTACGCCCGACTTACGTCAGCGGATGCTGCACGTTTTGTCAAGTGTGGCTTTTGCATAAAGAATGAAGCATACAAATCTGCGCCAGGGGAATATGCAGATGGATATTTCAGCAGAAAGCCTAGAACGTGCCGCTCATTCTAGATAAACAATTCCATCTGAATGAAGCTCTAGAGCGACATGATTAAAGCTTGGTAAAGATTTTGTGGGGCTTTGTGAACTTTGGAACTCTCATGTTTTGTTGTTTTAATCTTAATATTACGCACCTTTCAAGTAATTTATTCTTATTTCTTACCTGATCCCTCGCCTTGCGATCGTCCTCAGGTTGGTGCGGTCTCCGACCCATAAGCTCGTGAATGGCCAAAATGATTTCGCTGAGTTCGCCGCGACTGATCCTTCCGTCGCCGTTCAAGTCGTACAATTTGAAGGTCCAGCGCAGTCGCTCGTAGACCGACCCCCTCAGCAAAGTCGACAAGGTGACCAGTAAATCCTAATAACCATTCAAATTTATAAATAGGCATGGCCGCGAAAGATTTCGTAAATGTTATTATAATGAGAAATAATTACCCGAAAACTAATGGCGCCATTGCAATTAACATCGAACGCTTTGAACACATAATGAGCGTATAAACTCGAATCTATATAAATAGAACAAGCAAAGGAGGCGAGTCAGAGCAATTTTTTTTTATGTTTTCTGATTATTTGGGTATTTTGCCGCTTGGGCGCAGCTGCTGCAAGGTCGAAACGTTCGCTTAAATGGCGCTTTATGACGCGCAACTATAAAAAGGAAAGCATAGGACCTCAGCGACAGCACCCGCACACACAAACACACACACACACGCTAAATGGGGGACATTTTGAGACACACACTTATTCGCAAATACTTACTGCCATGTGGAAAGAATTTGGCGTAAATATCCTTAAAACAATCCTCATGCACCACGCCCTCTGGGCATTCCTGCAAAAAAGAATAAATCGCCATGAAAGTGTTTGCTCGGTTAATAAAGAAAAAGGCAAATGTAATGACTGCGAGTTAGAAAAAGGCGAAAAGGACTAGACCGCCAGGATCTTGCACAACTTGTAAAAGCATTTGATTAGAAGGATATTTATGGGATACTAAAACTGGCAATGAATACCACAAAATAGGGAAGGCGATAAATAATGGTAAGTAGTATGTATTTGTATAGTGTCTGGATTAAATTCATTTAACTTTGTTTGATTGAAAAGTTTACCAATTAAATGAAATAAATTGATGAAAAAATAAACCTACAAGTCACCTACTACATTTTCGACAGAATAATCAGTTAGGTAAACTTTGCGCTTTCGAAATGACACAAAGGAAAAACTATCATAGTTCAAACTGTCAATAAGGCGAACAACTCCGGGTGAACGAAACTATCTCTGGCTCAAACTATCCATTTACTTGACCCGGAGCTCATCTCTTGTTGACCCACATATTGAAACTTTTTCGCTGAATTGGCCATTTTCCGCACACTTTGGTGTAAAAGTGCTTGGACACACACTCGCTTACAAAGAGCGAATTCATTTGCAATGAAATTCAAAACGCGTCTGCCTTTAAGGCCAGCGAGTTGTTCTGGGATCACGAACTCGTGAACTTTTTTATTTGCCTGGAGTTAATGTTACTTTGTAAAGAAAGAGTTGAGCTCCTGAAGTTTAGTATTTTCTACTACGTTGCTTAATAAGGAAACAAATTAAATTTAAATTCCAAATGTTTTCTGTTGTGTTACCGTTTTGAATCCTCTGTACATGACTCGAATCTCCTGTTTGGTGAACTTGGTCTGCCGGCACAGATCCTCGAGGGCAACCGGAATGGGCTTAGGCACTCGTGTGTGTTCCAACTCATAGACCACCTCCTCGATGGGACTCTCCGGTGGTGATGCCATGGTCGCTGGTTACTTATTGTTGACTGGTCGCGGTCTTTAATTAATTTCGCTGCTGATTATGATTGGCGGCTTAATATCAATTTGCATTTGAGGTGCTTGGTTCTTAGAGGCGGGAGAACGAACTCATTATGCCGAAAATTCGCTGTGAGTGTACAATTTCTTTGTCCTTTTTTTACGAGCTCTTCACCTTTTCAGCAACGGCTGCTCTGAATCCCTTTTAGCGTATCCCTGTTTTTTGTGGGTTTTCGGTTACGGTTTCCTTTATGCTATTCCGCTAAGTCGCTAATGAGGCTACCAATGCTGCAAAAAATAGAAAGGGGAGACAGGTATAAGCACCTTGGGCTTTATAGAAAATAAATGAATAGTTTAAAATATTTATGTGCCTATTTATCACTTAATTTTAAATTAACAGTCAAATTAAAATGAGTAGGCACAATAAGTACATGATTTTAATAATTTAATTTATATTTTTTCCAGTCCCCATAAATCAGTTCTGTGTGCCTGAGCAAGGACACTTGCAGTTGCCGGAAGCGCAACCCGTAGCGGCAGATACCGTTGCGCCCACGTCCACATTTACACCTGTATATAAGCAAATCGAGTATACGCCCTGTTGACTGTCGCTGCCTCGGGCAACATGCAAATGAAGATTATTATTGCGTACCGTAAATCAAAGGCGATTCGAGTTATGCAGCCCCTTCACTGCACTTCCTGCGGAGTGAAATGCTTGTGGGTGTGGGGTTTTTGGTCCGTGGCAAGGCTGCTGCCCAGATGAGACTAATGAGCACTTTTCATGCAAATGAATCGATTGCAAGTTCATTCGCACTGTGGGTTTGCTTTTGCCTCGCCAAAATCAACACATTGCAAATCAGCTTAGCATAATGAGTTGTTATTGAAGTGCTATTATAAGTCTTAAGGAAGACAAATTTGTTGACCTTATTCGAAGATACACAAACACGTAAATGGTGTGTTAAATATTTTCTTATTTAATTTATACGGTAAAGCTGTTATGTACAGAAGCTTAAAGGTAGCTTTTCCATCCAACCCAATTTCAATCTTCGACGGCGTTTATTGCTCGTTCATCATAATAAAACCAATCCGTAAATCAAATCCCATAAATCTTCAAATTGAATTTTCTTGCAATGAGTCGCTTGCGCCAGCTTAAATCAAATTCTCAGCAAACTTTTACCGTTTTTGCTCTGACAAATTTCAACAGCACTTCAATATTTATCAGCGAAAAGTCGAAAAGTGTGTGCTGCGGACTATTTCCACTCTATTTCCATTTGGCATTTCCATTCTATTTGCTCTCACACTCGCACACCGAGGCAGGACTCTTGTTATCTAAGGGCGGGAAAATGGTGGAAAGGGGATTTCCATTTCCGACGTCACAGTTATTTTTCACTTTGAATTGATTAAGGGCAGATAGACCAAAAAAAAAAAAAAAACAGAAAAACGGGGTCACTGCGAAAGGAAATAGCTTTGACAGTCTTAGTCCAAGCTAAAGAATATTTTTTGTGTCGCCCTCTGCATTTTTGCTTCTTAACCGTTGGTCAAAAGTTTAATTTCTTTATTAAATTACTGTAAAAATTATTGAAACAAATTTTTCTTAATTTTTTCAAGACGTTGTCCTTGACTCATTTATGGTTTCCAACAAGGGGAGAACCTTGATTTAGCTACCGAAAGGTTTCGACGAAAACTTAATTTCCCAGTTGCTTTACTGAGCTCTTTGGGCTCTTCCGCAACTTCTTGTTGAATACATAAATATTTTATAAATCGCCAAAGTAAGTCTTAAATATTTATGCATTCTCCAGCGGCCAAACTCAAAGTTGAATCAATATCGTTAACCCTTCGGAGCCATGAAAAGGCGAAAAGGCGCTGAGCGAGCTCTTTAAGCCGCAAGAATCTGCTAAATGTTGCCTGCCATTAGCATAAATTGCATTAAAAGCGAAGAGAGCCATAAAACCGAATACAATGTCATACTTAGCTGCTCGCGCTGCAGCCAACTAATTTCATGACTCTATTTTGCACAAATCTCTGTGGCCCAGTCGGTGGGAAAAATGGGGAATGCTGGTGAAAGTGAGGAAATGCTCGTGGTGAGTGGGCGAGTGAAAAGCGTGCCGCTGTCTGCATTTTACAACATTTGCAACCATGTTGGAGTCACGCCTTTAGCATGGTCAGGGCTTCCCCTTATGCACTTATAAAAAATTACGAATACTTGAATATACTTTTTTTTTGGGAATCAGTTTTCTTAAAAAATATAAAAATTATATAATCAAAATTTTTTTTCATTGCAATTTTAGTTTTTCCTTAAATTATTTTTTTTTAATAAAAATAAATGTATATTTTTCATAGTGCTTCATTTTTTTTAACACTCCTGTCGCACACACACGCATACGGAACTTTCAAATGCAGTTTTTGGCGTGTGTTTGTGTGCGTGGGTGTGCCAGTTTGCTTGTGCATGTAAAATGTTTGTCAAATATCACGTATACGACATGTGCTTCCGGCAAGGAGCGCACGAACACCCTCGAATAACCGGGCAACCGACCGGATCGGGTCGAAGCCATTCATTGCCAGGGCGAAGCTAATTAAATATTAAACCAGGTCAGCGTGGGAACGCTATAATGCGAAAATCCCTATTAGCCTATTGCCGATTGCAGGCGAAATGCTCCCGCACAAAGACACTGAAATGCACTTAAGCCTGATGGGAAAGGGATATGCAAATCCGCTTGCCAAGAACAGTATGGTTATTCATTTGTCTAATTGTGTTGTTATTGTTATTGTTGTTGCCCAGATACAGGGGCTTTGAGGGGCGAGGACTTTTTAGGTCCTGGTGTGTGGCATGTCAGGACTTAAATTTATAAATGGCAACGACAACAGCAGCAGCATTCGACGCAAGGACAAGGCTTGGCCGGGCCAGAACCAACTTGCATGCAGTCATGCAATGCCACTCGAATAATGAAAAAGAAAGCTAAACTAAAACTAAACAAGAACGCACGCCAGGCCTCCCGCTCGCTGCCAACTGTAATTGTCAACAGTGGTTTGTGTATTTATACAAACAATATTTGACGTTGCTGGTGGGGCAAAGCTTTTCGAGCCCGTATTTGTATATTAAATTAAACTATGCAAGAGCAAGAGCACTCATAATTGCAAAGGACAAACTAAAATATGTATTTATATAACTTAAAATGAATTAAATAAATTGAAAGCCAAGTATATAACTAGCTAAAATAATTATTCAAATTACAAGCTTAGAAAAATAATTAATATTGATAACTATTATTTTTGTCACCTCAAAAAATGTTTACAATTTTTAATCATTATAATGGTAATGACACTGTGCGGGTTCCATATCTCTGAGCTTGCTTCATTGTCATTTCCTGCTGTTTTCATGCCACTTTCATGGACAACGTAGACGGAGTGGCGCAATGAGAGGAGTGCCAAGCTCGAAAGGCAACGAAACGAACACGGCGATATCTAAATAAGGACTGCCGATCCGGCCAAACACGCGACCGCAAAAACCACAGAGCTGCTTCAATTTCGAGAGCATTATTAAATTGCGGATATATCCACGGCATATCTGGGTATGTATATCTTTTTTGTTGGCCAATTGGCACGATTGCGACTACAACAATTGAATTTTTTGCCTAAGCTTTTGTTGGCAATCGCCCACGAGGCCTGTGGGTAAAGCAAATCTCGTTGCGCCTTCCAAAGACTATAAATCAACGCCAATTAAATGCCATTTTTTGCTCGGTTTTTTCGTGGCTTTCCGTCAAGGAGAAGCGATGACGACAGTTGATGTAGAGGTTTCAACACTTTTCAATCCGGCTTTCGGCCAGGCCCGAAACCAAATCAGGTCAGTAGATTTGAATAGGAAAATAATGAACAGGCGAAGCCAATGAATCTCGTCAGGAATTCCTGCGTATATCCGATCCAAGTGATAAATGGAAATGCATTTGCACTTTTCCCCTGTTAAGCCGAAGTATTCACTGCACTTTGATGTTGACATGAGGCTTCTGGGAATTCGAGATAATGGACAGACAACCAACGTCTTCGGCAGGTTCAACTTGCAATTATTAATCATGATTGCACTTAACAAGACACCAAAGCTGTTGATGTGCAAATCGATAAACAGCCCGAAAGTTTAATGCCTTTGGAAAAGGTTAAACTGGTGTCACATAAACCTGTTAATGAAAAGTGACTCAAATTGATTTAGCAAGATGGATGGTTCCCAATTTTTGCACCAATTTATGCTAATAATTTGCAGTTTAGAGGCTGAATTTAAATTATAAGTTTTTAACGGTGACTAACGACCGCATTTTAAATCTGCAACAATTTATAGTTCTACTACAAATTAAGCATTCAAAAATAAAGTTATTTTTGAATCGCATTAAATTCTGGCCAAACTTTGGATCGCCCACATATCAGATACAATATCTCTGCAGATCAGACAGCATGACCCATAATTAAAGTTGGTAATTGTGCCAAAGTATTTTCTTCCAATTGCCAAAAGATATGAGATATGAACGGATGTTGGCCCCAGTCCAATATAGGAGCAAATGGCCTATCAGAGAGTTATGAGATAGTCAAAGGAAGTCATTACTCTCCATAAAGATGCAATAAAGTGCGTTCTGGCTTTATTAGACTGACACTGCATAAACTTAGTTTTAATTTGGTATTTTGGCACTCGCTTTGAGCGCGAATAGAGGAGCTTGGGGAAATCAGGCTAAGAGCGTTGATGAAAATCCCCCTCTTGCAGTTAGTTTTCGGTTGTTACTTGAAACGCGTGCGATAATTCAAGGGGGTTGCCTCCAGCTGGCAACCAGATAAGCCTGTGTGAAACTGTGTGCTCAAGGCAACAATAACAAACGACTCCCGAGGGCCTCGAAAGGCAGCGTGCAGCATATGGCTTTCGCTCTCGGCTTGCAATAATTTTTTAGTTAAACATAAGAGGGAAAAGCAATTTTGGCAAGCCATTTTCGACTATCTTGAATCAACAAAGGAGCGAATCGAGCCCCGAGCCATTATTAGTCGCTTCTGATGCTCTAATCGCACTTCCGGCACGCGACACGTAATTGCCGTCACCTGGATATCGTAAAGGGCGTAGCACCTGAACTTATGGGAATGCCGGTATTTTCACAGGGAGTCACTGGAAAGTGGCATGAAATAACGCTGAAAAAATATTGTGAAAATTTATTCAGCTTAGCTTGTAATGGTGGCAACTATTATCAAGATACTTAATCGAAACGTTGGCTGTTAAATCCTTTAAAGTGAAAATGCTACTCAGTTATTGTAAATCTTATTTGTTTTTTATTGCTGTTGTTTTGCAGTCCTTTTTTCCATATTCTTGAGTGTTATTTTTCTGCATTATTTTGAGTTACATCCCAAAGAGCCCTTGAAAGCGTATCTGCAGCAAATTGCAGCTGAAGTGGCCTCATCCAAAATGAAGCAGCAATCACAGATGAGCAATTCCTGCACTTAAAGTCGGCCGGAATGGCAAACTTAACCATGAACTGTATACATTTCGAGTGGTAGGGCCACTTAGATTCACTCAAGCATTAGACAGCAATCAGCTTAAGATACACATGTGGGGAACCCGGGGGACGTGGGAAATTGTTACGGCGGAAGCTTGTAACTGGCTATCTAAGGCGCAATCAGAATTCATTAATTTGGCAGTCGTTAGGACTTACTAAAAATGCAATCTATGGCAAAAAGAAATTTTACGGACTTCTATGCAAAGGCCAGGGGAGAAATGAAAAAGTTTTCACTGCATTTCCGGGCATGGCGAAAGTTTAGCAACTCCCTCGTCCAGAAAATTCAGTTATTTTTGGCTATGGCCAAACAAGAAACTGACTTCATTGTTGGCCAGCCAACAAAAAGCGTTGTAAGGAAACTGCCAAAATAGTTGCAACGACTTCAAATGGGAGGGGTTTCTTGTTTGAAATTACTCTGTAAAGGAGTAGAAAGTGTGCAAAACTTGGGGGGCGGTTCACAATTTCGTATTGGACTGTGCGAGACTGTGAACAATGAGCCGCCATTCGAAATCGTCCCACTGGCGACCCCCGGCACCCAAATCTATATAGAGGCCCACGGATATTCGAGGATATATACCCACCCGCTAGTCTTGATGGCCCCCGGAACTTCCGGTTCGGCGATATTCGCCAACTTTCCGACAATCATTCAGGCAGTGCCCTTTCTTGGCCAAATGGCAAAAGCTTAGCCAGTTTTTGGCCAAGCTATAAATATGCCGAGATATGTTCATGAACTTATTCCTGCGTGGGTGTATGAGCCGCAAAACTTGACTGGACAACAATTTTCTTGCTTGAATTGATTTAATTTATGAGCTGACTTAATTTATTTCCGCTGACGAAAAGAAAAAACAAGTCATTTCTTAGAAAAAAAGTTGAATTGCCTTAGAGTATATAATTGCCTGCCAACGGAATAATTTGCCTGCTTATCAGTTATAATTAGACATTTCTAATCCAACTAGATCTTGACATATTTTAAATAATACTAGTATCATATACAATACCCTTGCAGAAATGTTAATTTTGCGTCTTTGAAACTGAAACTTTTTGCCACACTTAAAAGCCAATTACATATTCCGGGATTTGTTTTCCCCAACTTAATTCTGTTCTGCCAAAAATCAACTACAAAACTAACTTTCTTGTTTTTGCTTAACATTTGTTTTTACTTGGCTTACTTTTATGTTCACAATGAACATGAAAATCTACAAGAACAATAAACAGACCAAATAATAAAAAATTGTGCAAAGGCAAAAACAAAGGGCCGCAATAACAACAAAAGCGATGGCAATGGTAATAAAAAGAAACATTCAACTCTCGCAACTCATACAACTTGTCAGAAGAGTAAGTGGGAAGAAGCGGGAGAAGTCCAAATTGGGGAGAAAAATTGCTAAAAGTATGCAATATTTTTTCGCTGTTGGTCCTTCAACTTTTGGTGGCTCTTTGCTGACTTGGCAGGCCCGACATAGTAATTAATGTTTGTAAGTGCTCCGCGTGGGTAGTTGAGCATAGATGTGCCGCATTTTAAAATGGCTCATAGTAAAGGAAATTATTATGCAATTGCTAAGATTAAAAGAAACAGATTCGTAAAGAACCTAATGGAGATTTACCTTGGATTAATTTAATCGAAATATTTAAAACCTATAAGAGGGTATCAATATAAATAAAAACCTTTACAGATCACTTCCCGATTTTTTCCCACTATTGAGTATTGGGTAAGGGGTGCTTTGCAGTCGAGTTGGTATATTTTAGAGCAATGTATAATTTTTTGTTTTGCTCAACCAAAAGCTTGGACTGGCTTGTTAATTGCATGTTGCCGACATATGTTCGCTTGTAAATGCGGATTTACACCCATCCCCCAGTCGTGCAATTAAAAAATGTTACCGAAAACCTCGGCAGCAAAGACATTTAACTTTTCTGAAATTGTGGGTACTTTTGTTTCTTTCTTTCTGTCTTTTTTCGGATGTGTGTAACACATGGCGTATGCGTGTTACGGCTGCAGGCGCTAACTTTCAGAAAAACTTTCCTCTTATCAGCTGGCGATAAAAATATAAGAGAAGAAGAAAAAAAAGAAGTAAAAACCTCCGCAAAATGTATGTTCGTTTGGGATGGATGAGGATGTGTAAGTTTTATAGACACATCTGGCGGTTGGCTATATAAATTTCAAGTTTGTTGCTGTTTGAAAGTTAAACGTTTCGTTTTTCCTAGCTGTTGCATATGTGTATGTAGCATCGCCGATGCCTGCACACATGTTTTATGGCTTTAACCATGGGAAAAGGAACAGTATTTTTTCCACGATAAGTTGACCATTAATGGTCGCCAAATGCTGGCAAATTGATGTTCATGCTGGGAATGGCTTGCGGTTGCCTTTGCAGGGACAAAATGGTTTTATATACATACTCAAAACCATTTAAATGGCTCTTAAATTTACTGCACCAAAAAAGCTATTCAACATTTATTTTATGCTGCTAATTTAAGAATAATTTAAATGCACATAAGCAAATTATATATAAATTTTAAGTACTTATTGGGTTGGCTTAAAGCGGCTTCAGTTATTCGAAGCTTTAAAGGCTCATGTGAAAGTTATTTAGGTGAAAGTCCGCTCGTTTGACCAGCCTTAATTATTCAAGAACGACAGAACGTTTGGCGAAAGTCACGCCCTATTCTCATTACTCACTTAGGCCAAGACAATATCATTCGATTGGGCCAGTAATTACCTGTGTCATTGAAAGGCTCACGCACCCTAACACCTTAAGTGATTAGGCAGTTTATAGCCGAAAAGCGTTGAATCACTTTGCAGCTCACAGCTGCGGTTCGCATTTCGAATTAGTTTGCGTGTCATTAGGTTTGCATAAGAGCTTTCCTTCTGACCAAGGTTAAGGCATTCTGCTGACCTTTCATTGTTAAACAGTAGTATACACATACATACTTAGCAATAAAATTGTTAACATTATTAACAGACAAAGTTTGAAATATGATTTATGTATCCCTAACCAACTTTACTTTAGTTTTAGATAGCTTTGTAGCGTGGTTTTTTATGCTTCGTGTGAACTTTATTTATAACTTTTCTATTTGCAGTTTCGTGTAGCATACATTCCGGCGCCCTCCCCCTTTTCTCTCTTTCGCCCTCTTGCAAAACAACAGCAGCCACTTTTATGTAGGCTCTTTAGGTGTGTGTTAGTGGCGATCCATGTGTGGGTGTGTGTGTGAATGAAAGTAGAGCGCACCTTGATTCTATTTTTAAATGCCGCACAAAACAACAATTGTCGCTTAGTTGCGCGTTAAGTGTTTTTCATCCAGCTTCCCGCGACCAAGTTCGTTTCATTGTGCAGGTGCAGCTCTTGTTGGCTGGAAGCACTTAAAATAGTTCAGAAAATAGCCCCAAGGATTATATAAATAGTTGGTAGCGAATTCAGTTTAGTAACACTCTTCAGAAAGTGGCCTTAAACGAGGGGCAATTGGTGTACCGTGCCAAATTACCATCGTTTATCTCGTTTTGTGATTCTTAGAAGTATGTTTTAACTTATCACACAATCTATTTTGATATATCGCTAAAGCCCTTTATAAAATTCCTTTCTGTTTACCTTGTTAATTTGAGGACCAACTGATTCCACTTCAATCGATCAGGATATCAATGTCGACCGTCTACAAAAACTAGTTTGACTTTTATAATCGGCTTGTGCATCTAAATGGAATTGGCATTTGGCTTATGGTTTATGGCCAGACTGCACGATAGTCCTGCTTGTGCTTATCAATTGTTGCGCCCAACTTTCGTTTGTTTGTTTGTTTCCCCTTAACTGCTTGTCGGGGATTAAATGGCACGAAAAGTTTAGCTCAATAATTGGAATTTTAAATGACACGTTTTGGGGTTTATTACGATGAATATTAAATTAAACAATCCTTGGAATAATAACAACTCAGACAGACAATAATCATTATTATTTTTAAAACAATACCCATCTGTATTATTTTATTTTGTTTGACTTAAAGTATTGCGAAATTTAAAATAGAACATATGTATAGCTTCAGTAATTTTGAAGAATAAACAAATTTTCGACACCTCTTCAATAACTAATAAATATGAACAATTTTGAATATTTTTCTTAATATTGTGAATAGTAAACAAATTCCCAAGGTTATTTTTGGTATTTCCAGGTGTTCATTTAAATAGATGGTCATGATTTTTGTGAAAATAAACTGTTAATATATTCCCAAGCCTTAATATTATTTTTTTTGAATCGGTGCAATTTTCTTTGAACTCTTCTGTGTTGGTTGATATTAATTGTCTATAGAACTTTAAATATACATTATATTCATAATTTCGCAAAAACTAGCAAATTGGTGGGAGTTTTTCCTCGCATTTCCAGGTGAGTGCTTGGATTTTCCCAGCTGCTTGTGTGTGGGTGATTGCGGCAAATATGCGTTGATGTGTGAGACTTTGCCGCCTAGTCAAATAAATCGCATGCGATTAAAATTTTATACGAATAGCTTTAGAGCGTGCGTTTTGCTTTGTTGTGCTCCATTTTCCCTGCCGTTTTCACCTTTTATTTTTTTCAAGTCTTGAGCTTTGTTGTTTTTTGTTTGTTTTTTATGGGGCATGGCGTCAGTTAAATGAGTTGTTGTTTATAGTTCCTGAGCATGTGTGCGTGCGTAAAAGTGTGTGCGAAAAATTTGCATTTGTAGCGTAACGCTTTTGTTTACTTTGTAGGTTAGTTTGTTAGCCCATTGGCTTATATACACACACTCGGCAATATATGTTTTATATTTACCTTCGATGCCTTTTGACGGTGACGGCAGCGGCGGTGACGAAGAAAGCGGCGAAAGCAGACGGAGAAATTGGCCAAAAGGGAGACGAGGAGAAGGAGGCGACGGGTGGTGGTGGTAGCGGTGGTGGTAGTGGGTGGTATTAACCTCAAAGCATGCCAGCAAACAGCTCCTCCAAAAAACACTTGACTCCTTTCGATATTTTCCTGCCCTCTTTGCGTGTCTCGTTTTAATTTGTTAATGATTTCGGCTTATTCATTTATTTGCATACTTTGGCGCTCACTTAATTTTCGGTTGTATATTACATTTTTGACATAGCAATACCTAAGGTCCTGTCTCAACGATTGTTGTTGCTGCTGTGGAAAATGCCAGGCAGCAGAAGCACGAGCAGCAGCAGCAGCGGCAGCGGAAAAAAGGAACAAGAAGAAAAACTGTATCTTTTAGATCCGGGCATATCCTTTATCTCGAACAGTGGCAGCGACGCTGGCAGAGGCAGCAGCTGTAGCTGGAAAATTTCCTCCAACTTGTTTGTCCGATTTTTGTATACTTTTCGAAAAAACTTTGACAAGCTCTGGGTTGTTTAAACTTTTAAAATTAATATTAATTTTAGTTTTCAATAAAGCAGCAGCAGCAACAATCGTTACCATTTACATCCAGAAAAAACTCGGGAGCAGCAAAAACCGCGCAGCGCTTTCCCCGTTTACCGTTTACCGTCAGACACTTTTCCACACTTTTCACCCAAATAGAGCCAGAAACCGTTCGACGCGCGCACGCGAGTGTCCTATACACAACTGATTACAGGACTGCGAAAATGGAAAACGTTTGCCAGCAGCGGAGCTTCGGGTTTCCCTTCGTTCGGTTCGCTCGCAAAATCTCCGGCTATCGCAGACAGGCTTCTGTTGCCGAAATATCCCACTAAGCACAGCTTGGGCCAAAGGACTCCGGCGCTTCGCAGGCTCCGATTCTCACTCCCGCATCGCATTTCCCCCACGCATCCGGACGGAGAGAGAGCCGGAGAACCGGAGCCACTCAGACGGAGAGAGAGAGTTCGCCGGACTTGCGAGTGGGTGCGCACTCTTTGGTGTGCGGGTGGGATTTAGCATAGCCCTCGGTGGTTACAGTGTGCTCAATCATATACAATTTCTATATAAAATGGGTTTATCGTTCATCAAGTTCGTCCAGATCCCTGTTCATGCCAGATTTTTTTTGATTTCCGATGGTATGGGTCAATATACTATAGTATAGTACCCAGTACTGAACTTATAGATCCCATAACTTCAATAATTTTTGTTCGATGTCAAAGTGGCATGGCTCTAAAAGTTCGTAATGAAATTCCTGATCGAACTGCGTTAAATTTTTTTAATTCGGAGAAGGTCGAAATTTTGACCCCTGGTCATGTCAGGTTTTACTGGATTTCCGATCATATGCATAATAGTGACCTAATACTGATCATCTAGATCCCACGATTTCTACAATTTTTGTTTGATTTTAAAGTGGCATACCTTTCAAATATTGTGATTGATTGCTCCCAAACGGACTGCATTTAAATTTCTGAATTCAAGGGAAATAGATTTTTTGCCCCACTGTGCAGGTAGCGCTCGTATTCCTCCTTCATCCTGCTCAGCCCGTCCAATTGGCTGCCAAAAAAAAATACTGCCACACCATCGTCGCAGTCTTTGTCCTTTAACTTAACACCCAGAGTCAGGCAGTCTGGCATCCTTTACATTTCTGGTCCCGAACGGAGGTCTTCTGTTACGCTGCTGTTATCCTGCTGACCAAGAGGGTCCTGAGATATGACACCCATGAGCTTGGTGAACACGAGACGCCCGGCCACCCACTCTTCCCAAAAGTCTTTCCTCCGATTCTATGCTTTTTCGCACATGTGTACTATATGCTCGCGTGTTGGACATTTACACAGTTTTTTTTTTTGCCCACGAACGGACGTGGAGGGTTCCACAGCAAAATGACAAGTGCTTAGTGTTTTGCATGTGCGTGTGAGGGTGCACTGAAAACAATTTATTTTTTTCTACTCTATAAAGTGTTTTAATATTTAATATTTAATTTACTTGAAAAGGAACTTATTTTTATTTAGTCTTTTCAATTTTTTACCCGATAATGAGAGTACGATAATTCTCAGTAATAAGTTAAGTATCATATGCCATATTATTTCCCAGTGTGGGACTTAGCTGCTTGATCTCCCATTCTCATTTTTTAAGCTGGCAAATGGGCAACTTGGCGAAGGGGACGAGGACAAGTGTTTGGAGCACTTGGCACACGCTTGCGCGGCTTTTAAATTTAGCGTATTAACTCATTAAATGTTCAAAAGCTCATTGCCTGCGAAATGTGCACACATTTTTGTGAATGCGAGGGTGTGAAATATGCACAAGTATGACACTTTGGCGCTGTGGTGAAGGTATTTTTAATACCGCTTAATGGGCAATCAGACGGAACAAGCCTTAAACGAAACGTACTTTTAATAATTTTACAATTTTTTTTGCATTTTATATTAAGTTTTGTAAAATCGCGGCCTTACAATCCCTGAGAAAGGTTAAAAACCGTTGAGACCTTGAGACCTGTCATAAATGCTTCTTCTTCCATATGCTGCTCTTTATGCAATTTAAATTAATTAGTGTAATTATTTTAGTGGCTTAACTGGCTTTATTTCAACACCCTCATCCGCACTGAGTGACCGCTGCCACAGTTGGCGTTACGCATACGCCACGTTGCATGCGTCTTGAATATTTTATGTCGGAAATCTGGGGCCCGGCAAAAATGACAGCTGCGTGTTGAAAATAATTAAGGCGCAATTATAATGACCGTGGCCGCGAACCACAGGCACTCACCACCCATCCAGCGGAACCACCCACCATCCACCCGCCTGTTGGCATTGCAATGTGTTGCATGCAACACCAGACACTTTGGCGGCGCCAACAATGACGAAAGCAATCCATGGCCATCTTGCTTCTGCGCTATCGTGTGTCCTTATCCTTCTTCTTATGGAAATTGATGCGAAATGTGGGCTCAGATTAATGTTTCTGAGCTTGTTTAACAAAAAAAGTAATCTTTAATATTTATTACTATTCAACGAGTAGTTTCTTACTGTCATTCAAAAAATATATGTATTTTGGAACTTTAACAAGTCTTTCCCTCTAGGCAAAAACAAGAGAAAGTTTAAGCCACACAAAGAAATCAAAGTCATTAACTTTTATAATTTAATTTGAGGAAACACGCTTTACTAAATTTGTTGTTGAACAGCAAGACACGTTCACCGTCGACATTCCTTTAAATAAATACAATATACAAAATACAATAAATAACTAGTACAAAATTCTGACCATGTTGGTTGTAATTGATGACGTTTTTAGTTGAGACATGAATGACACGAAATGCTTTGAAGGAAAGGCCACATGGCCGACCGTGGTTTGGATAGGAGTACAGTACTGGCGGACAGTCGATAGTTTAGTCTGCATTGGCATCGATAAGGGCAGGCACTTCGGATATATCAATGGAAGGCTTGGAGTCTCCATCACCCACGTTCTCCTGGGACTCTGTTTCAGTCTGAATGGTCTGCTCTTGGGTTGCCTTGATATTTGAAGCGTCACCCGCTGCCTGCAGTTCGGCGTTGGATTCCGAGGGGGATAGTTCCTGAGCGCCGTTGAGTTCCTCATTCGATGTCGTAGCTGCAGCAGCTGCCGCCGCCGCTGCGGCTGCCTTTGCCTTGGATTTTTTCTCCTTTTTGCGAATATTCTTCTTGGCATTGTTTGCCAGTCTCTGCTCTTCGGCCTTATTCCTCTCCTCGATGGCTGTCTTGGATTCGCTGGCCGTCAGCAGCTTCATTTGGTTCTGAAGATTGGCCAGAGTTTGCTTCAGTTCCGCGCAGTTGCGTGTCATCATCTCCATTTTAACATTATCTGCAGTGACAGGTTTTGTGTTCACTGGCTCGGGTTCAGGCGGCAATTGCGGCAACGCGGGGATTTCGATATCGTGGTCCCGAAGGCACTGGTGCAAATTGGTCCGTTCCAGCTGGAGAGCACGCAGCAGCTTCTGCAGTTGCTGAATTTGCTTCTGCAGGCGCTCCGTGTGCTGCGACTGCAGGTTTTTCTCGGTGGCCAAATCGATCACAGTGGCATTGGCCTTCTCGTACTTTTGCCGCCATCCCAGCGCCTCCTTCTCGATCTTCTTCGTGTGCTTCGACATCTTTTCCAGTTCCACCTTGTAGCTGCCGAATACTTCGTTGGACTTCTGCAGCGACTGCTGGAAGTCATCGTACTTGGCCGTGTAGATGTTCAGCTGCTCCTTCAGTTGATGTTCTCTCTCGGTGAGATCCTTAATGGCACGCTGCGCTTGCAGCAGTTTCTCCAATCCAATTTGGTTTTCCCTGGAAGAGGGTTGGTAAATTAGGTGTTGAAAATATCTAGAAAGGAGCTTCCTTCTTAAATAATTTACAAGGCGAACGCCTTATTATCAAATCACATCTAAAACTTAATAGTGGCTTCTTTTATGTTTCTAAGCAGAGTCAAGCAGGTCGGCAAAACCAGTAATTGCAGTGAGAATCTTAAATGCAAACTTGATCTCTCTTGTACGACCATTTATGGTGCATTAATTTCGAGTTTCAGAGAAGCCCCCGTTGACCGGCATCTAGTTCACATACTTGCCGAGTATCTCCTTCTCCATGGCGGCCTCCACCTGGCATTTCTGCAATTTGGCCTGGTGCAACTGGGCCTCCAGCTGCACCTGCTCGTTGAGCTTCTCCAGGTGCTGCTCCCTCGTTTGGTACTGCTCAGCCAGCAGTTTTAACCTAAAACGCAGGCCAGATGGTTAGGGAAAATCGGAAAATAGAGAACGTGCGTGTGCAGTGGCTATATTTAGAAACCCGTCTGTGGGGCGGCGATGCTTACTTCTTGGTCATCTCGATGTTGTAATCGCGCAGCTTGATGTTTTCCTCGTTGTTTTTGGCAAGGGATTTCTGGACGTCATTCAAGGAGTTTTGGAACATTGATTGGCTCTCCTTGCGCCGCTCTTCCTCGACTTTAATTTGCAGCATGCTCTCGTTTTTAACAGATTTAATGATTCGCTGCTGTTCGCGGCAAACTTCCTGGAGTTTGTCCCTCATGAGGACGCTCTTGTTGAGATCCCTTTGGAGATTCTCCTTCTCTCGCTGTTGGGATTCCATGTGACGTTGCAGGACACGAAGTTCCGATGTCAGCCGGCTAACATTTTTCTCGCTGTCCACATGCCGCTGCAGTAGCAGCTTGACTTTTCCTCGGTGGAGGGACATTCTTCCAGGGACTTCATTACCTGAAATTGATTCCAAACTTAGCAATAACTCCACTATTTATCCCCGTTACTATGGGCGGAGAAAATCGAAGTAAAGTTTAGCTTCAGGATATTACCAACTCTTCCAACTTCTGGTCGCGCTGCTTCTCCTCGCGCGCCACCTTTTTAGCCTTGCTTAGCTTCTCCATAGTTCGTTCAGATCGGTGCTATATATAACTTGTATTCGTTTTCGAATTTTGACTATATTTGTTGTGTTGCTAGCAGGGTTGTCAATAGATCTGGAATAAAGTCAATGCTTAATCAGTTACTCGATAAAGTCGATACATTTTCGGCACGCAATCGCACCTAACAGCACGCTGTTATCCCATGCACACCTTAACAGCTTTGGTGGGAAACCGTGTTGTGGTGGAAAAACTGGACGAACGGGGCCGCACACCCAGGACGGTGGTTTTAATTTTTTTTGCCGCTCGTTTTCAAGATTACCAGGGACAAATTTTACAAATATTGCAGCTCAGCACCGAGAAGTCGTTTTGGCTGAAGCGGCGGAGACTCTACAGTTGTAAATTGTTATAAATGTTGTCCGAATTCTGTTAAGCTTCTTTCTGTTAAGCATTTCTGTTACGCATTTCTGTAAAGCGTTTATGTTAGCCAACATTGGCAATTTAAACCTCTCTCTTTCTGAGAGACTCCCAGTCAAAATTTTACAGTTATCCCGCGATCGAAAGTTTTGTTTTGTAATTTCGCGGATTCTTTGTTAAATTTTCGGTAACTCCTCTTTTCCAATTACGCAACATGTCCGAGAAAGAAGAAGAGTTCATCCAATATCTGACGGAAAACGGCATATTTCCTAGACTGATGGAAATACTGAAGCAAATGGTCGATACCGATCCTCTGCCAACTGATCCGTTGATGCACATTTTGCATTTACTGGGCTGTCCCCTTATTCCACAGGTAAGAATTCTTGGAATAACAGTTTAAATATTAGGAAAGGTATATCTTCAGCTGTATTTTTAACTTTAAGGCTCAAATGAAGGCCTTGGAGCGAAAGGTGTCCCGTGCCCACGATGAATTGCGCTATTTGCGACGTTTGATCATTGACTTGGATGGCGACGATCAGCTTTACGATAGCGAAAGCGACGTGGAGGAATATGTGGGCGATGTGGAGGATACCAGTTCCTCTGCCAACGAAATTTCCCTGGGGGAAAGCAACGAGTCCCATGGCGATAACTCTTCACAGCAGAGATTCATTGTCAACTCATCCGTATCATCAATCAAGGAATCCGATTCTTCAAATCAATAGAGCCATACATTTTATGTAATGCTTACATATCTTTAACTGCCATAGTATTTTGGTTGTTTTACTATTACATTTTGTTTACTCAATGCATTCTAAGGCATTTCAGCATGAAAACCTTTCCATATATAATAGTAATAAGTAACGACTAGTATGGTATAAATGAAAAGTTGTTTGAACTTGCCTGATCAAAAAATCATGTTGACCATTAATAAAGCTTGTTTTTTTTGTTTCGAAAAAAGGTTAAAGTATTTTATAGGCTGAAAACTTGAATAAGATTGTAGTATGAATAGCTTAACGAGGTGCTTACTTTTTCTATAGAGTTTATTGAAACATGGGTTTCACGTTTTGAGCCCTGTTTCCACAGGCACTCTCCCCATTTTCAATTGCCATTAAAACTCGCAACCTGGGGGAAATCAATAACTAATAAATGGTACATGTTGGCTGGCAATATCTGGGGCCAAACAAAACAACAATTCAATTAACTTTAACATGCTGGATGCGAAGCTGCACTTTGGCTGTAAGCGGGAAAATTTCATTCGCTTCTGATGTTGGCGCTTCCAAACTACAAGCCGGGATTCCGGGTCGGGGGATAAACTAATTCATCACTATCGGGCCTTGGATAAGCTGCAGCTAATTAAGTCATGCCCCCAGCAAAACGCAATGAATACATTTTTGTATTTGACAGCCAAGCTTTACTGAAATATGTTCATTAAAAATAACTAAAATTACACCGTATAAATTACTCAGAATGAAGCACATAAAATATTTGATGAAAGCACGAGAGTACATTTAATTAGCTTCAGTGTGTTTGATAACTGGGTTGACAAGGAAGTGATGTGTGATAATTTCCAAGCGGATCTGCAAAAAACCAGTAAAGTTAAACTTGAATAAAGACTAGTTTTTTACCGTCTGGCCCTTATGAACAGTATAAAAATGTTGTTATATGCATTTGACCGTCCTGTTGACAAAGCTAATAATGTTTTTTCCACAATTGCATATTTAATGCACATTTTCTTGCGTTAAATTTAGCACGTATGGTGCTGCCTGAAAAAGCAGCCGCCCAATGATTTACACCGTATATTTGTCACAGTGCGATAAATCCATCTAATCCCCCGACATCTGCATGTCCGGCTTGACAAATAAACTGCAGCAGAGCTTACATAAATATTTCTCCGAAAAAGAAAACATATTTTGCCACATAAAATAAACATGAACTTTTTGGTGGGCGGAGCGGAAATAGGGCGTGGCTGGGCAGCAGCTGCTTTTAATTGCTTTTGCTGGTTTTTCGAACGTTTTTGCAACTTTTTAGTTGACATTGAATAATCGCTGCGGAAATTGTCGCTTAACGGGAAATTGTGGTAAAAGCGAAGTGGTCTCAACTTGATAATTGATTGGAGCTCTTTAAAATTGTTTGTTCGACCACTGCCGCAGGCTATTCTTTCTTTTTTTTGGTTTTTGCCCTTTTAATCTGTGCACGCGTGCCGACTGCAAAGTGGCCGGAGGCCTGCTCTTTTTGGGCCAAATCTGCTTTGCATGTCAGTTGGCCGGGAACGTACAACTTTGACCACGTAAAACTACGAGACCCTTCGGGCAAAGAGCCGCAGGAAAAACCGAGGGAAAAACAAACCGGCAACGGCAAGAAATCAAGTGCTCTGAACCAAGTGGTCACCAATATACTGCAGGCGATCATGGAAAAAGGGCTCAACGAATTTGGTATGATCTAAGATAAGTTACAGTCACTAAATGATTTACGAAAACAACTAAAATTCTTCCACCCCTTGCAATAAATAACATAAACTTTAGTTGAGAATATTAATGAGGCCCCAGGGCTTGCACACTTTAAAACGGCTTTGCATATCATCAGAAAATGAATTTCACCCAACCCAGGTATTATTGGTTCAGTGAAATTTTATCAACTTGCATACCTGCATACTCATATTTGTATACGGTTCAAAATATTAATGTTTGTTAAGGCCTTTGCTCTGATATTTCAGTGGGGAATGCATTTGCAATCGGATTGAACAGATCCACCGAGTGCACCAAAAATGAATGAATTTCCACAGGCTAAATGGAAAATGTGGAAGGGTGGCAAGGAGCAGCTCTGTGCCGCTTCAATTTCATGTCGAGTAAATTTTAATTTACTGCTCTTTTGTGACCGCATGCGAGCCAACAAAACTTTTGGTTTCTGGGTCGCTTTTTCCGTACTTTTTTTTCGGTTTGGCCAGGCTGGTGTGTGAGTTTGTTTGGCTTGTTGGACGAATGATATATCCGGATGGTCCGTCCGTCCGTTCGACCCGAGGGCAAGTGTGGGATTTTTAAAGCCAGCGAACCGCCGAGCTGCCATTAGTTTTAATGACCGCAAAAAGGCAGCCGAAAAAAAGGAAAGTGCTTGAAAAACAAAACAGAGAGCGAAATAAAAATTCAGCCATTGCTGGCAGGCTAATTGAAGTCTGTCTGAGGGGGCGGGGGCCGTGGGGGCGTGGCAAATCTCAAAACTATGCTTCATTATCCGTGCTGCAAACTCTATTTGCCTAATGGCGCAGAGCCGGCCGCTCACGAAAATAAAAACAAAAAGAAGTAATTCCAGCCATAAAACGTGCCCAGCTTAGATAATGAATCCGCCCCCCAAAAAAATATATATGTCCTTCGACTGCAATTGAAAATTCCAAACACAACAATTAAAAAGCAATTAACTATGCAAATTTCGGCGCTGTTAATGAGCCGGAAAGTGAACGTAGGTATATCTTGGGCACTTTTCTGGGGTTTCCCCTTGAAAGAGAATAACCCCAAAGCTTCTGACCCAAATACATCAATGTCTGGCGGATGTTTTGGCCAACTGCCTTGCCCACACTCACACGGACGAAAACATTTTATCATTTCCTGTCATTTATCATGCCACGAAAAAAAGGGTTAAACAATTTTTATGTGTCAACAAGAATAATTTCTGTCACTAACACGAATACAAAACAAGGCGACTTGGCTCAAATTCCAAGAGTGGCAAGTTGCTAGAAACGTGGGGGCGGAAAACAAAAGGCAGTTGCCGTATTAATAATGAAAACAGGACGAGCAACTGAGAAACTGAGAAATGGCTGCGCTGCAAACTGGGACAAACAAGACAACAAAGTGCCACAAAAAGTAAACAAAAGTCAACAAAGTGTGCTGCAAAAGAATCAACAAGCGGCCTGGAAATTAATACTTCCCACCTGCATAGGTGTGAAATAGTAAAGCATCCACCCACCTACGTGCAACTATTTGCTACGTGTCATTATCCGTTGCCATAAAGTGCTGAGATATGTAATCTTACACTTGGCCAATAAGAAACCTGAAAGGATGTTTGCCTTAAATTTACACTTGTCGGGATGAACGAAAGAAAGTTTTATTGGGATCACGTTTACCTAGGAGAAAACAGATACTTTTAAAAATGTTAGGGGTTTTTAATAGCTCCAGTCGAAACTCAATCAGTTGATTGGCAGAAAGGTAAAACTACACCTTCCACAAAACTATGATCTTCGGTAATTAGCAACTGTAATGTTAATTTGTAGCAATTGAGTTTTAAGGAGAGTCGATAGTATTTCAACTAGTAATCCTCCTCCTTGTGCCAGATTTCGAATTCAACAAATAAATCAGGAAATTTGCTTACAAAGAAGCTGAAAGCCTTGGCAAGTAAAACAAAGAGGTCTGAAAAACAAAACGGGGGAGGGCCAACAAAGAAGCCTTCATTGTGCTAAGTTCTTGGGAAATAAATATGCTGGGAGCTATAAAATTACAGCCGGGGTTCGCTTGCAACGTTTATCAAGGCATTTGCACTGCTGAGCATGCCAATGGCAGAACTAAACTACTTAGCGATGACCTTCACAGATGCTCTGCTCCCCGCCCTCCAAAGTCCACTTGGAAAAAGGGGAGAACATTTTAAAACAAGCTGCTTAAAGCAACTTATAGTGTTGGAAAAAATAACCAGACTTGTAAAAAGCTAAAAATATGCATAATACAAAAAATGCAATACATCTATTATTTTTTATATTTTTTTAGGATTTTTCGCTTTAAATTTTTGCTCCAAGTGTTGAGCTCAATTTCAGTACTTCCCTTCACAACTCCCCCCGTATTTCTGGCAAGTTGCACGGCAACAGCTTGGCCCTTGGTCTGGAATCATAATTAATACCAATTAAATGAGCTTAGGTCCGCTCTGTGTGCCCAATCATTGAATGCTTATTACGTATACGCCGCATGGCCCAGCGGAGCCAGTGAATTTATTGCGTAGCCATGACAAAGGCGAAACTTTTTAATTGAAAAAAGCGAGTGGAAATATTGGCGACTAGATAAGCCAGCGACAGAACGCAAACTCGAATTATTCGGCATAACGCTTCATTAGAAAACCGCGTTAAGAAAATGGCCTCTTAGTCCGCTGCCGCCGCCTGATGAATGACTTAATCACCCAGAAAAGCGCCACACAAATCAACGGGCCCAACGAGATCCCACTTTGGCTGTCACAGAACTTTTGGCCGGGGCCAGGACTCCGCTCGAAATTAATGGAGCAAATCAAACGAGCAAAAAGCAGACACCAGTTTGGCCGCAAGTCCAGTTTAGGCCGAGGTTAAGTTTGAGTTTGGAGCCTTTAATAATCACAAGATTGGTGCGGCCTGCATACAAAATTAGCGGCAAGTCGCTTTCGCATCGCATCGCCTCATACTTTAAGTTCCGCGGCCAGAGCTCATTTATTTTCCCCTGGACAAACATTTCATGGCCTTCCCGGGTCTCAGTTCTCATTTTTACTACATTGTTTCCCTTATACCCTGTAATAAGTTGGGAAACACAGAATACCTCTAAAACTAAATATTATATATATTCTATAATTGGTTAACAATTTCGCAGCTTCTTAATTATTTGTTTCTTCAGTTTACATATATGGCCAATTATTTTTGTATTAATATTTCCTTCGTCATAGTGCACATCGATATTCGTATCGCCACAGGATTAACTCTTCTTTTAAATTAAAGTCTGGCGAAATTGCAAAAATATTAACTTCCTGTGCAGCCAACAAACAAACAGCCGCAAAGTTGAGTCATCAAGATTTTAAAACTTCGTTTTTGTGGCATACTCGGTGGCGTAGATTAAATTTATGGCTTTCATTCTTTTTGCTCAGGTCGGTGGCTTTAATTAAGCAAAGGCAAACTAAAGTTTCGCACAGTTTTCTTTCGGCGGAGTTCAGACGTGCACATGGAAATTTCGCTGAATTGGCATTAAATGTAATAATAATTTCGCAGCATCTTCTTGGGATTCGGTGGCTTGGGTCAGGAGTTGTTCCTGTGTAAAGGAAACAGCTGTTTCCGCCGGCAAGTCCGGATGGGGTTAGTCTGAGTTGGCTGGGGCTTTCCCCAGACGGGGAGTGGGAAAATGTTCGGAAAAGCCTTTGTGGCATTGCGCGAATAAGCGTGTGCCGCAATTTGCTATTCATTTGAATTTTCAGATCGCTGCCTGTTTCCCGCCGTCGACCATAAAATGCAAGAGATTATGAAAAGCGCGCTTTTGGCCACTTCCTTGTGCAGCCACAAAAATATTTGGCTTTATATTTTTGCACTCCGGCTTTCTTCTGCTGTTATTGTTGTGAGTGTGGCCACCGCCACAATAATAATCATAATGCAAATACGAGCTGCATTCCGGGTCGCTCACTCGTAAAATTTCAATGTGCCACAGCAGTCAGTTCGGTGTGCAATCATTGTTGAAATTTAATCAAGTCGTTTGGGGGTTTCATTTAAATTTTAGATTGTGTTATTCGGTGCACCAAATGCAGGTGTGGCTTTGAGGCAAATTTTGAATTCGGCGACTACCAGAATGAGTTTAAATGTTCACGACCCATGAATAATACAGTAAATTGATAGAGTAATAATAAACACAGATCAAATATTTATACAAGTCTACGCAACTATTTTCTTTAAAGTTGGAACAATGTATCAAGGAATTTTCTTATACATTTAAAAAGGATTTTTATTTTTTGCCTTGTTTTCCTCTCCTTTTATTTTTAAGCCAGCTTTTTGCCACAGAGCCCTTCTTTCAGGCCGTTGCATTGTGACCAAGAGAAACTCGGACATTCGCTTTATCCTATTACCAGTGCTTAGATAAAGCCAACGGATTTGAGCTCGGAGAGCTCTTCTTGTCCATTTATGCCTTGCCCGCCGCCAAGTAAAACTGAAAGCTGAAAACTATTACAGTAATTTTTATATTTATTTATGAGCTGAAGACCGAGAGATCTGAGTCCTGTGATGCTGTCGCCTGAGCATTTGTTTAAAAAATACATTTATATGCCTGCATTCCAACAGCAACAGAACTTTTCAGCTTAGTGAGCATTACTTGAAGTTTGTTGTTCGAGAAATGAGGAAATTCCGGTCACGTGGCTTTCATTGGATATCGAAAACTACGTATTTCCCAATGGGAATTCCGAAAGGCTAACGAGCGTGACAAATGCAAATGAAAGTAACGGAGCCAAATTTCATGTTGACCCTGTGGACATGACAGAAGCCAAAAGTTAAGAGTGAAACAAGCAGAGCGAGACAAACAGGGAAAATCTAATCAAGAGTTTTGATTGCATTAGTAATTGTTATGATAGCTAGTGCAAACATGAGATTTCCTTCGGACATTCAAATAAACATTAATAAATTCAGGTTTCGAGCTGCTTGGAAAATGGAAATAAAATCATTTTCGTTTGCCAGTATGGTAATATGAAAATCAAAAGCTTATGAAACTTCCAATTCGGTGAAACACAGACTTTAAATTCAACCCAATGTGTGCGTTTTCCTAGTCAACGAGTTAAAATGAAATTCGTTCTTTTTGCCATATACGAAATTTTTGCAATTTTCCACATGCCAATTTTTTTCGTTTTCGGGCTTACTGTCGTGTGGCCCCAAGAGTCCGCTGCAGTTGGAAACGCCTGAAATTACATTTTTCGCATTAATAAAAACGAAATAAAATAAAAAGTCAGCCCCTCCTGTGCACGAAATATGCAAATGTGCCGCGTGCAGCGCAGCAGATAAAACTGAGCAGGAGACACATGTGTGAGCTTCGGTCCTTTTTTCTCTATTTCCGCCGGGTGGATCGGAGTTGTTGGAGTTGTTGGTGGCGACACCCGTAATGTGGAGCAGCTGTTGCAGGCAGTGCCAAAAGTCACAATAAATTCGGGCATTAGTTCCTTCCACGCCCGGTGGAAGTTGCCAAATCCACTATCCACTGGCCTCTAAAATGTTTTGAATATGAAAGCATGGTATAAATAAATTTGAAAAGTGCGCTGTGCATAAATAACGCTCTGTCTGGCTAATATTTAATGATGTGAAAATATTTATTCTAAACTTGAAAGCGCCTCCAGACATTCTCGAAAATGTTAATAATGCCCAGGCTAAAATTGCTTCTGGCTATTTACATTAGCCTTATTTGGTAACAATTAATTAGTTCTTGATTGCGCCATGACAACAAAGGCACGCGGATGATTTTGAAAGGCTCTCGGGATTTATTATGAATATTTCAGCGGACAATTAGTTCGTTACGGCATGAATCAACAATATAATTTGGTTTCTAAAACAGCTCGGTTCAAACTTTGTCTGTCTGCTTCGCTGAGTTGATTTTCTTTTTGAATGTATGTTGGGGGTTTAAAAGTAATTTAAATAATCTGTTTGTAATTGTTAAAAGGTTTGGTCTCAGTATTGAGCTGAATAAATTAATCCTAACAAATTGGAAAAGATTCAATAGCTAAATATGTATTCGAAAAGTTTAATTTAAACCGTAATCAACTTCTGAATATTTCCTTAAAATAATTTGATTACACTTTTATTCAAAATTAAATTAAATTTTAAATGGTTAGAATCTTAAACTTTATAAACAACGTTTAGAAAAGGGATCCCGCTGCTGCGAAAGTTTTGGGGCAGTGTGTCTTGGCCAACTGGGTGTATGCACAGATAGTTTTTTTCTGAAGCTTAAATGCTCGTGAGAATTTGTTCCAAACATGGATGACTGGAGATTGGGAAATCGTCTTCATTGTGATATTTAGTCTATTGGGCAGAAAGAAATCCTTCCACTGCTGCCAGTGCAGGGCATAAAAGGTCTTGGGATCGAAGACCTGGAATCCCTTGCATCTTTTCGGATTGTTCGTCAGTGATTTAATGCTATCGGTATTGCAAAGTTGTTTGGCCACTCGGGTTATGACGCCGGGTCCATTAGTTGCCCAGTTATTGGGATCGTAGTGTTCCTGCAGATCTTTTAAACACAGAGTGGCAATTTTGTGGCCCAATCCTGTGGAGGACATTTTCATCACTCCGCAGGCCAGTGAAATATTACTCTCAGCTCCCGTGAAATTCGGAGGCATCTTCTCCAGGTTCCGCTGCACCACCACATCAAGATCTAGGTACAACCCACCATATTTATATAGGGTTATATATCGCAGCAGATCTGAGACGTGAGCAAAAAGATATTTCGACTTAAAAATCTTGCCAGTTTTAAGCCATTTTTCGATGGGAGTTCCGGCTGCATATCGCTGCACATTTATGTGTCTTAGTCTTATGTTTTTGTACCGATTTAAAGCTTTGATCAGCGGATCGCCACTTGATAACCGATGAGTGGCACCTGCGAAAAGCACAAATACAGTGAGGCGTGGATTGTGAAGAGCCGCTGATTCGATGGCACAGGCCGCTCGGGGCGTCAGAGTGATCATGCGGATCTTTTCATCCCGCCGGAAATTAGTGGTCTCGTGGAAGAATATACTTTGCCCTCTATTTGGTTGGTTTCTTGCCTTTAGAACATCCAGCAGGGGAATGGCGGAAATTAAACCTCTTCTTTTTGACTTGGATTTGGGCTGAAGGCCAGCTGGTTTGTGTGGCTTTATAACCTTTTTTTTAACGACTGGCTTCTTGGGCTTCTTTATTTTGTTTTCGATGCGTTTTTTTGTAGGAGGTTGAACTTTACTTGTTACATTCTTCAAGACGCCTGGCTTTTTGGTCACTGCCCTTGACGGTTCACGAGTAGTCATCCAGTTATAAGTAAATATTACGCTTAGAACAAGGACCACCGAACCTCCAATGGCTAGCGATCGCGACACTTTCATTTCCAGAATTTTCTACTGCACTTCTCCAAGTAATTGCATTTCTCAAAGCCAAATTCGATTCACTTCACACACCAATTTCTGATTATAATTGCATAACACAACACAATGGGTATAACATTTTTATAAATTCCCAACATTTATATTACGTACCATAAGTAAAACATAACATAGATTATTTTAGTTTTGGGAACCAGAAATTGTAATTTACATATCACACATTTCTTCAAACGGATATTTAAGGAGGCATAATGGTGAAGACATAAATAATTTTACCCTTTTTAAAGTTTCTAAACTGAATGGCAGTAAGAAAATGTCAAGTGTGACTAAAATGAAGATTTGTCTCACTCACCGAGTGCCTATATAAATTGGACGACTTATTGCATTCTTTTTAGTTCGATTTCCAACTGACAAATATGAAGTTCCTCGCTCTTTTCGCCACTTTGCTGGTTGTTCTGGCCCTGGCCAGTGCCAAGAACAACAACAACAACAGCAACGTCATCGTCATCGGTCCCAGCAAGCCAGGCGCCCCTGCTCCCGCGCCAGGCGGTGAAGCTCCTGCGCCAGCCGGTGAAGCTCCTGCGCCTGCTCCTGAACCAGCCCCCGGACAGTAAACCGATTGTCATAATGTAGACCAAGCTTGTTTATTTTTAATAAAATTGAGCTAATTGCAATCTAAATTACTGGGGTGTTATTTACCATCAACCCCGAAAATATGGAATCTAGAATTCAGAACATTGTGACATAACTCAAAACTATTATTTATATTTATTGGGAGTTTTATCATTGCTATCCCAATATTACGTGTCGTTGGTATTTAGTTTAAGAAACTTTCTTGAAACTATATACTATGATATTATCCTTATTTATAATACATAAAGTATGGATATAATAAAATCAATGCTATCACAAAATTACTTTAGTTGTTGAGTTAAATAAACTTTCTTCAAAACCTATTTTATGATATTATTCATATTGAAATATTTATGAAATGGTATTACGTATTACATAATTTATTCATATTTATTCATTTTTCAAATCTGCTTTAATTTTTAAGGTTGGTATTTATATGGGAAGTCCTTTGTTTGAAATACATAATTGAAACCGATAGTAGATTTCTCAGGAGACTATTTTAACTATAAAAATTAATTACTTTAAAAATAAATAAAGTACTTTATAAAGTATACAACCTTTGGATTGATTCGCATAACTTAAACTATAACCTTTTTACTACCTGCTTATTATGTCATCGGTTCAAGTAAATGGTTGAACTTTTCTGATTACTATTATCATGCATAATTCGATTGGTATCACTTACGTAACCGAGGAACTCGCACGAAACTCGACTTATAAATAGCGGGGTGCTCCAGTTTGGAGTTATTCAGATCTCCTCTGGTAGACATGAAGTTCCTTACTGGCTTTCTTGTTGTGTTGGCAGCTGTGGCTTTGGCCAAGGCAGAGGGTCCAAATACCAACGATAACAAGAATGTTATTCACATCAACCCAGGAGGTCCAGCCCAATTATAAGCTTGGCCTTTAAAACTTCAAAGAACCCATGTAGCTTTCAATAAACGAATAACAGAACTAACTTATTTTATTTTTTATTGGTTGTTGCAGGGAATAAGTTAAATCATGGAAAAATGATTTTTCCAAAATAAAGTAGCTTGCTTCCCACCGTTTTGCGAAATAGGTCGCACTACCTCTTTTGTTTTACAACTAACTAAATGAAGGAAGTTGCGCTGGTATCCTTCTAGGATGCACCTATTTTTTATTGCGGCATTGGGAGTATGTAGGTTTTTCTGTTTTCAACAAAACTTTTTATTGTTGTTTTAAGTGGCATTGTTGTTTCAGCTCTGCCATACATAACTACGTGCTAAGAAATGTATAGCAAACTGCACAGGCACATGTACATTATAGAATATATACTCGTGCAGAGAGCGATAGAGATTCATGGGAAAAGGCAGCCAGACAATGGCTGGCGCCCACGTCTCCATGGACACATTCTAATAAAAAGCGAGCGGAGAATGCCATTGTGTGTGTTGCCGTTTTTAGCATTGCCTCGGATATTTCCACAGTTTCTTCATCTTCCCGGCACAGTTCGTTATTCTCTGGCTAGAGATGAGATTATGTTATAGGGGGATTGGAAAGATAAACTTAAAAAATTACTATTTAAAAAATGGCATACCTTCAGTAGATTTTAATTACAAGTATTTCTTTTGTAACAAGTTTATAACTATACATTTTAAAGAAGTTGAGCTATACATTTCTTTATTTATTTTACATTCTTAATACTAGAAATCGGTCGAATTATATATAGATATATAAACAAAATACTATCTTATTAGTTGCTCATCACTAGTGACTGCCTGCAAATCCTCCGCCACAGTTGAACTCCTGCAGCTCCACATCGAGTTTTTAGGCTTTTTGTTACTTGGGCAACATTTGAGTTATAAATGCCGCACTACTTGAATGAATCTCCTGGGCGTAATAGTTTTCAAATGGCTCTTCGTATATGACTGTCTTTTCCCTTCCTTACCGAGATTCGTTTCTGTCTTTGTTGCAAACGTATCGCACACAAGTGGCTCGCTGTCTTTTTGCCAAAAGCGCTTGCCAATGCAAAAATGGCCCAATGAATCTGGCGAGTGAGCTGATGTTGGGCAACAAATTTGTCATTTAATGCTATTGAGTGGCTGAGACTCCTTCAGGGCCATAAATAATTAAAGTTCTCCTTATTTCCGATGGGATGCCCAGCAAAATGGGAAATGAAACTTGATTGGGTTGTTAGGGATTTGCTGGCTAAGCAAATGACGAAATTTCAAGGACTAATTGCTATAACATATGTTTGTGTTATATTTATAGTTTATACAAATATATACAAATACTAAAAGCGTGAAAGATATTCAATGCAAATGTTGCCCAATTTTTCCTTAAAGCCATCAAATTCTGACTTATGTTTGGGAATATATTTCGCTAATTTACAAATTGCCAGGCTTACGAAAGCCCCTTTTCGATCAATTAATGGACGTTGATTTTGTGCCCAGCTTTTATCAAAATAATGAGCTCGTGATGGCCTTGAGCCAAGGCAAATAAATCAATTTTTCTCGTTTCCGGTCAATTAGTGGCGTCGGAACGGTTTGCCAAAGGTTCAGAAGTTAAACTAATCGCCGGACTCCAGTGGGAAAGCAAACAGAGGGCCGAGAAATGTTTACACTGCTCCTTGAGTTCATTGGTATTTATTTTTTCGCTTTCAACTTGTTGCAGTTAACTCTGCCTTGCAATCAGCACTCCTTCTTGGAGTGCTGGCCATTCCCCCCTGCGCACACCATGGCGTATTAGCAATGTTAATGTTTCTGGCCCAACGTCACATATTAAATGCTAATTCGCATACGGCACACGATCCCAAATGGAGCACTCCGCTCTCCATTTTTGTTCTCCTTTTCTGATAGAGGACACGGTTACGCTACATGACATTTACAAGTTATTATTATGCAAAGGACACGCTGCGGAGTCTCTTTTCCATTTCCCCCGCCCGCAGCCCGCAGCCCGCTTTCCCTTTCTCATACTCGCATGTTGCAAAATCTGCTGCGGTGTTGGGAAATTTGCATTTATTCATGGCATAAATAAAGCATCCGCAGCATAGAGGGGGCTGGCTGCCCGAAAAAAGGGATATATTTAATCTGGACACCCTGCACAGCCGAGGCGCTTGTGTGGCGTTCAGCAAAATCATGGCGGCACTTCGTGTGTCTGTCGATGGGTTTTATTTATAATTTATTTGCTGGAAAGTGCAGCTCACAGGACGAGCGAAACACCTGCCACTGACTGCGGCAGGTGCAGCCACAAAAGTGACGCAAATTTTGTTTGCCCAACGTTTCTCTCTATAACAATTACATGCTTTTAAAATCTGGTTTCGGTTTAGAGATTCGCGGTTTCGTTCCGCTTGTGCCATTTGAACCGTCATTTTGACAGGCGGATCAGGGATGCAAATGTGTTCGTGAAAACCCAGACAATTAAATGCGTTAAGTAACATTTTAAAGAGTTGTTAAAGCCATTAGAGGAAATACTTAAATAAGAATAATAATAGCACAAAAAGAGGGTATTAACTATCTTTTAAAATTCTCAGACTATTAGTAATCTCAGAATGTGCATTCAATATTGATTCGTACAGATATTCTTCTGTGAAAAAAAATGGCTTGGAATATTTATTTTAAGTACATTTTGCATCCCTGAATAAATCAGTGCATTTAGCATTTTAGTCTGCGGCTGCAACATTGCTGATTTGCATGAGCAATGCTGAAATCTAAAATAAAATTGTTGATAGTCAGCGAGTTTCGAAATACGTTTCAATTTGTTAATGGGTTTAAACAAAGTGTTTATGTTTGATTATAAGCCCCTATCTGTAGGTGGAATATTCATTTTCACGAAGAAAAGGTTACACTTTGCATTTTTTTTCCCTCCAAGCGTCAAAATACCATCGACCATCTGCTTCCTTGGAAAGCTCAACCCCAAAACCGGAACATAATAATCTCATAATGCGGAATTACAGGAGCGTAAAATTAGCCCCAAAACGATGTGGGTGTACCATCTCCTAATGCATGCATAATAGAGAATCTGGGGTGAAGCAGAATTAAGCTCATACCGAATATATTTACTGCAAGATAATGTAGTGAAAAACAATGTACTTACAAACAACGAACAGAGTAATATACTGAGATATTCCTTGTTTTCACAAGACGTCAGTTGGTCATTAAATTACTGTCCTGTCTCCAACTACTTCTTCCTTTTTTATACCTTTATAACCACTCCTTTTACTTCGTTCATTCCTTTTCCCATTCCCATTAGTCCTCCTTTGAGCCGGGTTTTTTATTCTCCGGAAGGCATCATTCTTTGTATGGGCACCGATTCCTTTTCCATTAGCACTTTAATATTTAATGACTTCTGTTTATCGCACATAATTGAATTCTGCTGTGGTCTCGGCCCCCCGCAGCTTTTTCTGCAGATGGCCTTTATTATTTGCCTTTGGCTTATTGCTCATTATATTATTATCTTTTGTTTGTAATATCCGCAATATTGCTTGAGCCCCGGCATTTTTATGAGGCTTCATTATTTGGTTTTTATTCTTATAAATAATGCAAGGGGAAATCTCTTCCCAGGCGTTCTTTCTCGCCCGGCATAATTCTCAATCAGAATTCCGACTCACATGGCCCAACATGATTTTCTTTATAGGTCTCTCGGTTTGCCCCGCTTTTCCCCTGATGATTACCGACTTTCGTTCGTTAGTGGAAAGTTACACGCTTGCGTCTTTTTCGGTTTTCTCTTGGCCGACGTAGGGCATTACCAAAAATTTAATTAATGTATTTCCTTCGTGTTTTCGCATATTCATGCCTCAAAAATTGGGTGCATGTGTGGCACGTTTTGCTCATTAGCCATTTAGGTGGTATAAATATGCATTAAACCATCGCGCCGAATCCTTCCTATTCTGGGACGTTAGTTACGATTTATGGCCAAGACATGAAATGGACAAAAAACACACACACTTTCCCCTATGGAAACTCTCGCAGAAATTCAAGTGCAAGGCAAACTTAAGGAAGGAAGCTGAGGGGCCAAGGACAGTGGCCTTTTGTCCTAATGAAAAGACAACAAAACGCGAGGGATAAACGACGGGAGAAAAAGCTCCAAGGATGTGTTTCCTTTACCCTTAAAGCTTGGCCAGAAAGCTTCGTGCCGCAATTGTCGAAATATACATTTGACAGGCTCATAATTGCCCCTAAACATGGGCAGGGTTTGGAAAAAATTTGCAAATTTAACCTGCATAAATTAAACGGAAAACTGTTGTATCAAAAGGGAAAAAATACATCCACAGTTATTTATTATGCGGTAACCCACAAGAAAATATAAAAAATAAGGCAAAAGCAAAAGAGTTCTGTTGAAAGCTAAAAATGGAAAAGGAAAAGGTATAAGCCGCCCACAGCCATAATTCAAATTTGTATATAAATTTTTGCTTGGTTTTCTATGGCGCTGTGGAAGCCACAAAATGGCCAACGACACGCCGCCCCAGTTAACTTTGCCTTCAAACATCATTTGTCAAGGCGAGCACACAAGGCCAAATGGAAAATGGCCCGCAGGGAAATAACTAGCAAAGCAAAAGCGAATTTTCACGGCTCTTTAAGCGGCACGACTTCGATACAAAAATGTGTTTTGCTTATTAGATGAGCGAGGCAACCCTGGCAATCCATCAGCCGTGCAGCAACACTGACGTCCGCCTGACGTTGATTGCTACCACCCCATCTGCCACTCCTCCCCCTCAGATACCCACATCCCCACATAAGTAAAAGATCACACCAGAGCAATCTAATCCGGTGCCGAGCAAATTGTCCAATGCTTTTTGTGTTGTGTCTTGCGGTTGACAGGCGGGGGAACATTTTGACAGACCCCAAAACCCGGCAAAAATGGTGAAATGCCACCGACCAGAGATGCAATGCGGCTTGGTCGGGTGGTTTTTCGAATTTGAAACCACTTTTGGTATTTGCCACTGCCAATTAAATTGTTATGGTTCACTAAAGTGGTTTCATTTATTATGTATATATATTT